TGAACTCATAAAAAGATAGCAAAAAATTGAAACTTTGAATTTTCTATGTTTTAAACAATTACTCAAATGATAATATAACATCCTATATTCCTAGATCCTTTTTTTTCCACAAGAAATATCCATCAGTTCTTATCAAATTTGTTTTCTCTAAATTCATAAAAAGACAGCAAAAAATTGACCAACAAAGTTAGACTGACTTGATTTTGTTTTATGAACTAGTATATTCTTGTTTTTATATTTCCTTCATATATTAGTTGTCGTTCTGCACTTATTTTCTTATTTCGTTTTAGTTGTGGTTTTGCATTTTCAATATATATTTTCTATTTTTAAGTCTATTATTTTAGCTAATTAACTAATTATATTAAACAAAATAATATATTAAATAGGTGCATAACAATAAATAAATCTGATTACTTTCTTAATTTGTGAGAAAATTTTTAGAGCCACAAGTAAAAAGAAAAAGAAATGGAAGGAGTAGTTGATAAGATCTATTACTAATTTAACTATTATAACGATTACTTTATAAATAACTAGATTAAGTCCCGCGTATACACGCGGGTTTATTTTAAAATTTATAAAATTAATCACAAAAATATCAAAAAAAATCGGATCATTTTGGTAAATAAAATAGTATTAGAAATCAATAATAAATATCTAAATTAAATAAAATTGGTAATCCTTTTACATTTTAATTATAACTCACATTTTGTTTCTGAATTCATAATATAAAAAATGATTTTTTTTATCTAATATTAGAAAGAATTACATGTGTCTAAATTTGATCAATTAATTAATTCGTAAATTTTTGATTATTCGATTTAAAACTTGAAAATTATCTTATTAAAAATTATAAAATGGGTCTATTATAAATTTTTCTTTTTAATATTAGTTAGTTGCTTGATAATTATTCTGTCTGTTTTCTATTTATATTGTTTCTTTTTCAATATTTTTTTAGCCTCTCTCCATTATTAATTTCCCTTTCCAATATCAATTAGGTTTTTTACAATGTTACTTTTCTTTTTTCTGTTAATACATTTTTCCAATGTTCTTGTGTTAACACAACTCATCACCTGATCAATTATTAGACACATGTTGCGACAATAAATTCAATTTTGATCCAACTGATCTAAAATTAAATATTCTTCATTGATATCTAACTTTCATATTTATATAATAAGATATAAATATAAAATGTTACTAACTTTTTCATCAAGTAATAGAAGGTCAACTCCCATAAGAATATTGTTTTCTTTAGGATTTCTAGCTTCCCACTTTCGAATAACACGTACTATAGTACGGCGATAATTTCGATTTCGATCCAATTGACCTAGAGTCAAATAATCTCCACTGTTCTTTTGAACTTTCAAAGACATAATTTTAAAATTAGAGAAAGAGAATCAAAGAGATTTGCTGAATTTGCTTTGATGAGTCTGTGAATGAGAAAAAGAGATTACAGTAGCTCTCTTTTTATAGGGGGTTCATGTAACCTATTCCATACAGTTTTAGGATATTTAGTTTACATACATATTCCATGTACTAATAGAATTTTTTTAAACATGGGTTTATGTAACCTATTCCATACCGTTTTAGGATATTTAGTTTATATACATATTCGATGTATTAATAGAAATTTTTTATAGCATTATTTTCAATTTATTTATAAATTTTCGTTTTTATTATAAAATATTAAAATTTTCCCTTTAAAAAAAGTTTTCTTTTTTCCTAAGACACGTGTCACGATCTTAACGGACCTAACCTTAAAAGTGACACATGTCATGATCCTATATTTTATAAAAATCCTATGTGTCGCAACCACGTCGCGCGCATCCAGCTTTATATAATAAAATTCATGTTTTCCGACTCGTTTAGCAACATGAATTCAAAGACTTCTTATAAACATGCAGATATTTTTTTTTTTTTTTTATGTTTAATTTCTTTGTTTCTATTTACTAGTTAATTACTCAAATGTAACATCATTTTCCTTCACAAGAAATCAATCAATTATACTAAAAGATTATAAAATATGTGTTATATTTTTAACCCGTTATATATTTTCTCTAAACTCGAAAAAAGCCAAATAAAAATGAACAACGAAGTTAGATCCATTTAATTTTCATATAACGACGCGATCTAGTGGAAGCAACGTAGCTACTAAATAATCTTGGATTTCAATTATTTTTGTCGACGATCTAATAAATTCGAAATGACTTAACAAAAGGTCAAATTTGGTTGACTGAAAACTAAAAGTTAAGTCTCGGATCGAGAGAGATAGAGATGGGTACAAACAATTGAAAAATAAGAATAGGATCACTATCTCTATCAAATCAATATGACAAAATCTCAATCATACATACTCGTTAGGTACGTTTCTTTACTTTTATTTTGTCTTTTTTTTCCCCTCTCTCAAGTAGATCTATTCCAGTCACTTCACTTTTTTTGCATCCGTCGACCGACAAATATACCTTAAATTAATGCAACATTTTGGTTTTACGATCTCTGTCATATCACATACTTTTCACTTTCTCTCCCGCAAGCTCACGCATGTATAAGCCGTTTTCTCTACCCTAGCAAGTAAAATTTTGTTTTTTTAGTGTCTAGTTTGTCCATATATAACATTTTCTCTGTTATTATAGTTATAGCATTAGAAAAGGCACAAGTAATTTTTGTGAGAATTTAGGTTTATGTATGCATACTCAACATGAACAAATTAATTTCTATAAATGGAAAAATAAGTATTGCATAAAGAGAAAAATGATTTATATGTCATACTAGTTAACTTGGGCTAGTGTCATCATCGTAGTATAACTTGGATTCAAATTTGGAATTGAAATGTGCATGTGTATGTTGTAGAATTATGCATCTTAGTAAAAGTTTGGAACTCGCAAATCATTCTACTTATCTACCATCAATATATAGCTTAACAATCATAGCTCATATGGATATGGAAATTACTTCTTGATGTGTTGTACGGTTTAAATCTGATAACAAAAGAATGGAAATATAGGTGAAGATATGAAGAAGGAGGGTGCATGGGGGTTCCCCACATCCACCTGCAAAAGTTATGATTGCAATTCAATCATTGCTCACGAGCGCAACCAACACATCCTTCTCTCCCTTCAATTCATTTGTTCTTTCATCTCTATCAATTTTACTTTGCTCGACATATAAAGTTTTTAAGTATTACATATTTCTCATGCTTTGAATCATATCGTCCCACTACTTTTTGGAACTAGTTGCTCACAATGTTTGACTCTCTCGATCCCTTCTATTCTTTTTGTCTTCACCTTTCTCCATTTCAGAAAGGCTCTGCTAGAAAGAAGGGTCATGCTAAATGAAAAAGAATATGATTGTTTTTTCTTTTTTTCTTCGAAGTTTTTCTTATAGGCGTTTAAAAAAAGGAATAATTGATTAATCTCTGTTACATATTTGCACTTAAAAATGTTCTCCACGTAGTATTTACACCATAATGCAGTTTTTAGCTTAATTTTAACACAAGGTATTTGGCTGTATATGATTTTTTCCCGACACGAATCAATAAGTTATTGTTTATTAAAAAAAACACAAGGAATGGAAGGAGGAGGGTAAACTTAAGATAGAAGCCCCGTGAAGCAAATGATGTTAAGTCAAATAAAACTAATTTCAAAAGTTATGTGTCTATGTGTGGTTAATGGCAAACATTAGTAAGACAAATTTTAGATTGTTTATAAAAAGAAATACTTTTAAATCATGGTTTGTATTTGACTGTAGTAAAAAAAGACTTTACAACATGTATAAAAACGACAAACATTATTATAATTCAAAAGAAAAAAAAAGGGGAGAGGAATAGAAGAGAAGAGTGTTGAGTTGTTGGACCCTTCTTAGGTTTCGCATGGTGTTAACATTATAGCATATTCCCCTTTTACTTTCGGCTCTGGTCCCTTTCCAGATTTTATTTTTTTAATCATAATTAGTTTTTATCCACTGATCTTTTATTTTTATTATTACTTTATCTTCCTGGATATAAGCCAGTTGTGCTGAGATTTCTTTGCGACTGTTACTGCTGATATGAGTGTTAAAGGGATCATTATGAATTCGTACTCATAGCATAGTAACGGAGAAGGAAATATCGATGTGTAAATCAACATCTATATCGAACAAAATATACACATTAGTGTGCATAGATTATATTGATCTATGAAATTGGCACTGACATTCCAGAAAGGATAACGTCTATCCAATTGTTGTTGTTGGTTAATATAAAATACTAGTATTTAAAAGGCTAACACAAACAAAATGAGAGTAACTGTATCAAGAAAACATAATTAACGAAGCAAACCATCACTAAAGCAAAAAAAATAGCAAATGTATAAATCATTTTGCCTGGCTTTTGGTTAGTAAGCGTAACCTGTTTCTCATTCATATACGAATACGACCCTTGAGCATGTGCCCCAACATAAGTAACAAGAGACGTGTGTTGTCTTTGCTATTTTTTACATACTAATATGCTCAAACGCACGAAGTGTTTGACCTTGGCTTTTAATAATCGTTGATTATGAACCACCATGGAGTTTAGTATATGAATGGTCCCATATATGGTTTAACTTCAAATTATTAATACATAATTAAGTAATTTATAAATAATATGGAAGTAGATTAACAAAATCCGATGTCGTCCAGCGGTTAGGATATCTGGCTTTCACCCAGGAGACCCGGGTTCGATTCCCGGCATCGGAGCTTTTTGTACCACAATGTTTAAAGTCTGATGGTTGTTTTCGTTTTCAGCTACACAGCTATTGCAGCAGTATCACTATGATGCTGTTTGCTGCCGTTAGAAATAAATTTCCCACAATAATGATCATAAAAGTTTTAGTACAAAGAAACAGAATCGTATCAAGTTTGATTTATAAGAGAAAACAAAAGGATCCCTATGTTTCAGAGTATGTAGTAGACTCACTTTTTTGTTGCAAGAGAAGTTCAAGAAAAACAAAAAACATTATTAAACAGGGCCAATGGAAGAAACATCAGCGAGCATACTCACGCGACTCTGATCTCTCAGACCGCTTGTATTCATATCTGTACTCATCTTCCTCCATTTTCTCGTATCGTTGACTATACCTGTTTGCGTCCCCTTGATCGTCTTCGTAGTAGCTGTTACGACTCTCTTCTGGCTCGCCATGTCTGTTTCGGTCGTTGTGCTTTGACCCGCTCCTCTCATACTCCGTCTCTCTTTCACGGGACCGACCACCACCACCACCCTCGTGCTCATACTCACCTCCTTCGTAATCTCGCTCTCTCCTTCTATCGCGGTCTCTGTCATGATCCCTTGAAGTACGGTCTCTCCCCCTGTCACGGTCACGACGGTCTCTATCTCCTCTATCACGGGTCCGGTCACGGTCACGCCTGCTGTCTCTCTCTCTATCTCTGCCTCCTCGGTCACGCTCTCTGTGGTGCTTATCCTCTCTTGGTCTGTCATGAGAACGCTCTCGAGGCTGCTCCTGAGACACTTCACGAGACCTTTCTCGTTCCCTTTCTTTTCCCTTTTCTCGAGATTTCTCACTAGAAAAAGACAACGCCACAACAATTCAGCACAAACAAAACGGCAATAAGAACTTTGAAATGAATGAGATAAATGAAGAATTTCGTTACCGCTCTTCACGTGGTCTTGATGGTTCCTCTGACCGAGACGTTCTTCCTTGCTGTTGTGGTGGTTGTTCCCCAACAGTCTCTTCACCACCACCGACCCTTGAGGTCCCAAGTCCACCACCAAGCCTGCGTGGACGCCAGTTCGGGACGGTTCTACCTCTCTCGACATCGACCAACACTCTTCTACCGTCAATCTTTTGTCCATCAGCTTGTTTATACGCGGCTGCAGGAAAACAAAAAACCCACAATGGACAGTCAGAAAGAAAGAACAAACATGCCAGAGATTAAAAAGATGAAATAAAAGAAAACAGATGAGATCATACATTTCATGTCACGGGTGTGCATGTACTCAATGAAAGCATATCCTCTTGGTTTGTTGCTCAGCTTGTCAGTCACCAACTGAACCTGAGGAGTTTCAGAAGAATGACATTAACAAATCAAATATCTGCAAGAACAAGATTAACTTTCCGATAAAAGAGTGTTTCTATATCAAACAAACAGGCAGTTCTATAAGGCAGGCAACCTTTATTTTAATAGGCTTCCAAATCCGAGACCGTCACCAGCCACATCAAGAATTGGCAGAAAAATGGATATGCATTGCAGCAAATTTACCATTTTTTGAAGTGTCTAATAACCCACCCCTTACCAGGGTATATAAACATCTTCGTTTCAGATTACTAAATATGTATAACAGAAGTGAAGAAGAACCTCATATATAGTTGTAGCCTAGGTCCCAGATACTAAACTTTTATAGACTTCCATATAAAAAAAAGAGAGAATGCTTCTGATACCCTCAAGTCTCATCTTTGGCTACCAACAGGGTATAGAGTATAACGGTATAACCTTGGTTGCTTGAAAATAAAGAGCAACCCGGATGAAGCATTATAAATTAAAATCACATCTCAACTATCTATTTCTGCTCCCTGCTGAAGCATTTTCTTTGGGACAAAATGGCAGATAATATTTCTAACTGGCTTACCAGGGTATGAGGTCATTATAGATTCGAGTAAATACCTCATTGATTAGGAAATGCGCAACAACCTCTATAGTCTATCCTTCTATAGCATAGTAAAAGATAGAGTATTTGTCCTCGGGACGGAAAAATAAATTTAAAACAACTATATAAGGTATCGCTACGAAACATCTCAGACGAAATTTGTGACACTACATGAGATGTACTTTATGCATCTATCGTTTATATCATTTGAGAAAGTTCCAAGAGACTAGATTGGCTTGCCAAAGACTACAAAAGGCATGCATAGCAATTTAGAAGTAGATCAACCTTTTTGGCCTAGTACTGAAGTTTTTCAGGCGATTTAAAAATTCATAATCTTGAAGACTTGTGTATATAAAATAAAACTTATTGAGCAAAGAGCTTGAAAGGAGGAAGCCGTTACATAACTCCTTACCGAACCGGCAAGGGAATGCTTAGAATAACCTACCCGTTTAATTGGTCCATAAGATTCAAACTCCCTTTTAATCTTACTCTCGGAGGATTCGTAGTTCTGCAAAACAAGAACATAAAGTCAAGCACAGCAAAACTCACCTGTCTATGTAAAGTCAATCAACACAAAGGATAGAGAAGAACTTACGAGTCTTGAGACGAATAACGTCTTGTATGGATCTCCGGTAGCATTTGGATCATTGTTCGGGTCATCTGCATATGAAATTTCCAAATCAACTTGGATCCCCCAAACCGTAAGAAGGCATTAAAGGAACACATAGTGAATAAATTATAAACGATGGATTACATTTCGTTAAGTCCTCTGCAGCCTTTGCAACACCTTTCTCCAGTCGTAATTTCTGGATTCTCTCCCTTTTCTGAGCCTGGACCGTGAAAAGAAAAATGAAATACACAAACGATAAGACACTGACTTCAATGAAAGATGGCATAATCAAAACAGTTTTAAGTGTGCATCATACAGGAGTTTCAACTTCTGGCTTAGGTGGAGCGTATTCTGGATCACCAGGCTCAGCGAAGTTTTTCACAAACAGAGCCATGCCTAAAACGAATACACGAGACAAAATCATATCAAAGAGGCGGTCGTGCATTTCCTCAAAAGTTTAAATACATATAATAAGATGTACAAAGTCGAGACCTGTATAAGGCGGGCATTTTCTCTTCTCCGGTGGTGGTTTGTACTCCAAAGGCGGTCGTGGCTCAAAGAGCTTAAGTAGATTGTTTGTTAAGCCAGTAGGGTGGCTTTGACCCATCTGCAATTTTAGAAAACAAAAATGATATTTACTTTCGAGCTAAAGAAATCTTCCATCATTCAAACTAATTCCAAACTAAGCTCAATATCAATACAGCAGATACCAAATGTTACAAATCAGTAGGATATAGAATCGAAGCAAGTATCGAACGAATTGAGTACTCAATTCAACAGAGTCGATAAAGAATTAGAACAGCCGATGTCGAATCTGGCGTTTGCAACGGGATTATGAGCTAGACAGAGAGAGAACGCAGCTAAACTCTAGAGAGAGAGGGAGATAATGAACAAGAGTTTCATCACGAATCAGCTAATCCGAGATAAGAGACGAACCAGTTTGAGCTGGAGAACATTAGATCTGTTCACAGACTTAGTGCGCGCTTGAACGGCGGCGTTCTGGTTACGCATGAAAGGATCGCCGGAGTCTCCCATGGCGACGACAAGAGATCTCAGAGCTCAGCTAGGGTTTTGCGGGAAGAAGAGGATGCGATTCGCAGAGACGAATAAAAATTAACAAAACCCAAAATTAATGCGAAACCGGATTCCGGTTATTAGAGAAATTGAATCGGGCTCCGCAAGATAACCAAAGTTCAAAACGACGTCGCTCTAATTTTACGAGCCTGTTTGTTGATAACTCTTGTTTATTTAAGTTTCTGCGATTTTTACAGTAAATCACTGGCCAAATTTGCATATGTGGTCAATGAAAGCTAACTCTTAATTGACACGTTTGGTATTAATGTATTATGGTATGCGACATTACAGATGAAGAAAGATGAGAAAAGAGATTGGTTAACGGTTAACCGAAACACTGGTCACTAGGAAGCGGACCAGGAACCGACCCGTTATCCAAAAACTGAAGACCGAACACCACAAGAATGGCTAGAAGCGACAGGTACGACAAGCCCTCCACAGCACCCAGCAGCCCAAACGGCCCATTTGGCAGACCCGACCCGGTTTTCGTCTTTGTGTACAGAGACCAGCCAACAATGCCCAACACCACCAAGTAGCTCACACCTTCCAACGCTCCGATTGAACCGGCCGGTCCTGGAGGTAAACCACACCCCGTGGTCTTCAGAGTGTAGAGCGACCATCCGATAACCGGCGTCGACACTAAACCGCCGGCTATAGCAGCGTTCTCTAGAAATCCGCCGGTCTCGGTATTGTCCTTGGCTTTTGCTATGACTCTACCTGACGGCTTGATCGAACGCCGGATCAGTTTTCCCGGGTGAAATGCCGGTGGTAAAGAGGCGGAGATCGGAGATAGTAGAAGCATTTTAACAGACAGAGAGAGAGTGTGTAAAGATAGACTGAGAGTGATCGGATTTTGAACTCTCACGTTACCACACATTTGGGTTCTTTAATTAATTGGGAAAAAACTAAATAGTCTCTTGTTGGGCTTTTCATTGATGGGGAAGGGCCTGTTAAAAAAAGAGGTCCAAATATGGCAAAAACTATCAATGCTATAGTTTGATTACTAGATAGTGGCTGAAACTTTTTATTTGTGGGAAATGGATTCAAAGCTGGCTAAATAGTGTTTGTGAATTCTTGAGGGACCCCTGTCACGCCTTAACAAGTGTTGCTTTTGCAACTCATACAAAGTTAGACAGTAACTAAAGATAAAGTAAATATGTTTACAAAGGTCAAACACTAGTGTTGATGGATATATATTGCATAGAACTATAGAAGTTGCATTTATCCTCCTTTTTTATCAAATAACAAAAGAAGATGATCAGTTTTGTAAAGAAGGTGTTATCTGGTTCGAGTTTTATCCAACGGGTGTGATGAAATAATAAGACACGCGTGGCAGCATCTTAAGATCTCAAACACATACGAGGACATTCAGACATTGTATACAAAATCACATTGTAGTTTTGTAGATGTACTAAAAGGTCAAAGTCAACAAATAACGCGATCAATTGCATTTAATGTGTAAATTGATAATCAGAACACTGAAAACTTTGATCACATCGCTAGAAGACAAAATCAACCGTAATTTCAATATTTCCGTAATTGTTTGTCTTCTTATTTTGTTGTTTATCGACAAATATGGAAATTACTTTTTTCAAACGGAGGTGTTTGGTCCGACAACGGGACGGTAAATCCTCCACTGTCTTCGCTTAAGGACAACGGCAGTGAATCTTTTTTTTCACTTTCCTCCTTTTTGCTTTTTTTTTCTACTTACAAACCTCAAAAACGTATTTTTATCATTATACACAGAACACACTCTACTAAATTTGAATTTGCATAGTGACACAACAAGAAAATTAGTCCTTGGTTAGTTAGTTGACATGAATAGTAGTGCTCTACTGCTATTTTTTCTTAGCACATATTGGGATAACAAAAAATTGACAAAACTAGTTATTTTTCTCTCTTTTATATGGGTTTAGCTACAAACTTTGTAAATGTTCTTGGCCATTTAAAATTCAAATGAGTACAATGAGATTGATATTTTTATATATATAATAAAAAATGCATGGGAGTCCAGAATCAAGATAGGTACTTGAAAACACTCGAACCCCACAAGGATCGACAAAATATTTCTTTTTTAGATGTCTCAAAAACTATAATTTAAAAAATTCCGAAAATTTTAAAATATCCCAAGTGTTGAAAAGTTGAAAATCGATTAAAGAGAAAAATAAATAAAATAATAATTGTGCTGATAGAGAGAGAAGAGAAGAAGAAGAAAGGCTCCTTTGTCTCGGAAGAACCAAAGGGAGCCAAAACAAAAGAAAAGGGTCGTAGCTTTCTTTCACACGAAATCTCACGAGCCGCCTTCTTCTTCTCCTTCTTCTTTCTCTGTCTCTTTCGAAAAAAATCAAAAAAAATCAAAACTCCGTGAGAACAGGAGAACGACGGCGTTTCTCTCCGGTGGAATCTCAGCCGTTGGATCTGAGAAATCGTCATTTATGTGGAGGAGTTTTCTTTAATTACTGAGAGTTTTTTAGTTTTGTTTTTAATCGTTATCAGAAAAGGTAGGTAGTGAAAAGAGGTTTTTACGAAAAGCAGATTGACTGGTAGATGAAGAACAACGGAGGAGACAAAATATAGAGAGAAAGAGAGTTTAAAAAAAAAAAAGAGAGTGAGTAAAGATAAAACCCTAAAAGGTTGAAACTTGGTTGACGAAGAAATGAGCTGAAATTTTCTTTCATTTATTATCCTTTCTACTTTTTGTTCTCTCTGTTACTTCAAGAATCAGTAGAAGAAACAAAAAAAGTTCGTTTTTTATTTAAAAGATGCCGGTAGATTTAGATAACTCCTCCACAGTTTCCGGCGAGGCAAGTGTCTCCGTCTCCTCCACCGGAAACCAAAACCCACTTCCGAAATCCGCCGGAAAGAAGAAACGGAACCTCCCCGGCATGCCCGGTAAGTTAAAAATCCAAACTTTATGTAACTCAAATTATAAATTTTCCATTTTTTTCTGACTCTGTTTTTTATTTGTCTTCTTCTCAGATCCAGACTCAGAAGTCATAGCTTTATCACCAAAAACTTTACTAGCAACAAACCGATTCGTCTGCGAAATCTGCAACAAAGGGTTTCAGAGAGACCAGAATCTGCAGCTCCACCGTCGAGGTCACAATCTTCCATGGAAGCTCAAACAGAAATCGACCAAAGAAGTGAGGAAAAAGGTCTACGTTTGTCCAGAGCCGAGCTGTGTTCATCACGACCCTTCACGCGCTTTAGGAGATCTCACCGGAATCAAGAAACACTTTTGTCGGAAACACGGCGAGAAGAAGTGGAAATGCGACAAATGCTCCAAGAAATACGCTGTTGTGTCTGATTGGAAAGCTCATTCGAAGATTTGTGGCACCAAAGAGTATAAATGCGACTGTGGTACTCTGTTTTCAAGGTAAAAATCGAATTTTTCAAATTTTCAGTCTCCAAATCTTTTAAAAATCTCCAATCTCTGATTGTTGTTGTCTTGTAGGAGAGATAGCTTCATAACGCATAGAGCTTTCTGTGACGCTTTGGCTGAAGAAAGTTCGAGAAGCCATACTCATCAGAGTAAGAAGCAGAATCCGGACATTTTGACCCGGAAGAAACCGGTACCCGACCCGAAACCTTTAACCGCAGCTAATCCTCTGCCTTCGTCTCCAGTGGAAACACAGTCTGTCAAAATCAAATCTTCTCCGGTTTCAACGATTAAGCAATCAGGTAAAAACAAGTAAAACTCTGTTGATTGGCAAAATTAAGCTCTTTGGGATCGTATTTTTTTTTGTCGCTATATGTTGTTAAGGACTCTGTTAATGGTCGGTGATCTTGGAGTTTAGTAGGGGTTTTTGTCCGTAGCGCCATATTAATCTGTTACCTGATTAAGAACATAATTCGTTTGGTAAGCTTTAGTGTTGTATATTGGCCTGTTTGATTGATTCTTTATGATAAAGAAATCAAAAGATATGATTGATTTGCTTTATTTCCTTCCATTTGACTATATAATAAAAACAAAAAAGTCTCAAACTTTATTCTGTTTTTTGCAGAATCCCCAAAGACTCCTCCTGAGATCTTGCAAGAAGCTCCAAACGTTACGAGCAGCAACGGTGTTGGTGTTTTCGCAGGCTTGTTCGAATCTTCCACAGCTTCTCCAAGCATATACACACCTTCCTCTTCTTCGCAGAGTCTCTTCGCGCCGTCCTCGTCCGTCGAACCGATCTCTTTGGGTCTTTCAACGACTCATGGATCGTCTTTTCTCGGGTTAAACCGGTTTTCATCAGCTCAGCCAGCAATGTCAGCGACTGCTCTGCTTCAGAGAGCAGCTCAGATGGGAGCAACGTCTTCAGGTGGTTCGTTGCTTCGCGGGTTAGGCATAGTTTCGTCAACTTCACCTTCAATGGAGTCAATAGTCCCTCATGGTTTAGGATTGGGATTGCCTTGTGGAGGTGAAAGCAGCTCCGGTTTGAAAGAGCTCATGATGGGGAACTCGTCTGTGTTTGGTCCGAAACAGACGACATTGGACTTTCTCGGATTAGGTAGAGCCGTTGGTAATGGAGGTGGTCGCGGTAACGGACTATCCGCTCTAGTCAGAGGTAGCGGCGGCGGGATAGATATGGCGGCGACGTTTGGATCGGGAGAGTTTTCAGGGAAAGATATTGGTAGACGAACGTCATGAGTATAGTCATTTAGTAGTAAATGTTTAAGAAATGTGTTTTGGTAATGATTATTGTTGAATAGCTTAGTGTGAGTTTGAGTTATTTTGCAGTAGACGATAAAAATTGAAACTTCTATTTTAGAAAGAAGAAGGTTTTAAAATTTCAAATAATTTGATTCTTGAACGCAAAGATATCTGTAGTGATGATGATTTGACGATAAGATTAAGTGAGAATGCAATAAATGGAATTGTTTTGTTTTCATTGCCTTAATAGGAATTGGTACAGAGAAATGAGATTTACTTCTTATAATGGAAACTATTTCCAAATCTTGGAAGACTTTGGGTCGGTCCCATTTGTTTTTTTTTTTGTTTTTTTGTTAGATTTTTCGATCGAATATTGAAAGTTTACCTTTCGATTTTTGACCATTGATTTGATTAGATATTCGATAGATGATGAAAAGAAAAAGAAGATTCGGACAATAGATTTTCTTCTGCTGTTCCAATTGTTTTGTAGGTCCATAATGATAAGATGATATCATGACAGGACAACACTAAGATATGTTTAAATCTCTTAATACAAGTGAGGGCATTATTATAATAAAATGATACTACAGGATGTAAGTTTAAAGCCCATTTTGTTATCTTAAAGTTGGCCCGAATATTATTCGCAAATATTAGATTAAACACCTACAGGCCCACGTATCAAATCAATTGTTAACTTTCAAAGCTCGGTTTATCTTTGGAAAACCGAACGGGCATAGTTTAACTTTAAAGGTGTCTTTTCTTCCAAACGGAGTTTAAATTTTAAGTACAAGGGAAATTTTTACATACAAGTTACATAATTTGACTACTAACTGTAAAAAGTTAATCGTAAATTAACTTATTTTTGTATAAAAGAAAATCTAAACAACTTTTCATTCGAAATTCTCTCGAATCTCAAATCGTTTGATAGATTTTGCCCAATTCATATAAGTTGAAGTGTTAGAGGCATAAGCGAATCTGACTAAATCTATCAAATAAGATGAAGTTTTTAGACCGAAAATTGAAACATGGTTGTTTATAACGATTTTCCAAATATATATGACCTAATTTTATCGTCACCCTAAAAAATGTATAAAGAAACCCTAAATTGTTTTTCTTTAATACAAAGATTTTTTGATAGATTTTGAATCTTAATTCTCATAAGTTAAAGTGTTCCGATTTCTAAATCCGATTCTTCAAAATAAGATGGAGATTTTTAGGCTGAAAATTAAACATATGCATGTTCAGACTTCGTTATATCTTACTCATTATGCATGTTTGTTTTTGTATATGTATTATTGTTTTCTAGATGTTTAATCCAATATATATAATTATATATCCGGTGATATCAAAAATCGTATCCAAAATAAATTAAACATAGGGCTTGTAGAAAGAGAGATGTATTTGGTTTAGTGTGTTGACTGTACGTGGAGGAAGTATTTTCATTCATAAATTAGAAGTTTGCCATAATAAATTTTGTTTTTCTTTTCTTTTCAAAGCACTATTTTAGTCCTTATACACAGTAGACCCCAAAAAACACAGTATGGATTTTTGTTTTCTCCATAGTGATCGACAACTTGAAACTTTTGTTTAGAATATAGTTACCAGAGCGATAAAACTTCGATATTTGTCCAGAAAATATAGTTCAATGTTCCACGAAAAGAAGAATTGAAATGCATTGTTTTTTTTTGTTTCTCACAACAACAACAACAACAAAAAAACAGCAAGAACGACAAATAAAAATTTAATAACTACCAACTTCCTCTGGGTTTTTTTTTCATAAAAGAAAGCCAAACTAAAAACCACCCAGTTGTTCTTTCCTACCTTTAAGGAAAACCCAAAAAGTTGGTCATGGCTTGGACAAACAGCCCTTGAACATCTTGAAGATAGGACGAATCATGTTCGCCACCTTCTTCATGATCTTCTTCTTCATCTTCTTCTTCTCCTCAGGCCTCCTCACCGGATCACAACTACACTCTTCATGAAGAACAACTGTCGTTTGTTCCTCATCTATCTCATCGAGATTAGCTTCATCGCTTAATGTTGTGGCAGCAATGCTACCTTCTGAGCACAAAGTGGTCAGCAAGTTGGTCAATAAGACAGTAATCTCCTCAAACTCAGGACGTGCTTCCGGGTCTTCTGCCCAGCAAGACTCCAGAATGGGGACAGCTTCATTTGGAATACCCCTTAGGCTTGGCCTCTCGTTATTCTGTATGAAAAAATAAGATCCAACATTTTCAAAATCTAAAGATATTTATTTTCTTCTGTAAAATAACATTGTTGATTTTGTGACATTTACCTTGCTGATAAAGTAAGGCACAAGGATATTTGGAATTCCACTGAATGGTTGTCTGTTAGTAAGCAGCTCCCAAAGAACTATAGCAAAGCTGTAAACATCAATTTTGTGATCATAATGCTTTTTCTCCCCTTGTCGCGCCTCACGGCTAAATGCCTGTGGATACGAAAACACAAAACATTTGATTTTGATATGCTTTAATTAAACAATCTTGGAGGAGAGAGACTTAGCTCAAAAGAATCACCTCAGGAGCCATCCATCTGTAAGTGCCGGCCTCACAAGTCATAGTGTCCGCAGTCTCTTCTCTTGCTACTCCAAAATCAGCCAACTTCGCATGTGCCAGATCACCTGTCACCAATATGTTTTCTACACACACATTGACCACAATTAACTCTTAAAGCTTTTTCTATACAAGAGATGAGTAAAATGTAAATAGATGGATCATATTTACTTGGCTTTAGATCACGGTGGATGATGCCATTTGAATGCACATACTCCATTGCTCGAGAGATGTCCAATGCAAAGTTGAGTGACATCTTGAGATTAAGAGGCGTTGGACGACAGTCCCACAACAACCTTTGAAGGGTACCGCCTTCAAGGAGTTCGGTAACTATCATCAGTGATGGCTCTATGCAAGCTCCATAAAACTGTCGATTCATATAAATAAATAAAACATGCTTGCTTATTATTTACAGTTTGATATTGAAAACACCCCCAAACGATTTTATTTTTCAAGTACCTCCACAATGTTGTTGTTAGTATTAATCTTGGATAGTAACAGGACTTCATTTTGAAACTTTTCCTTCTGATGTTTGCTTGCAGCAGATGTTTGACTTGGCTGCAGTACCTTCACCGCCACTGGAACTTGATTTTTGAATCTATAAATCATGAGACAAAAAGGAATTAATATCGAAATCTATCCATGTTTTGAGGGAAGATGCTAATCAAAAACAGGGATTAGACATCATATAGATTATGTTAATCCAAACACTTGAGCTAGCTCTTTTTTTGTTTTGTTTAAGTAGCACGAAACTTCTTTGTTATGTGACTTGTTAAGATTTTGTCATTAATTGTTTTTCTCTGTATACCATCTAATATTCACACAAACTTGTGGTGCAGATAGCATTTTGACAAATATCATTATCCTTAATTTACCTTCTGATATTAGATTAAAACCTCAATTAATGCCTCAATGAAAATTTCGCAGTGAAACTTGAAGAACGAAGAATATAATGACCAAATTTCGTTTGGGGAAAACCTAACAAACAATACAGTTCAGATTCAAAGAACAAAGTGGAGGAGCTCTAAAAATCATACACTGTAAACTGAAAAGAAATCAAAATCAAAATAAAAATCAAGCAAAATGAAAAGTGGAATATTAATTAATTAAACGCACAGGGAATTCACACACAAAATGAAATCTTAGAGAGAGAGTCTAACCCCAAAAAATCTTAGAGAGAGAGAGAGAAGAGAGAGAAGAGGGAAGAGGACACTTACAATCCTTTGAAAACCATGGAGTAGCCTCCTTCTCCAATCAACTCTCCTATCACGATGTCGTTTGGGTCGAGAAGCAATTCTTCCCCGATACTGAACTCGAATTGTTCCTCAGCCTCATCATCACCTTCATAGTTAAACGATGACACGACCAAAGGGAAACTTGGGCTAAGCGACATCGTAGAAGCAGTCGCCACTGTAGGAGTTGTCTGGTACAATTGAGCTCTCATTTCTAAAGACTGGAAGTGAGGGAGGAAGATGGCATAGAGAAGCACTCACTTGGGGTATTTATCTACTCCATAATCTGAGGCAGGGTATTTCTGTAACATTGAAAAATTGTATTCTTATAAATTGGATGGGAGTCAACAAAAAAAAATTTTCTTTTATGTATTAAATGATAATTATCTCATTAATTTGAAATTGAAGTGTTTATCAGTAAGCTATGGTGTGGTTTCGTTCATAATCTTATCTCATATAACGACGATATTAAGACAAATACATATCCACCCTGTATGCAAATGTGCCTCTCTGGAAAAGTTTCATATGCATGCATGAAGTGTACAAATGGTATACCACAAAAAAGGGAAAGAAAAACTCATTGGAAGTTTTTAAAAACATTGTTTCCGTTTCAGCTCTGGATTCTATATTAAGAAGTCAGGTTTCTATTGGTTACATAGATAAAAACAAAAAATCTGTTATATTATTTGGAATGTTGCAATATTTGATATTATATACTGCTAAGAAAAATAATTTAATAATGCCACTAGTATTTTTAGTGAAAGAATATTAGCATAATTATTCTTTACGTGAATGATGCTAAAATAAATAGTGTTAAACGATATCTGTGTAGAAAAACTGATAAATGATCGAGTCAATATTGACTCACGTCACATTCACATACTCACATACATATTTTATCTGATTTGAACCCATGGCTATACCCCATGACAGAAAGACATACAAATTACTATGCTATAAACTCCATTTAATCCTAGCTTATGTAATTCAACTGATACATAACGATTTTTTAAACAATTTTTTTGATGAAAAAATATATTAAGAGAAATTTCCAATAAAAGTTATTGATAAATATCAAGTTTTTAATTTATTGGTTCATTTTTACAATTTTTCTTTCTCCTAATGAGGTTTGTTTTACCTTTTATATACATAAGAAACATCCAACAAAAAATAACAAAAAGACCAACTTTTTTGTCAGTACCCCTTTTTATTCAAGGGAAAGTTGTTACAAAAAACTAATTTTGTTTTAATCTTCCCAATCTTTTTCTTTCATTTAGGAAGTAAATCATAAAATAGATATTTTCCACTTTGGTATTGATCCTGTACCACATGATAAATACAGATATAAAAACCAAATTTAGTTAAAGAAAAATTACATATGTGGAAATTTTGTTTTGTTAAAATGTTAAATTTATTTATTAACAAAATATTACTTCGAAAAAAGGAAAAGCAATCTTTGAACCATTTCTTTTGATAAAAAACAAAAGTATCCTATTTTTTCCTTAGAAAACAAAAGGGTAAATATAACTCTTTTAACAAATTTGAAATGTGGTGTTCTGCAAAGAAGAAGAGAATTTTTGGAGGCTTCACCAATGACTCTATTTTTTTTTGTGGCATATATTTGCTTTATGGACAAATAAAACCCAAATTTGCTTTGTTTAAGGTTTACTAGTATTTATAAAATCAAGTTTATAGTTTAGTATTTCTGAATTTGATATAAAAGAATTGATGAGTTTAAAAAATTTGATCATTCAAATATCTTTTTCGATGAAGATATTTAAATGAAGTATGTTAATCTAAAATCTATATAATTTCGATAACTTTACTATAACTATGCTTACATAATTAGTTGCTGAACTCAACAAAAATGGATGTAGTACTATGAGTCTATGACTTATATGTTAGGAAACCTACAACAGACCTAAACTATTACATAAAGGATGTGAGCTAACTTCATTCATTACCAATCACAATCAGCTTTGTGTTGGATTGGATATTCATGAAATCTACGAATATATATTTAGGTTCTTCGGAGAGGGATTCAATCATTCAAGACATAACTGAAGAAGAAAGAAGACCAAACAATTAAAAGTCTTGGAGACTGCTTTTATTTAATAACCCCCCTCATTAAGAACCAAAAAAAAAACAAAAGTTTGTTAATCTATACGGCTTCTTTAAGCAATTCGGAGAATAAGAAGACAAATGATAAACAAAGAAAATAGTGCAAACAATAGATTAGGGAGAAAGGAATAAGAAAGGGAAAACAAAATGCCGGAACTTTTAAATAAAACAACAGTACGTACCTACATTATGATTAACAAGTCGAAAGAAAGAATTTCCGAGATCAGAACAAAATCAGAGGAGAGAAAATCCCGAAACTGTTGACTACACAATAGAAACGAAACTGAAACTGAAACTGAAACCAATTAACACATTTTACGACTAGAAGCGGTGGAATTCTTCTCACAATTTTCAAATTTTCAACGTTATAGTATAGTAACTTGGGGAATAAGTCATTTTAACAGTTTTTACATTTGCCGACCATAATGGGGAAAGACATAAATACCCATTGGTATTGTAATTTTTCGGTCGGCCTATCTTTAAGCTCAAAAGCTTTCGCTGACGTTAGTCGCAGACTATTTAGGTACAATCATACATATCGATTTGGATGTGAAAATTCCATCAATAATTGGTTGGGGTTAAATAGTTGCAATGTACGCCATCCCTTAAAAATGATTGAACTACTTTAGTTGAAACCATTATCTTTAAACAAAACCTGTCGCATAATAAACAAATTAGTTGATTTGGTAAAGTTTTGACTTTTATTGGTAAAATATTGTTTACGGGTTAAATATTTGTATCACTGAAAACGAATGAATATTTTATTTGAAACCATATGTTTTTTGTTTTATTGGTCAACGAAATAATATGTTTACATACATACACACCTACCGGCGTTTTAAAATGCTCCCACGTCGTAGAAAATCAAATGCTCTTGAAACTATCGGATGTAGAGGAGTTTTCACGTCCGAACTAATTTGTTATTTAATTTGTTTCTTAAAGTTAATTGGAGCATATAGAGATTAAGACAAAATTGAGCTACTCCCTCCTTGTTTCTTCATGTATTTTAATCATATACTTTTTTGTGATAATCAAAGATTTGGAGATTTTTTTTTATAAAACTTCATCATACAAATTAAATTCTGATTATTTGAATTTTAAAATGCAAAAACATTAAACAACCAAACGACATGCAGTTCAGACGTAAAATCAAGAAACGGTAAGCAACTTTAGGCACCACTCGCCGTGCCTTGGTCCAAAAGAAATTCACATTCCTCGGCGACTTTCGACAGCGATCCATGTCCCGACTTCTCCGCCGTGTATCTCAGCTTCTTCACCTTCTTTCTCATCTCACAACCTTCCTCTTCCACCATAATCCTTCTCACCAACACCTCTACCTCCGACCTCGGAATCACTCCCTCCCACGGCAATTCTTTAGATCGGACAGCAATACCAAGCTCCTCATTGAGCAGCGTTGCATTCATCTTTTGATCCCCAAAAAGCGGCCAAGCGATCATCGGAACGCCGCTAACCACGCTTTCAAGAATGGAGTTCCAACCGCAGTGAGTCAAAAACCCTCCAACGGCTTTGTGAGCTAATATCTCAGCTTGCGGTGCCCATGATGGCACCACCAGGCCTCTCTCTTGAGTCCGGCTAACGAACTCTTCCGGTAGATAATCCGGCGTACAATCTCCTCTTTGGACCGATAAATACTCGCTGCTAGCTGAACCGTCTACAGGCGGTCGGACCACCCAAACAAACCGTTGCTGACTCAGCTCTAGCCCCCAAGCAAATTCGGTTAGCTGTTTAGAAGAGAGAGAGCCGCCGCTTCCGAATGAAATGTAAAGCACCGACTCGTCCTGCTGTTCGTTTAACCAATCCAAAACCGGATGATTGGCACTCGATGGATCAGCCGGTCTGCACAACGGACCAATTGGATAGACCGGTACACGAGCGATTTTACCCAAGAGATTAGGATCCTGAAGAGATTTCAAAGTCTTGGACTCCATATCATCCCATGAGTTCACAATGATGCCATCAGCCGTCGGAGGTAGTGAACTGAGAGGAACAAGTTCTTGGTATATCTGGTCGGTCGGGTCAAGGTACGATTCGAGAGTGTCCTCAAACCGAACCGGTTCACATCCCGGTATAGCCAAAGGTTTCTTGTTGACTATGTGCTCTTCTTCAACGTCTTTGTCCAGCGTTGGAAAATACATAGACACCGCGAGAAAGCGCGCACTTGAGGGGATGAAGGCATAAGTCAACATGTTGAACTCTTTACCGATCGGTATCGCGTCCAAGCCTAACAAGTCCACGATCAGAGCCGTTGGTTTAGGCTGCATGGCAGCGATCTTTGATCGGAGGGTGGAAACGGTCTCACGCATCATGAACAAGATCTTGACCGCGATAAAAGTCGATGAGTCAACTAGGCCTGAGATGTCTGGAGACGGGAGACCGATGATGTCGATGAGGCTGGCGTCGGAGCCAGGTGAGCTGAGGAATTGGGACTGAGCGGAGGCTGCGTCAGCTTCGAGGACGAAGATGGTGATGCGGAAGCCGTGAGAACCAGCTAAGCGTTTTCCGAGTTCGATCACCGGGATGACGTGGCCCATTCCTGGGCTGGCGAGCATTACCGCGTGAGGTTTTGTAATCTCCATAGCTTTGATCGCCGATTCGATGAACGTTGCCTTTTTTCGTTTGTTGTGTGCCTTTTTGTTGTTGTTGTTGTCGTTGTGTGCGTTTAATATACATATATAGAACCAAAAGTCTTTAAGCATTTTGTAAATAAATTAAAAAAATGGGGCAGTTTTGTTTAAAAACAATTGATGTGGTAGTAGATAGACCTTTTTTTATATTTACTTATTACAATCTATTAAAGAAAACAAAAGATATGTATCATTTATGTATTTTTCAAGCAATCGGAAGAACAATGACACAAATTATAAACTAAGGATTTGTCTAGAAGAAAAAAAGTTTATATACAAAGAAAAAATAATGGGAGGCAATTGTCGATGTCCTGCTAGACACGGAACAAGATATGATCATCTCATTGTTTCTGAAGAGCAAGCAACAGTTTCTTGGATTTGGAGAGAAATGAATGGACGAAGTCATGGTGAACAACCTACACCTCCATCGTGCCTCAATCAACGCATTGACAAAAAAGTCCGTAATAGACTCACATCTATACGTAGCTTGGGTGATGCAAGATTCGACAATGGCATGCAAACTTGGTTCGTAGCTTAGGTCAACGAAACCATATTTTACTTAAACCTATCAGCATTTTTAAATGCTCCCAAAACTATCGGATGGAGAGGAGTTGTCACGTTCAAACTAATTTGTTATTGGTTTTACTTAAACTAATTGGAGTACATAGAGATTAGACAAAATTAAGCTACTCCCTTTGCATTCAAACAGTGAATGTTTGAGTTTTAAAATGTAAAATACAGTAGTGATTTTTTTTATGATAACAACAAGTGTGGTGGTAACATGAAAGAAAGGCGGAAACGAATACAATATTCAAAAAACATTCAAACGACACGCAGTTCAGACGTAAAATCAGCAAACGGTAACCAACATTAGGCACCACGCGCCGTGCCTTCTTGGTCCAAAAGATGTTCACATTCCTCGGCGACTTTCGACAGCGATCCATGTGCCGACTTCTCCGCCGTGTCTCTCAGCTTCTTCACCTTCTTTCTCATCTCACAGCCTTCCTCTTCCACCATAATCCTTCTCACCAATACCCCGACCTCCGTCCTCGGAATCACTCCCTCCCACGGCAGTTCTTTAGATCGGACAGCAATACCAAGCTCCTCATTGAGCAGCGTTGCATTCATCTTTTGATCCCCAAAAAGCGGCCAAGCGATCATCGGAACGCCGCTAACCACGCTTTCGAGAATGGAGTTCCAACCGCAGTGAGTCAGAAACCCACCAACGGCTTTGTGAGCTAAGAGCATGTATAATGGTGGGTGCTTAATAAAACGCTTAATAATATTTTACTATTAAAATTATCATTGGGACTCGAGAGAAAAATAGAAAAAAGAGAAGAGAGAGAAAGAAAAGTGGAGAATGAAGACAAAATGTGTTTACTTTTTCCTTCTCAATTTTTTCTTTCCAATTACTATGTGACACGTTGCACAAGCAGCGGTGCTTGTCACGCCTAAATAAGCTTCGAAGCTTCCTTTTATCAGCATTTTTGATTTATTTTTTCTCTAAGCTCCCTCTCAAGCGACTAGCGTTGGACATGCTCTAATATCTCAGCTTGTGGGGCCCACGAAGAGACCACCACGCCTCTCTCTTGAGTCCGGCTAACAAACTCTTCCGGTAAATAATCCGGCGAACCATGGCCACTGTTGACCGATAAATACTCGCTGCAAGCCGAACCGTCTACCGGCGGTCTGACCACCCAAATGAACCGTTGCTGACTCAGCTCGAGCCCCCAAGCCAATTCAATTAGCTGTTTAGACGAGAGAGAGCCGCCGCTTCCGAATGAAATGTAAAGTACCGACTCATCTGGTTGTTCGTTTAACCAATCCAAAACCGGATGATCAGCATTCGATAGATCAGCCGGTCTGTACAACGGACCAATTGGATATACCGGTACACGAGCAATTTTACCCAATAGCGTTGGGTCTTGAAGAGATTTCAAAGTCTTGGACTCCATAAAATCCCATGTGTTCACAATAATGCCATCAGCCGTCGGAGGTAGTGAACAGAAAGGAACAAGTTCTTGGTACATCTGATTGGTCGGGTCAAGGTATGGTTCGAGAGTATCCTCAAACCGAACCGGTTCACATCCCGGTATAGCCAATGGTTTCTTCTTGATTATGTGCTCTTCTTCAATATCTTTGTCCAGCGTTGGAAAATATATAGTCACCGCGAGAAGACGCGCACTTGAGGGGATGAAGGCAAAAGTCAACATGTTGAGCTCTTTGCCAAGCGGTATCGCGTCCAAGCCTAACAAGTCTACAATCAGAGCCGTTGGTTTGTGCTGCATCTCCTCGATCTTTGATCGGAGGGTGGAAACGGTCTCACGCATCATGAACAAGATCTTGACCGCGATATAAGTCGATGAGTCAACTAGACCTGAGATGTCTGGAGTCGGGAGACCGATGATATGGACGAGGCTGGCGTAGGAGCCAGGTGAGCTGAGGAATTGGGACTGAGCGGAGGCTGCGTCAGCTTCGAGGACAAAGATGGTGATGCGGAAGCCGTGAGATCCAGCTAAGCGTTTTCCGAGTTCGATTACCGGGATGACGTGGCCCATTCCCGGGCTGGCGAGCATTACCGCGTGAGGTTTAGTAATCTCCATAGCTTTGATTGTCGATTCGATGAACGTTGTTGCCTTTTTTCGTTTGTTGTGTGCGTTTTTGTTGTTGTTGTCGTTGTGTGCGTTTAATATGTATATAGAAGAACCAAAAGTCTTTAATATTTGGTAAATAAAATAAAAATTGGGCAGTTTTGTTTAAAAACAATTTATGTGGTAGTAGATAGACCTTTTTATATTTACTTACAATCTATTAAAGAAAACAAAAGATATGTATAGTTTACGTATTTTTCAAGCAATCGGAAGAACAAGGACACAAATTATAAACAAAGAATTTTGTCTAGAAGGAAAAAAGTTTATTTATAAAGGAAAAATAATGCACATATTATGGACCCAAATTAAGTGTATGCTTAATCCAATTACCCTAAACACAAGTCTTTTCTTTTTCTTGGCAATAATCAAATTTCTTTGTTAAATAAAGATTAAACTCTCGAAATAACAAAGTGGATATCAGGTAGTTTCAGCCGAGAAAACAATTTGTTCGAGTGTCCCCGATCATAAAGAGCAACTCTTCTTCACATTCACTTAATCGAAATCGAAAACAAGCAAAAATAGTCGAGGATTTAGTACGAAGATGATACAATCACGTTGCTAAAAATCTGGGGGTGGATTTCTTCTCACAATGTTTTTTTTAACAGTAACGTGTGGAGGAAGTTTTATTTTTCTTCTTCTTCTTCTTCTTCTTCTTCTTCTTCTAACGTCCAACAGTTAATATGGCCTTATTTGCTATATTGGACTAAGCTATAATTCTATAAAGCCCATCAGTATTTGTATTATTTTCACGCCGGAAGCTAGTTTTGTTGTTGTAATTGGTTTAAATCTGGTTAGTATTGCATTTAATTGGTTAGTGCTTGCTTGGTACCACATTAAACTGTGTTCCGAGTTCCGACTACTGAGGTTTCGAACTATGATTTCAGATTGATATAAGTTCTTCTAGTTCGGATGTAATTAGGTTTTAAACTTTGTTTTTATGGAGATATAGTACAAGAATTTAGTTTGGACTACATCTAGTGCTATCGACTATCGTGAAGAAATAGATTGTCTAAGCTTGTTTTTGATTTTGAAAAATTAGTTGTTAAACAAACAAAGAGAGAAATTGGTCTCTATCAAACAATAGTCTTGAACACAAACACAAATAGTTGCCAACTCGACAAGCTTGGACCACATGATAACAGTTTAACTTAATCTACATATAAAACAAATTTCATAGTCACAAATTAATAATAATATAGCCAGTATACTACGTGGATTCAATTTCAATTGTGTAACCTTTTCAAGGAATATACATGTATAACAACTTGTAATAAATCTATGACTACCACAGTCAAGCGGTTGCTTATAAGACGATTTTTTTTTATAATACATGGAATCAAATAAGACAAGCATATAAATTATGCCTTTGAATGGTAACACAAATCAAATAATGCATTATATGTATACTTTTCGGTGGACAATGCATTATATGCTGCATAATTTATGCAGAATCAATTGATAAGATACTGACATACTGTAACACAAGCCATTGCTTAAAAGTTGAAATGATTGAAGTATTTTATTGGAACCCGTTAGCCATATCATATGGATTCAAATAAGAGTACGTGTGTGCGGTGTACTGTATAAGGAATATGACAATAGAAAACAAAACACTACTAGTATTTTAAAGACATTTTAAAATGCGCCCATGCATATCCCAATAATATCGGAGGTAGATCAACTGTCACATCCGAATCGTGAGTGAGTGCTGTTTTTATAGCTCTAGTTGGTTTTGATCACACTTTTCTTTGACTTGATTAGTTCTAAAAGCCATTACTCATTACAGGCTTTCAGCCCACGCCTACAATTTATTTCTTCTTAATCTCAGTTCCAATAAAATTAAAGTTTCTCTAATCAACCAGGCGTTTATTATAAAAAAAAAAAAATCAAATAGTCCTGAATAAAGAAGATTAATAAAGTTCGTTGAAAGTATATATAAGACAAAATTGAGCTACTCCCACTTTGTGTTTTTTACTGCCTCCCACTTTGTTTCTTTAGATAGATAATGTATGTCAATTAGATGTCAGGTTCAATAATTTATCTAGATTCTAATACAATTACCTAAGGGTATACTAGTAATGGTTATGAAATCTTACTATAGAACTAAATAACTAATGCAGTTACCATCATCATAGTTTGTTATACATCAACAGATTCTTATACGAAAAGTTTATAAATCAACATTGATAGAAAACGTAATTACACAAATTAAAAACCGATTCTTTTATTTATTTGTACAATGTAAATACACTAGACCCACTTACATTGACAAAATAAAAACACTATAGCATGCGGCACGACCTATATAGTAACTGAATAGTGAGAATACAAATATTTCAAAGACAGTAAAAACGACACGCAGTTGTAAGCATTACAATTTCAAACGGTAAGCATTCTTAGGAACCACGTGCCTTTCCTTTGACGCGCTCTAAATGACGCTCGCACTCGTCGGCGACTCTCGACAGAGACTTGTGTGCCGTTCCACTTCCACCGTCGCAACTCACCGACTCCGCCGCCGTGTCTTTCAGCTTCTTCACCTTGTCTCTCATCACACAACCTTCCTCCTCCACCATTATCCTTCTCACCAATGCCTCTATCTCCTCCCTACAAATCACTCCCTCCGACGGTAATTTCTTAGACCGGACGGCAATTCCAAGCTCCTCGTTGAGCAGCGTCGCATTCATCTTCTGATCGGCGAAAAGCGGCCAGGCGATCATCGGAACACCGTTGACAACACTCTCAAGAATCGAGTTCCAACCGCAGTGGGTCAGAAACCCTCCAACGGCCTTGTGGGCCAGGATCTCAGCTTGCGGGGCCCACGTAGGGACGACCATGCCTCTCTCGTGAGTCCGGCTAGCGAAATCTTCCGGTAGATAATCCGACGTACAGTTTCGTCTTTCCCCGTTGTTAACCGTGAAATACTCGCTGCTAGCTGGACCGTCTACAGGCGGTCGGACCACCCAAACGAACCGTTGCTGACTCAGCTCGAGCCCCCAAGCCAATTCCGTTAGCTGCTTAGCCGAGAGAGAGCCGCCGCTTCCGAATGATACGTAAAGCACCGACTCGTCCGGTTGTTTGTTTAACCAATCCAAAACCGGATGATTAGTTTTCGATGGATCGACCGGTCTGCTCAAAGGACCAATTGGATAAACCGGTACACGAGCGATCTTACCCAAGAGATTAGGATCTTGAAGAGATTTCAAAGTCTTGGACTCCATATCATCCCAAGTATTCACAATGTAGCCATCAGCCGTCGGGTATAGTAAACCGAGAGGAATACATTCCCGGTACGTCTGGCCGTTCGGGTCAAGGTATGGTTCAAGGGTGTCCTCAAACCGAAGCGGTTCGCATCCCGGTATAGCTAATGGTTGCTTCTTGACTATGTGCTCTTCTTCGACGTCTTTGTCCAGCGTTGGGAAATACATAACCACCGCGAGAAAACGCGCGTTTGAGGCGATGAAGACATAAGTCAGCATGTTGAACTCTTCACCGAGCTTTAACGCGTCCAAGCCAATCACGTCTACGATCAGAGCCGTTGGTTTGTGCTCCATCTCAGCGATCTTTGACCGGAGGGTGGGAATGGTCTCACGCATCATGACTAAGAGCTTGACGCCGACAAAGGCTGACGGGTCCACTAACCCTGTGATGTCCGGCGTGGGGAGTCCGATGACGTCAACAAGGTTCCCGTCGGAGCCAGGTGAGTTGAGGAATTGGGACTGAGCGGAGGCTGCGTCGGCTTCGAGGACGAAGATGGTGACGTGGAAGCCGTGAGATCCAGCTAAGCGTTTTCCGAGTTCGATCACCGGGATGACGTGGCCCATTCCTGGGCTGGCGAACATGGCCGCGTGTGGTTTTGTAATCTTCATAGCTTTGATCAATGATGATTTTTTGTTTGTTTGGTTGTATGATAAAATCAATGATGATTTGATGAAGGTTGGCACTTTTCTCTACTCTGTTTTGTGAGTTTGATATATAGAACCAACAATCTTAAAACGTTTATAAAATGGTAAAGGTCTTTGTCTATCTACCACGTTGATTGTCTTATTCAAAACTTGTCCCATTTTCTAATATGTGTATGTGTAAGTGTATCTCAACTATACATATTTAACTATTTATATATTAGATGACGTGTAGCGCAAATTTCAAATATCAAATTAATTAGATGATTTGTCATGGTTTTGAGTCTTTTGACACTGTTCGTATTTTAAATTTAATCAAATCTATCACTAATATATTTACCAATAAATTTAGGATTTCTGTCATTTTTTGTTCAGTTAAGTTTACATTCGAATTTAGTTTTGTAGATTTATAAATAACGACAATTTATTCAAACCATACTAAGATATAATTCGATTATTGATACAACAATTTGGTCCAGATCTATCCTTATTTTAATCAGGGTAGGTGGTCTACTGTCAATTAGTGAACAATAGCGTGGAGAGGAGAGGCTTTATTTTTCTTCTTCTAACTTTTAGTATTTCTTCGACTGTTGTGACGGAACGGAGCTTAATATGGGCTTACTAGTTATATTGGGCCAAGATATAAACGGAGCCTATTCGTAGTTTTATTTAATTGTTCAAAAAAAAAAGAGAGAGATACTTGTTTATCATCCTCAAAGATACAACTTCATTTGTATATCTACTACAAACTTGAAAAGATACATTGTGTTTCTCACCTTCAACAAATAGTAACAACCCAATACTAGACTACAACCTAAAATAGCATAGTAAGGTGAGAAGAAAGAAACCTTTTTTGGCAATATTTTCCGACACACATGGTCGGTCTTGACATTTCTGTCTTTATTCTAGAATAGCTTTTTAAGTATTGGATATAATTATATAGTACACAGATTCCTTCAATGAAATCTCACAAACAACTTGTTCCATTCCAAGATTGTACAAATATGTCCAAATTTTAACCAAAACAAAAGAAAAATGTTGTACAAATATGCCATTGCCCAAAAGAGTGCAGTTGCTTATGCGTCAAGGCACTGATGAAGCTTCGGGTAAGCCTCTTAACACCATACCATCGAACCCATCATCTATCATCTCTTAAGTCCCATTATATCCTTCATGAATCCAACTGCATCAAACCCCGAGGCAGCAACATTTATTACACTTTTGAACACATGGAGGATGAAAGATCCATGCATTTGCTAGGAGGTGGACATTGTCTCCGTAGTGGCTCGTCTTCTTTGCCATTATTTGAAATAAAAGTCATTCTTTCCAAAAGACGCCGGCACTCGTCGGCGACTCTCGACAGCGACTCGTGCCCTGATCCACCACCGTCGCAGCTTAACGACATCTCCGCCGTTTCCCTCAACTTATTCACCTTCTCTCTCATCTCGCAACCTTCCTCCTCCACCATAATCCTTCTCACCAACGCTTTGATCTCCTCCCTCGATATCACTTCTTCCGACGGCAGTTTCTCTGCCCTGACCGCGATTCCTAGCTCCTCGTTGAGCAGCGTCGCGTTCATCATCTGCTCCGCGAAAAGCGGCCAAGCGATCATCGGAACGCCGCTAACAACGCTCTCAATGATCGAATTCCAACCGCAATGAGTCAAAAACCCACTCACGGCTTTGTGGGCTAGGATCTCAGCTTGCGGGGCCCAAGAAGAAACCACGAGACCTCTTTCTTGAGTCTTGCTAACAAACTCTTTCGGCAGATAATCCGGCGTACCGTCTCGTGGTTCGTCGCTGTTAACCTTGAAATACTCGCTGCAAGCTGAACCGTCTACCGGCGGTCTGACCACCCAAACGAACCGTTGCTGACTCAGCTCAAGCCCCCAAGCCAATTCGGTTACCTGTTTAGCCGAGAGAGAGCCGCCGCTTCCGAATGATACGTAAAGTACAGACTCAACCGGTTGTTTGTTTAACCAATCCAAAACCGGATGACTAGTTTTCGATGGATCAACCGGTCTGGTCAAAGGACCAACCGGATAAACCGGGTTACGAGCGATCCGACCCAAGAGCGTTGGGTCTTGAAAAGATTTCAAAGTCTTGGGCTCTATAGCATCCCATGTGTTCACAATTAAGCCATCAGCCGTTGGATAAACTAAACCGTAAGGAACAAATACCCGGTATAACTCGTCCGAGGGGTCAAGGAATGTTTCAAGAGTGTCCTCAAACCGGACCGGTTCACATCCAGGCAAAGCCAAGGGTTTCTTCTTGATTATGTGCTCTTCTTCGACGTCTTTCTCCAGCGTTGGGAAATACATAATCAACGCTAGAAAGCGCGCGTTTGAGGCGATGAAGATGTAAGTCAACATGTTGAACTCACCACCGAGCTTTAACGCGTCCAAGCCGAACAAGTCTACGATCAGAGCCGTTGGTTTGTGCTCCATCTCCTTGATCTTTGATCGGATGGTTGGAATGGTCTCACGCATCATGATCAAGATCTTGATCCCAAAATGGATTGATGGTTCCACTAAGCTGGAGATGTCCGGCGTTGGGAGTCCGATGACGTCAATGAGGTTTGCGTCGCAGCCTGGTGAGTTGAGGAATTGAGATTGAGCGGAGGCTGCTTCGGCTTCAAGGAGAAAGATGGTGACGTGGAAGCCGTGAGATACAGCTAAGCGTTTTCCGAGCTCGATCATCGGGATGATGTGGCCCATTCCTGGACTGGCGAACATGACGGCATGTGTTTTTGTAATCTGCATCGCTTCGGTCGGTGAATGTTTAGCTTTGTTTGATGTTTGGGTTACTCTCTGATAGTTGGAAGTGATCAAATATATAGACCTTCAACATTTTACCCAAAAAAAGAAAAAAAAAATGTATATAGACCTAAAAGTCTTCCAAAGTTTGTAATAAATAGTATAAAATAAGGTCTTATCTACCATTTTAATTCTCTTGTCTTTTACGAACAAAAGTACAACAAATCTAATTCAATAGTATAATAAATATGTCAAAATGTCATAAGATTTATTAGCGATCAAGAGGGGGAGATTCCGTGACCAAAGACAGCCACTGCAAAAAGAAACAAAGAAGCTGTGGCTATCGGTCCAATATTATAAAACTAGATATATTTTTTTCAATAATAGAGTAAATGCTTACACACTTACATGTATAATAGTAATATGAAACAAGCTTGGCCACTTCAAGCTAAAACAGTTTTTGTAATATGGAATTGTCAAATCGTCGGACAGAAATGAATAATTTCTGAGATAAGGCCAACATAAATTGCTATCACCTGAGACCCAACTTGCTTCACACGAAGAACAAACACTTCACAAAGGCAAAACGAACGGATATAAATAATTTCATAGAAAAGGCCAACACAAATTGCTATCACCTAGAAACACATATTGCTATCATTAACTTTTTTCTTCGATAGGTTAATTAGTCTCTAACCAAATTTGGTCATAAACGCTTTACATTGCATAGACTAAATCAACTTTTATACTCGTTATATTATTGGGACGATTCGTCTAAGGGATAAAACGGATATGTATCTCATTTCTCTACAATAATATCGGTTATCGAACGTCCCCACCCTCATCAAGTCATCATAAATGCTAATAATTATCAACGTCTGACTTTTTCATAACAAATTTATCAACATTGGGCTGCGAGAGCGGTGGCGTCTTTGGGATAGAATTATTAGCTTATCGTCATGCAAGTTGAACATAGACTACCGAGTGTCGGAGTGCCGTAACGACACCGTATCTGGATGCTATGAGAAAGAGAGAGAGAGAGAGAGAGTCAACTAATTAAGAGCAATCAAGTTCGTTCGTGTAGTATAGATTCCTGATGAAAATTAACGATAGAGAGGTTTTTGTTTTTTGTTTTTGTTTTATTCTTTTCAAAACGATAAGTCTTTTTCTCTAGAATTGCGTTAAAAAGTTTATTTGTATATAAGGAAAATGCCATGTTTGGATCTTACGTAAATCCCACGTTACTTAAAATGACCGAAAGATTGTTGGATTGATAATTTTCTAGCTCTTCAATTCTTGAAGACAAATTGACAGGAACTAAACAATAAGGAGTGATACTTTATTCTGTTTCGCAGTAATAATTACGAGTATTTGTTTTTGGTTTGACAAGTATTCTCTCGTGCAGTTCCACTTCCAAAATTCAAACTATATATATCCCAAGTTTCCCAACTCCCAAGTAGAAATGATTATAACTCTTTAAATAGTTTGTTTGTAAACTCGATCAATCTATTATAGATTAGCGCTTAACGTAAGTAAAAAAATAACATTAAGATAGTAGATTCGTACAGTTAACTGAATGGTTTACGAGTATTAAGCGAAGGTTATACACTCAAGCATGTAAATGCGTTTATCGTCTTATGACTTTTAGAGTCATAGATTGTGTTTGCCTGTAAGTGTATAGCTACGGCCTTTCTCGCGGCCCATTCTGGTCTACTAAGTCAATGACATGTTTTAGCCCACTGAATGGGAAAACGATTCTACTGTTTGTAGGAAAATGAATAGCAAACCGGAATGTTCTCTTCCAAACTGAATCTTTATAAGTAAACCGATGTGAGCATGACCCGAATATACATAACATACATTTTGTATTCCTTTGAAAAAACAATTTACATGTACAGTATTTGTTTAGGTCCCCCCCAAGAAAAAAAAACTTGAACTTAACCCAAAACGTAGTGATACGGAAATGCTATTTGGTATTAATATATGACAAACTTAGTGATCCTACTAAGATGTCTATACTACACGATCATTATTCTTTAATAAAAACTACTTCCTCAAAGTAAAATTAAAAACATGCTCCAACAGAAACTAAAAAGGCTTAATAATACATTTACAAATATATCAGTCTCTCAAACTTTTCATAATCGTTGTTTCAAACGTGTAATACTATTAAGGACAAAAGTCTTATAGAACACATGAACCAACCAACCTCTCATGTTTTTAATAGCAGAAACAGCATTTTTCCAACAATACAGTAAGTCACGTAACGATTGATATAGTTTATTTCCCTCATTTAATTTCTTAGAAATAAATAAAATATTACAGGTCCACTAAAAATGGCTGTATGATAGATAGGCACATTGAAAGGTCACGCGTGGTTAGAGAGAGAAATCACATTCACATGCCTCCATCTCCACATGGGGTATGGTCCCTCTCACTTTCACTCACACACTTGCATTTTTCATATCCATCATCACATTTAGAAAATAAAAAAAAATATAAATGAACAACAACGATCACATTTCTTTAAACAAATTAGATTTTGTGAAATGAAGCATTTGATAATGACTATACCAGTAGTGGTCATGATTCATGAATACGTGAACAAGACCAAGAGAAGAAAAACCAAAAGACCATTAGCTACGGCTAAACCGGACCATGGTTTACTGATCCCTTCCTAATCGTTAAAATACGATAATACCCCGGCCTACATTTCAGCCGCGTCCTTTGGCGTTACCTAACGTCAGCTCCAAGTCATCGATACCAACATCGTGAATCTTCTCACCTTCCCAAGGCTTCACCGTCATTTCTCCTCCGCCGCTACCGCTACGACTACCGCTGACACAAACGCTGTTTTTGACGAGGTTAAAAGTCGGAGACGGCGGACATGTCTGAGAAACGTTTACCGGTTGGAAACTGGTCCATCGACACGAATCGACCGTCGAGACATCAGATTCGTCGCATTCGGGGATCGATGTGTAGTGGTGGAGCCGTCGTGTTGGGCTCGACGGAGCTGACACTGCGAAATTGCTGATCTGCCATCTCGGGAGTCTCGGATTTGAGCCTCGAGGTGATGAAATCGGAGGCGTGACAGGGGCACTATTGGAAATTCGGAGAGGAGCTAGATTTCCCGACGAAGCGAGGTTTTGGAGGTAAGGGATGAGATAAGTCGAGGACTGATTCGGGTCGAACCGGTTGGGGTTGTGATCGAACCGGGTCGGGCTTGGGTAAGACGACGAGGCTGGGCTCGCTTGGTACGACGGAATTGGGCTTTGAAAGGCCGATGACTGCGGGCTGAGCTGGATTGACGAACACGCGCTCACGCGCGGCGGTGTTGCTTCTGTTGGTCGGGAACCCTGTCGGAAAATTTACAATGTCGGAATCGGAAAATTGTAATTTAAAAACAAAATTCGAGAATTGGGTGGATTTAAGAGATTGAAGATCGAACCTTTCGGTAAATAGTGCCGTCTTCGTGGACGATCCAACCAGCTTCAACGCAGAGAGCTTTGAGGACCTCATTGTTGTCACAATGCTTGGGGAGTTTGTAATTGCCCTGAGATCTGAGTCCGGTGAATATCTTAGCTGCTATGGCTCTTCTACGTCGCTCTCTCCTCTTGTTGTTCTCTCTCTCCTTCCACGTCGGCATTCTCCCCGCCGCTCCAGCTCCCGCCGCCGCCGATGATTCTCCTCCTCCACCTCCTGATGCCGTCATTCTCTCTCTCTCTCTGTCTCGTCTCTGCGGTCTCTCTGTTATTTACTTGACAAGTTTCGTTTTTTCAGAGTGATTTCTGGTGTTTTTGTTTGTGTTGCGTAATTCTCGAGAAGCGAAAAGACTAAAAGAGTTTTCATTCACGAGGAGAGAACAGAGGAGGCAAAAGTTATAAGCTTTTTGGGTTTTATTTACAGTAATTTAATGGAGAAAAAGATTATATACATATAGCCATTTGATTTCGTTACGTATTATTAGGACGAACTATATACATAACTTATTATAAGTAATTTTGGCATATTAACCCGAAGAAAAAAGTGAAACAAAAGAAGGTGAATCGATGACATCACTTACTGTTCAAAAGCTTGACTTGGAAGTTGTATTATTAGAAAGCTCTCTTCTCATCTGACAATGTTCGGCGGAAAAGGGAAAAAATTCTTCATTTCGGTTTCTACACCGTTTGATCGGAATCTGTGAGGTTTAATCTAACGGATCAAAATGCGAGTGCACGGTGGAAAACATGTGTCAAGGTGCAGAAGAACAAGTGTTTTTTGAGGGGGATGAAACTATATGATGCTAAAAAAAAAAGATGCCTTTTGGTGTCTCTCTCCGGTAATTGTAGTGGTTCATAAGATCTGACGAAAATGTGAAGTTATGAACGGTTCAGATTGAGTGGTCCCCAAACAATAGCAACCTCCGGCTCCAGTCAGGTCAACATGGGAATCATGTATCATGTAACGTACTCAGAGGTTGTGGGCCCTGGTTTGCTTCACACGTGCGACACAGAAACCTATATAGCAAGCACATAGGCTATATTGCTCGAGCCGGAGCCACCACCATGGGCCCCATTCGACTTTTCGAGCCCTACAATGCACGTGACTGTGGGGGCTCTGTATTTCTGAATTCTGATGAATTTTTATACAACTGTATAGTTTATTTATAATTCTCTGAGACCCCTTCTTCTTATCAGTTTAGAATTAGACCACTCACCACTATCACTATGTGCCTAATCATTACTCTTAAAATATTATTACATGTGAAATGTGAAGTGAAAAATTCGCTAGCTTCTTGGTATAGAGAATTTTGGGAAAACAATGCTGCAGATTCTAGGATGAGCGTAACCAAATTTCCCGCTGTTACATCCACCTAACACTAACAGTCCCTTTTCGACAGATTATTCTCTTGACAAGAACGGTAGGCTCGTCGTAACAATTATTGAAGTGGATGGACTATCGAAGTCTGTTAGCATTTGTAGAGTCATCGGCGAGAATGAGTTCAGAACAATTGGAACAGCAAGTGTCGTTGTGGCGAATTATTCAGCATGCAACTATGTTCCGAGTTTAGTTAAGGCTCCACTATTTTTGAACCAAGACAGAAGTCGGGACTGAATGGAGAATACGTAGATTTAACTAGTTTGTTTTTTGGTTGTTTTCTTTAGTTTCTGCTTTGAACCATGCATATCTCATTTCTTGTTATTTTTTTACGATACATATGCTTTCGATACTGATTTCTTATTTGATTACGCTCTTCCTAATCTAATTACGTTAAAAAATAAAAACAAAGAACAAAATGTTTTATCTTATGTGGTTGTTTCTTGTTATAAAAGTAATTGGACTGGGTGTGAGTAATGGAATAATAAAAGTAACGGGAGCGAGAGTTTATGAGATGCGAACATTTTTGGATTAGGTGATCATATTATTTGGACCAATAAGGTTACAGGATATTATTTTTCTATATACATTGTGAAGACTCGACGAAAGAAACTATAGCTTTCGTTCTGAGAAGGCATGAGCCTGAGTCTTTCCTCCGAAATTCACTCGCGATCACAACCAAAGAAGCTTTCTTGAGCGAGCAACGACTGTAAATCGTGTCATGACCTACCTGGCGAGATGGACGAACTAGCACGTTTCTGACCATGAATCGTGTCATGCGTTATAGTAAGGCCCTTTGGGTCTTCACTTTTGGTCTTTGTCTCCATTTGTTTAGGAATGTAGTAGATTCATAGACATTGCGTTTTTCTTATTGTGATGAAATTTGAAACGTTGCTTCTGCAAGTGCATGTGACTGATCTTCTTCCACGACATGGAACCTGTGTATATCTTCTTGGCATACGAAATTTTTTTATGAACATTTTTATTTCCATTCATATGTTCTCAAACTCGTCGGAGACAGTTTGATGGGCCTGGGTGTTTGGCCCAGTGAGCATTCGTTTTGTATGTTATTCTCTCAACAAATTAACCCTAATATGTGGAACTCAAAGTAAAAAGTAAAAAGATCGATAAAAGAAGCTTGTCAAAAAAGCAAAATAATTTTTAAAAGATTGAAGCCAGTGGGAGATAAAAGAAGGACACCAGTTTTGTGCATCTGTTCTGATTTGGTGTCATCAGTTTCGAAGAGGTTGGTTCCTAGCTAAAAACTGATTATTTATATGTTTTCTTCTCCGTTTGTAGCTTTAGGGTTTTTTTCTTTTCTGATTTTCATATTTGCTATATACTTGCTCTCTTTTTTTCTGTATATAGACTAATTTATTGATTACGAAACCGTTACAGGCCATGACACAAACAGTGAAAAAACGGAGAATAAATTTGGCGCCGGTGAAGCTATCAAATGATCTTGAAGAGGAAATCCTCTATAGAGTTCCGTTCAAATCTCTTGCAAGATTCAGATGTGTGTGCAAGTTTTGGAACAGTCTGAGTTTGGAAGAAATATTCCTACAGAAGAACTTCTCTCATACACACAGCTACGGCGGTGAACATCGGTTTATTATATTCTCTTTCCCGGGAAGGACTTATTCCGTGGGCATTGATGATCATCTTCCGGCTATGATGTTTCAAAACCTTACCCTTCAAAAAGTTCTTCCAGTAAAGAACAAATACCAATCACTACCTATAATCTTCCAGTGAAAAAGATTGAGCATTGCGAGGGTCTCTTGTTGTGTGTCATGGACACTCACCTTTTGGTTTGGAATCCACTATCGGAAGAGAAACGATGGGTTAAATGCGACTGTCATCAGTTTAGCGAGTTTGATGATGCTTACAGCCTTGGATACGTGAACAACCATTGTGATTACAGGATCTTACGGTTTCGTTGTCCTACTAATTTTCGAAGAGCCAAACCCGCAAGAGTTGAGGTCTACGAATTCGCATCTAACACATGGAAATCTATAGATATCGTTTTTGATTGGATCCTTAGATCACCGTTGTTGCTGCTGTCTTTGCACGGAACCCCTTATTGCATTGGTCTTCGAGAACAAGACACCAAAGCTTTCTTGCAAAGCTTTGATTTTTCGAAAGAAAAGTTTCAACCAATAGACAAGTTACCGTTTACGTATGATCAGTCTAATCCTCTAGGGCTAGAGATTTTAAGAGATCGGGTTTCCGTGTTAGAGCAATGTCGTGAAACGAGGAAGATATGCGTATGGGTGAAGCATTCGCTGATGACACCCTCTTGGAGCAGATTGTTGGTCGTTGATATACCAAACTTCCCGCTGTTACATCTACCTACTAGTCGCTTTGCCACAAATTATCATCTTGACAACAACGGTAGGCTCCTCGTAACAGTGGCTGAATACAGATCTATTAGCATTTGCAGAGTCATCGGCGAGAGTCAGTTCCAAACAATGGAAGCAGGTACGAGTCGTCAATCATCATGCAACTATGTTCCTAGTTTAGTTAAGCCGCCACCATTTCCGAAGCAAGACACAAGTTGGATTCGATGGAGAAGAAATAAATAGATTCAACTAGTTTGTTTTGGCTTGTTTCCTTACTTTTTTTTTGCGTTCAGTGTTATTTTATGTGTTGAGCAGATTAAGAGTTACTTTAATCTGCTTTCTTTAAATGGACAGACAAAGCTGATGAGAATCGAAGATTCTTTTGTTAAGGTGATCATATAAATTTGGACCAATTAAGGATACAAGATTTGATTTCTCTATAAACATCCCTACATGTGAAGACTCGACGAAAGAAGATAACAGAGCCAACCAAAGTTCCACAACTTTAAATTATCAAAGAAAATATATTATCATATATAAAGGGTACAAGAAAAACTTAGCTTTCGTTCTGAGGAGGAGGCATGAGCCTAAGTCTTTCCTCAGAGACGACTCGTTCGCTTTCTTGAGCGAGCAACGACTGCAAATCGCTACCATTGGCTAAGCTATTGAACTCGACCGCTTTAGAAGGCATCGTTGGGTAAAGCCTCTGGCAGAGAGTCATCAGTCTTTTAACCGACTGAAGATACTTGCGAGTGGTTTCGTCGTTCATCATGTGAGCCACACTGTTGGTGTGGATCTTCTCTCGAGCCGAACGTTCGTGGATACCAACCATAGTCACACCGATGGGCCACGGCGCGTTCCCTATCGCTAGCTTGATGTACTGGTCCATCGCTGCGAGGTAGTCTCGCTTCCTGCAGTGGTGAACCATCACCACTAATGCTTGACGAATGTCAGCTGGTAAACCCTGCAAAGCCATAACCAAGAGAAAGAAACATTTCAATTTCATAGAACCTTCAATGTGAAAAAGTATATTAACCCCTAAAACGACAGAAAGAGAGAGACTTTCTTTTCACCTAAATGGAGATAACAGAGGCCTCAATGTCAAATTCAAGGTTACCTTCATAACAATTTGCTACCTTAACAACAGCACAAAAAGGCTACGAATTGCGATAGACTGAACATCACTGCCTATCTCTATTCCACCTAAATGGAGATAACAGAGGCCTCAATGGCAAATTCAAGGTGCTTACTAAAAGAAAAAGATTGCTACTTCATGTTCTACACTCTAAATGTATGTCTATGTAGCATTACAACTACTGAAGATTCGATATTGTCACCATATCTGAAATCAAAAGTAGCCAAAACTAATGGAACCTAAACGTTCTGCATCACTCTTCCTAAGCCAAAACTAAGTTCAATCAACATACTTATGCATTTCCACTTGCATAAACATAGTCTACATAACAATTTGCTACCATTAACACAGCAAGACTAAGGCTAAGAATTGTCAAAACAGCAAGCAAAAGCAAGAATTTATCGAAATTGAAATGGAGTTTTGTTAGTTTGTCATTACCTTGTTCCTGCATAAGTTGAAGAGAGGAGTGAGATACCTAGCACACTGCTGAAAAGTGGCTACGCTACGGTTTCTATTGCTTCTCCTCTCAGTGTTGTCCATTGCATCGAGCTCTTGCTTCCACTCAATCACCAGCTTCTTGAAGAAGACTAGGATCTTGTCCTCGTCGCATAGCTCCTCGAAATTAGCTTTCAAAACCTTGGAATCCTTATCAGCTTCAACGTCATCACTCGACTCACCACTGAGCTCGAGGTCACCGTCTCTCGTTTCTCTCTCTTCTCCGCTCTTCCTCTTCCTCTTCTTATCGGACATTGTATCGCTCTTCTTCTGCCGCTTCTTCAGCTCGGAGATGTCGCGGAGGAAATCGTTCGTCTGTCCGTCGGCCAGAATATCGCTATCCATCTCGAACAATCCTTCCTTCAACACGTGGTTGAGCCGATCGAGCCGAGCTTGGTCGTCTTCTCCGAAGAGAGTCATCGGCTGTTTGAGGATCCTCAATCGGCGAATCACTTCCTGCCTCGGGAGAATTAGGGTTTCGGTTGGGGATTTTGAATCGGCGATGATAGCGGATGCGGAGGATTTGGAACTGGAAGCAGATGAAGCAGGAGCGGATGATGATTTCTCAGCTCCTCCACCGGATTCTGCGGCGGATCTTCGCTGGGCCTTAAGGTCATGCTCGCGTCGTTCTTCCTCTCGGAGCTTCTGGAGTTTCTTCTGCTCGATATCGGATCGCTTGAAGAACTTCTTCCCACCGGCTTCATCGGCGAGGTTTTTCCTTTTCTTAAGAATTTCTTCCCGGAGCAGATCCATTAGAGAAGGTTGTTTCTTCAATCGCCGCCGGGGAGGAGATTGATTCTATCAGTGATGTGTTTCAATTACTGTATAGTTTTTAAACTATAGTAAACAGAATACGCCGGACAAGTTCGACGGCGATGTGCTACGTGTCTTATAAGTGTTCGTTTATCCTTATCTCATTAAGGTTAATGGGCTTATTATGTAAAATGGGGATTTATGGGCTCAAGTAGCGTATCTGTTTGGCCCATTATCTGTTTAATGAAATTTAAAGGGAACTTGAAAGCTTCGAAAACTGATTACCTAACTCGCTGTAATAATTTTTGGTTATCAAACGATTTTGTTGAAGAATTTATACTTTACCAATATTTTTTTGTTTACTGGTTGTTAAAATCACGGTTAATACTCACAGTGATTATAACTAGAAAAACAAACAAAAAAATCATTTATTTCAAACTTACAAACGAAGCCACATTAAACATGTTTACAACAAACCTAATTTACCAAAAGACAATATAACGTGACCATTCCCACGTGTTGCAGAAAGAGTTTTCGATAATTTGGAGAAGGAAAACTAGAAAAATAAAACAAAACAATCTTGAAAAACTGTAAAAAGGTCAAAAATTAAACAAAAGAGCCAAAAGGTAATTTGACAAACAAACAAAAAAAGATTTTCAAATCTGTGAAAAAAGACTACAACTATAAAAGTACCAATGCTAAAGCAACCCCACTTAATCTTCTCTACTATTGATGTCAAACTTTAAAAACAGTACGATTCAAATTTAATCCCAAGTGAAACGCACATGCATGGCACAACGTCATTTGGGATCATTAGTTAAGTACGGTTTTGAATATAAATAAACGCAGTAATTAACCGAAAACACGGCTCGTTTTGCTCGTTTTGTTAGTTGCAAATCAACTACTAGTAGTCTCCACTCCACTCATTAATTTCAAATGAGTCAGTTACTTTCCCATTAAACATACCTAAAAATCCGATGGAATGCTTTTAATGCAATTAGTTACATACGCATGCTCGATAACAAATAACTGAATAAGCAGGCTCATAAAACCAACAACAGTAGATTTGATACAGAAACGAGCAAGTGCATAACCATATGTGATTTAATGCAGCTGTGATTCTATAATGCTTTTTTACTCGAAACTATCAAATGAACGTGTCACTTTAAGAAAAATAACAACTTATTGGATGGGTAGGTCAGGTGACACTCAAAAGGTACCCACTATACATTGTTACGTGGCAAACGCTTAGCATATTGTTCCCAACTCCCGCCAATTAATTCCGGGTTAACGGACCGGAAAATCAGTTGGTCACTTTAACCTCCGATTTTTCACAAGATTTTGTAACTAAGAAGTTTTTGTTAAAGTTGTAGTAACTAATAAGTTTCCACTTCCACACCATCATAGTCGAATAATGTCTTACGATTGATAAATTATAGTTCTTCAACACATTGCTAATGTATATGCTTTTTTTTTGTATGCTTTACAATGTATCCTTCCATGTCTCCGTCTTACCTCTCGGGGAAAATGTTAAATTAGAAAGGAAAAGGAGGGAATTTTTTTTTTTACAATGTTAAATGTTAAATGTTAAAGGAAAAGGAAGGATTTTAGTTTACAATTTTATTATACAATGTTAAATGTTAAGTGGTCTTCAACACATTGCTAATGACTAATGTATATGTTTCTTTCTTCAACAACTTGCTGATATATATGCTTTACAATGTATCTTCCATGTCTCCGTTTTACCTCTCGGGGAAAATGTTAAATTAGAAAGAAAAAGGAGGGAAAATTTGATTTTCTAAAGTTTTAAAAGGTAACAATTTGAACAATTCACGGGAGAGAAAAAGGGCTGATTTGATAGATAAAGAGTTGATATAATAAGATCGAGTTAATTTATTAAGCCTTTAACACGTAAGGCTTCTCATATTAAATGTGATAGTGCTTATACGACCACTCAAAGTGTGTCACGTACATTCATAGACCAACAACTTCAGCATCAAGGGAACAACACATATCTTATTTGTACATATCGAATCTAAACCTCTTCTAAATGTAGATCTTTTCTGTGTGTGTGTGTGTTACTTGGTTAAATACATTCAGGCGTGGAAGAGAATGTTAAACAGAAAAATAATGCTAATGTTTAACAACTATCCTCAATAAAGACTCAATCGGTTCAAACAATTGATAGAGGAAGAGAGTTATACATACCCATACTGAAACCTTAACTCTTATAAATACATTTTTTTCCTCCTTGGCCGGAGACAACACGCCAAATCTGAAATCTCGAGGAAACAAACCAACACTTTAAATAATGTCATTTTTTCTCTCCTTTTTGCAAAAAAAAAAAAATATTTCCTAAAATAAATGTTTAATATCTCGCCGACAAATTTCATTCAATAACATTGACTTTCTCGTTACACCTTTTGATTTGAATATCACTCATTTTTTCCCTAAAGAAACTTCTCTTCCTGTCTTTTTCTTTCTCTCTCTCTCTGTCTCTCAAAAGCTAATAAATACAACATTTGCATCTAACCTTTTCTCTAACGCAAAAATGCACGAGAGCTGTTTATATCTCACCATCCTCGCCATCTTCACCGTATCTCTCGCCGCCGGCGAGAGATTCAAAGAGGCACCAGAGTTCTTCAACTCACCAGCCTGTCTCACCATCGAAAACGACGTCGACTACGCCTGTTCGGACAAAGCAGTCCACGTGGCAATGACCTTAGACGCGGCTTACCTCCGTGGCTCAATGGCCGTGATTCTCTCCGTCCTCCAACACTCCTCGTGCCCTGAAAACATCGTTTTCCACTTCGTCACCTCTAAACAAAACCACCGACTCCAAAACCACGTCATCTCTTCTTTCCCCTACTTGAAATTCCGCATTTACCCTTACGACGTAGCAGCCATCTCCGGTCTCATCTCCACCTCCATCCGCTCAGCGCTCGACTCTCCGCTAAACTACGCAAGAAACTACCTAGCAGAGATCCTCCCCACGTGCCTCTCACGTGTCGTCTACCTAGACTCAGATCTCATCCTCGTCGACGACATCACCAAGCTCTTCACCACTCACATCCCGGACGACGTCGTCTTAGCCGCGCCTGAGTACTGCAACGCCAACTTCACCACTTACTTCACACCGACTTTCTGGTCAAACCCTTCTCTCTCCATCACACTCTCCCTCAACCGCCAACGTCCTCCGTGCTACTTCAACACAGGAGTGATGGTCATCGAGCTGAAGAAATGGAGAGAAGGAGATTACACGAGGAAGATCATAGAGTGGATGGAGTTACAGAAACGTATCAGAATCTACGAGCTAGGTTCTCTGCCACCGTTCTTGCTAGTGTTCGCCGGGAACATAGCTCCGGTAGATCACAGGTGGAACCAACACGGTTTAGGAGGTGACAACTTCAGAGGACTGTGCAGAGATTTGCATCCTGGTCCAGTGAGTTTGTTGCATTGGAGTGGCAAAGGGAAGCCTTGGGTGAGGTTAGACGGTGGTCGACCTTGCCCGCTCGATGCTCTTTGGGTCCCGTATGATTTGTTAGAGCCACGTTTTGACCTCATCGAGAGTTAAGAGTTAGAGTCTAGACATTGTTAAAGTATATTTTTGACTGGGAAGTGTAAAATAGGAAGAGGAGTGATACTTGAAGAAAGGACATACATAGTCGGATATGTAATTAGTTTGGTGATGGTAGCTATACTCTCGTAACTCATCATTGCCTGCTTCTAGCATCATAAATTCGATACCTATAAGCTAATAATTGTGAATATATCTTACGTATGTACCAAGGCGAATCTAAGGATGTAATATCATAAATATACGAGAGCTTTTCTGTTTGCAAATTTACTATCTAATAACTTTGTTTTTACTGTTAAAGTTATATTATCATCTACCAGTTGGTTTTAGTATGAAAAATCAATATGAAACTTCAAGGTTTTAGGCTTCTAGAAAAAATAAACGTGAGAAACAATTAGTTTAGATTTATACTCATAATCACTGTATTATTTATGTTCTTACACACTCGACATTATTAACCTTGTTAACAAAAAATAATAATAATATTGTATTATACGTTTATTTGTTTACTAGTTTTTAATAGAAATGTCGTTGAAGATTCTCTTTTAATTTTTTATATTAACAAAGTTTTTGACTTGTCTAATTTTATTAACGTATTTCAAATTGAAGGTTTAGAATACAACCTGATTACCTGAAACTATGTGTTTATTTATGAAAACAGTTGAACAGTCGTCGGTGGTTTTTATAAGATTTTTAGCTGAAGTTGTAAAGGATTAATCTGCTTGGTAAGGGTAAAGCTTAAGGATTTTAATCTTCGACAACCTCACGATATCTAGCTTATACAGTGAGTTTAATTAATTATATTCTTTTCATGTGAATTAGATTGGATTTTAATTTTTAAAGTTAATAACTTTATATATCATGCATAAGCATGCGGAAGAAAATGATTTAGTACGATTATTAAATATGATTTGGTAGATGTTGATTGTAATGACGATATTGTCATGGTAGTTGCAGTTTCTTTGTGTGATTGATTTGAGCTGTCTACCCAATAATACGATAATATTTCGATTGAATCATTGTACTTAATAGAAAGTACAAACAATATCCTGTAATTTTGTGAGTAAAATGAAATAAGCTCGCCGGCCAATTCTTGCAAGGTTTGTCGTGTAGTTAATCATTAAACATAAAATGTCAACAAGTCAGCGCGTTGTCGACTATTTGAGTACTTCTTCTGATTAAACAACGAAGCAACTACATTGGCGACCTATATAAAGTCTTTAGTCTATATTTGAGTTCTATTTCTGTAACCCGATAATGTAAAAAGGAATATATTAGGTTTGAATCGCCTTAATTAGAGTAAACAGAACTCACGTAGACTTTTAGTCGCTGTGAACAGAACTCACTTAGACTTATATACACACCGAGTCACACACAGTACTTCGTGATTTATAAACATATCTTATAATATAAACAAAATGTACCAATGTGTAATTATAAACAATTAAGAAAATAATTGAATGATTAATAAGCACATGCTAACTCCTTTATATATTTAAAATTATGCGCGTAGATCAACTCATCAGTTGGGGAGAATATTACGGACTAATATATAGTGAACATGCATGTTATTTAGATTCTCTACTTACGTCAATTCAAGAATTAAATATAACATGCATGAGCTGTAGTTGGAACTCGACAGGCGATATGTTATTTTATTACTCAACTTCACAAAATCCCAAAACATGGTTCAACTCTTTTATTAAAATGTCAAAACATTTTTGTTGAAATGCCAAAGTGGAAACTCCAGGTACACCATTACAATGACTTACACCTAAAAAAACTTAAGTCGAAGTACGCAAATCCTTAAAATATTATAGCTAGTCGGCACAAACTCTCTGTTTTTCTTTTTCTGAGATCCATCAAACTTAATTGCGATCAGAGAGAAAGTTGTTGTTGGCTTTGAGTTCGATAGATTCAACAAAGAAATTGTTAGCATTATGTGTTATTATCACTATGCATGTATCATGTATTTCATATTAACACAACTAAATGAAGTTTATTATATTCTATGAGAATTTTCAGAAAACAAAATCTTATAAATGACTATTACATATTACAAAACGCTTAAAAAGTCAAGCTTGAATATTACAAATGACTATGAGTGGCATATTAGGCTTGTGGACAATATGCCAAAGATCTGCCTAACCAACTATGACGAGACTAATCGGATCGCAATGAAATTTGGCAGATGAAGATTATATTTTCCACTTCTTCTTCTTCTTTTTGTCAAAATCGTCGGTAAGGTTCTTTTGCTAGTTTCCGTGTACGGCCAACAAGAATTTAGCACGTACAGAAACGCACATTTTTCAAGTGCTGGCTTCAACATACAAGAGGGCCATACTTTTGCTTGATTGTACAAAACCCAAAGCTGACCCATTGGACATTTTCTATATGCCCATGAACCTTATCTATATCGAACTAGTGAAAAATCAGTTTGATGAAAACAGAAAACTTATAACTTCATCCTATTGATTGTAAGATCCCTATGCCTTCACAGTTCACTTCACCTTTTGACATTCATAATAATATGATGAGAAAAGAAAACTTATAAGCGCTTATCAAATCAGTTACTTAAACTTTGAAACATATTGGAAAGTGAAAATGCTATGTTTTCACTTTTCAGGCAGCTTTGGTTGTACTCGTTTGAAACTAATATCATAGAAATTATATTTTGTTAGCTTTGGTTGTACTCAGCTTTGGTTCTTTCATCTAGTTAGATTTTTGAACTTTCTTCTATCAAAATTGTACCAAATTGTTATACGGTTCTTTCACGTGCTATACTGTGCGCGTAGGGCAATAAGCAGTGTTACAGTGGGACCCGATGTACTACTACTGAGAGCGGCATGTGAGAAACGAGGGACTTCAAACAGCCTTACATGGGCCCTCTTATGGGCTCCATAGTGTTGGGCCGAATGAACATTCTGCGTTGTATTTATTCATGTTCTTTATATTTCTGTTTTGTATAATCAGATAATCTAGTTTTAAATGGTTTAGCTCCATACCTTTTTCTTAACAAATCCAAACAAATTATTGGTTTCTTTCTGGTTTACACGTTAGGTAAACTCAGTTTTCATTACCTATAAAACGTCTGGCTAACTATGTTTGTGGAGAAAGTTGTAAAGAGAAAAACAAAACAATACCTGATTAGGCAGAAGATTATTTTCGTGTGGCTCTGCATGAGAAGAATATTTAGCTTTATTTTCAGATGTGATAAATTTTTAGAAAATCACAAAATAAGAATGCATCAAACTAGTGGTGAATACTTTTGCATCATCTTGTTCCAAAAAGAAAAAGAAAAAGATCTTTGCATCAAACTAATTTGGTGAATCTCCAAGTTAGAAACGTGTCAACCTAAAAGGCTAAAATCTAATGATTGATTACTTAAAATGTAATGCAACAAGACGAGTCAGCGAATGATGTGGAAATGGACCATATAAAATACTAGTAATAAATAACATAAGAGAGTAGAGACTATAGAGGAAGCTGCGATGAAACTTCACAACGTTTTTGTCTCTTCCCATCTAATCATTTAATCTTGTAGCTTACACTATCACGCAAATCTAAATGCACCTTCTGCGAAACTACCTTGGAGATAAAATTATGGACCTCTTTTTTGTTCCCTTGGATTTTCCCGGAAAATGACATCCATGCCTTGGATAATGAGTAACTGTCCAAAAAACAGAATGTGAATAAATCTAAAATATGGACTCAATCGTCACAAGAAACAAACTTTCTTAGATAATATATGTATGCTTTTGCAACTATATATTTTATATCGTCATAGCGTATTTTATTACTATTTATCATAGTATATATAGAGATGAGTTATAGAGTAAGTGACACACACCAGCATCATATAATATCAATCATCAAAGATCATGACAACTAAACAAGAGAAACTTTCCTCCAATTCTTTCAAATGGTTTTCCACCAAAACCCTAAAGTTAAACCTAAGTTTCCAAAACCGACGAGGATCGCCAAAATCCAATTCTTCCTCAACCTTAACCTCCCCAAGAAGCAACACCGATGACAGCAACAACACAAAGAATCACCACTCCGACGACGAGCTCCGTCGTGTCTTCAGCCATTTTGACGTTGACGGCGACGGTAAGATCTCAGCCTTTGAGCTCAGAGATTACTTCGGATCTGTCGGTGAGTATATATCCCACGAGGCAGCTCAAGAGGCGATAAACGAAGTTGCCACTGACGCAGACGGGTCTTTAGGGTTTGAAGATTTTCTTGGATTGATGACAAGAAGAGATCTTGACGCTAACGGTGACGGCGGAGAAGAGTTGAAGACAGCGTTTGAGATGTTCGAAGTGGAGAAAGGATCAGGCTGCATAACACCAAAGGGTTTGCAAAAGATGCTTGGGAAGTTGGGTGAATCAAAAACGTATGGAGAGTGTGAAGCAATGATAAGGTTTTACGATATTGATGGTAATGGAGTTCTTGATTTTCATGAGTTTCGTCAAATGATGATGGTTTAATTAAAATAAAATGTATAATTTTTATATAGTTACTCTACTATTTACTTGAAATGTCTATGGAGTGTGCTTTGTGAAATTAATTATTTGTGACCAAAAAGAATTATGAATGATGATTTTCAAGCTTGATTTATGTTCATAACCTAAGATATATAAACCCAATAATTGTTCTATTTGGAGGATTTTTTATTTATTTAAATAAGATTATTTTCGATAGATTTATTCGAGTTCTATTGACAGCCATTACTTGTGAGTATGTACTAAAATAATTTATTTGAAACGAACTTTACCTACAAACACAAACCAGTGAAAGTTGAAGGAGAATTTATTCCGACTTGGCCTCTGCTGGACATTCGCCATGTGTTCTTCACTTTCCCTAGACTTGGCCTCTTTAACTCTTTATACTAATTTGGTTTGGAAAGCATAATTTATATAGCTTTACATAAATATTCGAAGGTAGTTTAATTTCTAGTTGTTGTACTTTCGAACATTAATTTGTAATTGTGAAGAACTGTATATATCTTCTTGATCTTGATTATGGTGGAGACGATGACTCGATGGGAAAGAGAAATCATCGTGGAGAGAACTGTATATATCTTCTTGCTTGATACGATGTAGAACGACTCTTCTTTCTCAAGTTTCGAAGTGTACGTAATTAGGAACGTAGTTTTTTTTCTGAATAAGATAATCTTTTTGATAATATGTTTTATACATTTACGTCTATTCACTCCCATAAAAACACTCACCAGTCACAATCGACGTAATTTTTTTTACGGCAATCCTCACCAATTACAATCGACGTAATTGAGAGAACCGGATCGGACAAGTTTACCGGTATAGTGAGAGGATTGCCTTATCGCGTCCTTCTTCATTTGAAACATAATTAGAGGCCTATAAATGTAGCTCAATTCTTCCAAACCAGACGTTAGAATTTTAACAAAAATCGAACCAGAATTTTACATGCATTATGAAAATGGAATAATGCAAAACATCAAAAAAAAAATATGAATACCTCACCACTACTAAAACTTGCAAGCCATTGCCTCTCTCCATGGTACGACGATCAAAACCATCATAAGATCAGAAAACCAACTTATCGATCTATTATTTTTTGGTTCACAACCAACTTATATTGATCTAAAATCATAGTGACATTTTGGTAGGATTCGTAATGTAGCCCAATTATTTCTCTCCATACATGTTACATGTTATATACCAAAACCAGTTTAAACTTCAAAACCAAAAGTATTGAAATCGAATCAGAAAATACAAAACATGAAATCAACCACCTAAAGCCTTAAAGAAAAACCAAAACCAAAACAACCAAACCGGATCTCAAGATCAGCAAAACCAAACACATTCCATAGCTACATTTACACACTGTACAAAACTCTAACCAAGATTACTCAAAAAAATTCACTCTTTTGAAGTCGAATCATCCGTCTGGCTCAAGCCATTACCCTCTGCCTGACGATCAGAGTAAGGTCTAATGAACGATCTTCTCCACCAAACCTCAAAAGCTCTCTGAAGATTCGGACACCCACCATCTCCTCCGTTCAAGAAACTCCCAAGCCACGACAGCAAAATACTCTGCTGATCCTCCAACGGCAACGTCAGTATCGTCCTCCCAATCCCTTCCTCCACAAGCTTCCCATCGAACGATCTACAACCATGCTGCAACCAATTGTAATCACTAAACAACAGTTGCAACCACGTGGTCAACAGCAAAAGCCGAGTGTCTTTCGAAAGCAACAACTCTCCTCTTCCGATCCCTACGAAGAGCCGAGACGTTACACGGCTTATATGGTAACGCGACATCGAAGGAAGCTTCTCGTGTAGCAAAGCAAGCTCCTTTTGGTTCGCCCATGTCACTGAGAACTCCTCCGCAGCTTGTCTCTCCGCTAAAACATCGAGCAGCGACGTCAAGTTATCAGCTTCCACAGCAATCTGTTTGGTATCGGTCTCTGCTTGTCGAAACAGAGAAAACAGAGTTGAAACAGTTTTGGCAAGAGGTGTAGATGTTTCGTTGAAGTTATCAGCTATACATTGGCTCCATTCTGTTCCCTGAGAAGCTTCAGGACGATAGTTTTCATCTCTCGCGACTCTTCTCCTCTTTGCTTCTTAGAACAAGCTCGATGATGCGAGAGAGCGTCTCTTTTGGTGGATCAAGCAGCATTGAAAGCAATTCTTTTGAGCACAGGAGTGGTGACAACACCAACAACTCCTTCGGTTTTCAATCTGAGAATCGATGAGATCACTTTCTCTTCTTCTTCTTCTCCAACCCATGGCACAGCTTCTAAGTAATCCAAATAAGATTGAATACATGAACTGAAACCAAGAACCTCTGCAACTTAAAGTTACCAAATTTAGTCACTTCTATGATACATCAACACCAAAATGAGATTGATTAGACGAGAATTTAGATGTAATACCTTGAGGACACGAAGGACTCTGCTTACGTTCTGTTTCATGAGACGTTGATTCATTTCTTTATAATACATAAGACCAATAGTCTCAACGTATATCTCTGCGTCTTCACAGCTCTCAATCTCAAGACAAGCGAAAACGAGTCTTTCGCAGCGAGTTTCTTAGCAAAGAAACTACTATGATCCACTAAGCTTTCTTCTGAACACTCAGCTTCACGCAAAAGCCTTGCTTCCCTACAAGAATCACTTTGGCGTCGCTAGTTCCTGGTTCGCCGAACTCAATCGCTACTTTTCTCGGTAAAGTCTCAACCTTTTGCCTCTGTGGCCTCTCTTGAACCGTCGCCGGAACAGAGATGCTGTGATGGGTCTCTGAATTATTAGCCGAATTCTGATGTTGAAGCTCGTCGGAGGCGATGACGGATCTAATCGTTGTCGACGACGGTTTCTTCTCCTTCTCCGTTGTCGGAGTCTGTCTAGGTTTTGGAAGTTGGGGAGGAGGAGGAGAAGATTGTTTGTGTTTGTTGAGAGAGTTGTGATGAGACTTGAGAGTCTTTTGGAAAGCTACAGGAGAAGGACAACACCAGAAGCCTTCAGGAGTTACAGCTACTGGAACATTCCTGATCTTGGTTTGCCCTTGCTCTACTTTTGTAATCTTGATCTCAGCCATTGTTGATACACAGAGAGAGTGAGAGAGAGAGAGAGAGAGGGAGAGAGAGAGAAGAAAGGTTTCAGCTTCACACCAATAACGGAAAAGGAAACAAGAACGAAGGGACCCAAGAAATCTAAAATCTGAAGATACAGACCGAAACAGAGAGAGTGAATTGGAGTCAATTGTAGAAATTAGGTTAGATAGGATTTGGGGGAAAATCTGAAAAATATCTAAAAAGACAGGTATGCTGTGTAGAGAATGATTTGAAGGGTAATAATGGTGTTTGGAGGAAGAATCAAAGAAGCAAAAGCTTTAACAAAAAATCATAATCAAAAAGACATTGGAATTTCAAAAGAAGAGTAAAGCCAAAACACAAGAAAGAGATGCATCAAATGGGTTGTCTCTCCGATTCCTTTATCTTCACTTTACCTTTGTCTCCTCCTCACTCTCTCTCTCTCTCGCATGATTTTGATGATTACATGTATTTGTGGGCCTTGAAACCAAAACATATTCTACTTTCTTCTCTCTCTCTCTATAAAACATTACTTTAATTTTCTCAGTGACCAGACAGCCACGCCATCTTCTCTCTCATCCTCTACATTGTTATTGCTGTCTACATTTTTTTTTAAATAATTAACAGAGACTAATCAAAATTAAAGTTAAAGTTGTTGTGTGTTTGGTTCTTGTTCATGTGGGGACAGTCTCTGTATTTGTGTAATCTTGAATCTTGATGATGCTTACAAAACAAACCATCCCTTTCTTGAAGATTTTTGTGTGTACATAGATAATGCACATGCCATGATGTATTAATTTAGTAATAGGGATCATTAATTAGTGGAACCTTTATAGGCTAGATATACATAGCTGTTTTTTTTCTTCTCCAGAGGCTATTGTTTAAAACCTGGTTTTAATTAATGGAATCCATAATCAGTTAGTCGTACAAATGTTTTATTTATTTATGGTTATGAGCTCCATAACCATAAATTTAGGGGGTTGGTTGAGTAGTTAGATTACTTTACAGTTTACATAGTTTATTTTCATACTATGATGATGTAGATTATAGACTTACCTTTATGGTTGAACAAAAGTTAAAAAAAAAACTACTCGGAGTTTGGTACTTTGGTGTATATATTTGAAGTTTTAAAATTAAATGTCAGTATTTTATTTTAACTCAGTGCGATGTCCAGTGTATAGCATTCAGTATTAGAAAACTGCTGAATTTTATTCAGCTTATTTAACTTCTCTATCAAAAATTCTTAGGAGCAATGTTTTTAAAAGCCGGACCGGACGGGTCGGTCCAATCGGTTCAACAGCGACCCAGAAGGTTTCTGGGTTGGTTTGTTGTTGAAAACTGTTTTTAACTAAGACCGTAAAACCCATTAAAAACCCGTTTAAATACAAAACTATAAAAAGTTAAGAGAACAACAAAGAAGGTAAAAAAAATTTATAGAGTAAGAGAGATCTTTGACGTGTCTCGCTCGGCCTTCAAATATGCCGGTAAGATTTCTAATGTTTTTTTTCTAGATCTTGGATTAGATTTGATATAATCGATCTGTCATAGTGCGGCGGAACTAAACAGTTGTATCCACTATCCACTATCTAATATTTAATCGACTATGAGGTTTCCGTGTCCGTACGTAATTGTATGTGCGTTTTACGTTTTGTATAACCCCTCGCAGAAGCAGCGGCTGAGACGGCCGTCTTCTGGGACGTTGACAGTTGCCCGAACCCTAGTGATGATGATATTCTGGATTATAGTTTGATTGACTGTAATATCATATCAGCTCTTCAGGATCATGGTTATCTTGGTGATGTAACAATCAGGGCTTTTAGTGAGAGTAACATTATCCGCGATGAGTTATTCGGCACTACCGGTATCACGTTAGTACCCACAGGTACACTTGAACACTCTTTCTCTTTTAACTTTTATGTTCTTACTGATATTGATATGTGTTTTTTTTTTTTTCTCTGAAGATGAGGGTAATAGAGCTGAACAGATTATGCATGACATGTGTTTGTGGATAACGGGTCACCACCGTAAACAACGAGCAAATTTGATGATTATCTCAGGAGCCATCTCGAATGACTTGCCGAGATTCGTAGAGCGTATAGCCCTATTGAGATCGATAGGTTTCAATGTTATCATAGCTCAGCCTGAAATACCATCAGAAGCCCTACTTTCTTACGTAAGTGATGTATGGCTTTGGGAAACCCTAGCGGCTGGAGGACCCTCTTACAACCAAACCGGAAGCTCACAAGATGACAGTAAGCAACACTTAGCTTTTGTGTTTTTCTTCTTGTTTACGTAAGGGTTTCTCAGTTTTGTTTTGTTGAATAACCTCGCAGCGGTCGTCTTCTGGGACGTGGAGGAATGCCCGGTCGCTGATGATACCAGACTTAGTGTCGTTTATGACAACATCATATCAGCTCTTGAGAATATGGGTTATCATGGTCGCGTGTCAGTCACGGTTTATTGTCCGGGAGACAAGTTGAAGCACTTTGCACCTTTCACAACCCATGTTATAGGAGATCAAGGCTCTAGAGCTGATGTGATTTTCCGTGACGTTCTTGACTTGGCATCGAGGAGAAGTGAAGCATCGAATGTGATGATAATCTCGAGGGGCATCTCAGAAGACTCCGTGTACGCCAAGGGTCTTCACCTTTTGAGGTCGCTAAATTACAAGGTTCTCCTAGCTAGCCCTCAAAGCCCATCCGGAGAGGTACTTGAAACCGTTGTGGCTGCACGATGGCTCTGGGAAAGCTTGTCAGCTGGAGGACCCCCCATGGACCAAACCGGAAGCTCACAAGTTGTCCCTCAACGTGTTAGCTCAATCGTTGTCTCACAAACTAGTGCCAGTAAGCAACGTGTTGATAATTCCTTTTTGTTTGCAGCGGCCGTCTTCTGGGACGTAGAGGATTGCCCGGTCGCTTTAGGTCTCAGTCCTAGTTTGATTTGTGATAATATCAGATCAGTTCTTGAGAGTAAGGATTTTGGTTATCCTGGTACCGTGTCATTCACGGCTTATGGTGAGAGGAACAAGCTCCCGGATGACTTTACCTCCGCCGGAATCACCTTCATACCCGCAGGTGAAGTCCTTTACTCTTAGGAACTCTCTCAAAGTCTTAAAACTCTTGAACCACCTTCTTATCTCTGTCTCCATTGATATATTTTTCAGGAGATAGAGAGGCTAGGGCTACTCGGATTTTTGAGGATCTTTTCACGTGGGCAAAAACCCGTCGTGAACCATCGAATTTCTTGATAATCTCCAGGGACATCACACAAGACTCTGCATACGCCATAGCTTTTCAAAATTTGTGGTTACGACGTAAAAATTTACTCCTAGCTCAGCCTAGCTCATCCGGAGAGGATTTGGGAACTGTGGCTGCACAATGGCTTTGGGAGAGCCTATCATCCGGAGGACCCCCTCTCACCCATAGCGCCCCCTATGGACGACGGTGGCCCCCCCTATGGAACATCACTAGTCAAGCTAATAGACGAGACTAGTGACAAGTTGTCTCAAACGTTATAGTATTATAATAGCTATTAGTGGAATATCCTATGATGTGTTTATAAACTTATTAGGGATTACGTTTTTCAGGAATTTAACTAAGGATTACGTTTATTAGAAAATGAAGATATAGTCACATCCATATTGTGGATGTTTAAACTACAAAATTTTATTGTGTCATTATATATTCCCATTCACAAGTATGAGTGAAAGATACTATTCAAACAGAACTAGACTTGCATCTGATGAGCATCCTCCAAGAATCTTTCTCCGTTAACGGTTACACAACTCTCTACATGTTGCAGAAACTCCATAACCACAGGGTCGGTCCAAGGAGCTCCGCTTGGAGCTTCTTCACCAGCCACCCACCCCAAGTGCCCTCCTCTTGGTGTTACTATCAACATGCAGTTTGCGTTTGCCTGAAATTTTTTTAGCTGTTATATAGACTCTAAAAATCATTCATTTGCATGTGAAAACGAAGAAGGCTTACCTTAATGTCATCTCGAGGAATCCCTCTATCAGGAGCAATCGGATCATTCGCTGCCTGCATTTTCATTATCATATAACAAAACATTAACATATCAAGAAACAAGATTCTAAACTTATGGGTTTATCTGTCATTGTTCAAGGAGATTTCACCTGAATGCAAAGCAATGGCGTACGGACATTTTTAATAGATTTGGAGCTGCTTGACTTGGAATAGTACTCATCTACTGTTTTGAAACCGAATGAGACTGTTACTTGAAAACCAAAAACAAGTGTTAAAATGATTCCAAATCATCTTATCAAAGTATCAAGAACAAGAAACTAACCTCGGGTTAAGCCTTCATCGAAATCCCTAACCGTCTCAGCATTTGCAGCCATGGGAATGTTGAATTCACCTCCTATATCTTCAAAGAGAAGAGAATGTCTGCAGAGAAGGAGATGGAACTATATGTGACGACAATCAAATGACTTAACAAGCATTAAGAAGAATATGTCACCGTAACAAATTACTTGCTAAAGATTCTACGAAGAGATCTCGACAGGGCCTTGTCATAAACATTGTTAAAACCCTTGTGGAAATCTTCATCCGCTATGACCAAATCGAAAGGATTACACAATGAAACCGCAGCAGAAAGAGGGCAGTTATGTGATTCCTGCAACAACAAGAACAAGATTGTTTATAACCAGTAAACTGAAAACTTACAAGGATTTTGAGTGTTTAAAGAGCTAAACCTGACCCAAATAGTTGACAAGAATGTTGCCTCCAAGAGACCATCCTGCTGCATACAGATTAGCATTTGGGAATCTATCACCAACATGAGCAATCACTTCACCAATGTCTCCTAAAAACGAAGCCGAGTAGAACTGCATTATAATCAGTTTAATCATACATTCTTCAGTCTACCAAACAAAATAAAGCTAATAAAGACTCTAAAAAGAGAGCTACTTTATGAATCTAAAGATGGACCAAAAACCTGAGGAGTAGTAACAGGACTATCTCCACATCCTCTGCTATTGAACACTACACAACGCCAGTTTTTGCTTCTTGCTCTTAACAACATATGCCTCACATACGAATCTTGGCTCCCTCCTGTTAAACCTGGCTGCAACATTTCAAGTTAAAAGACTCAATTTTTTGGTAATAAAAAATTCGAAGATTAACATTTCAAAGTAAAAGATTGAATTTTGGTAATCAAAATTTGTTTTTGTGGTTGTGAAGATTAAGGATTTTGAGAGTGTACCAGTAAAATGAGAATAGGAGATTCTGGAGGGAGGTAATTGTCATCGCCGGCGACCCAATCGAGAGCGACGGAGCCTTCGTCTTTCGTGCGGAGACACTGGCGGCGGAGTCTGACGGAAGGAACAGAGCGGTAGAAAGCTGCGTAGATGGTCTCCACGTGTCGGTTAAATCCGATTAAGGGAAATGCATCGTAGGCTTTGGAGAGTGATTCTTTTAGAGCAGGTAGGAAACGATCGCTTCCTCCGCCGATGACTTCGAGAGAGCTGTGGTGGCTGCTTCGTGGCATTTCGGGGGTTCTCGGATCAGCGGAGGCGAGAACGGAGAAATGCCGGCGGAGAGAACGGATTGAATTTATCGGCGGCGATGAGGCAAAGGCGATTCTCGCCATTGCTCCGCCGGCGACGTCGTTTCTGGTAAGCGAAAACGAATGGCTAAGCTTGCCGCTTAACTGCCTAACCAAAACAGCATTTCTATGGTTGGTTTGGTCGGGAAATCTAAAGTAATTTGCAATTGAGTCCCTGTATAATGTGTTGTACGAAAGTCAACCTCTTAGTTACAACGATTTATCTTTTTCAACCCTGCCGCATATTATTATGGTTTCAATTTCCTTAAGGCCCATAAATATGTAATAATCGGCCCATTAATATAACTGTATGTATATGATAGTATGAGTTTTTAACGTAAACGACGACGCTTCATCATACTGTTGCTAACGAAATAACGATATGTGGGCAAAAGCGTCAATGGAGGAGCATCACGCGGTGTTGACTAAGACAAAAGCCAGATAGGATTTGATTTTTACACCAATCACAATCGCAATCTTTTTATGTCTTCTTTTGAACTGTGCTTGCAACTGGAATTTATTACTTCTAGCTTTGTATTATCACTTCATCCTCGTGATTGAAGTCTCAATTTGCCCATTTCTATACAGAGAACGTAAATAGCAAAATCTTCCAAGATAAAAAGAAGTCAAACTTTCTAACTACAAATTTACAATTATACACATCATCTGACCAAATTACCACTATTCCGCTATCGAACTTAGCTCCGCCGTAAACTTACTCCTCCCTTTACCACCACCACCACCACAGCCGCTTCCGCCGCAACCATTTCTCTTTACTCTCTTCACTCTACGCTCACTTCCAGAGACTTTTCTTGATCCATCTTGATCGCCGCAACTCCAACCGCTTTTCGCAAGCGCAGAGCTCGCTTTAACCGCTAAAGCCGCCATTTGATCTGCTCTCAACGGATGATTGAGCCACGTCAACGGTAAAACGAAGTAAAGCTCTCCAGGCCGGAGATCCTCGCTGCCTCCCACTGCTAAAACGGCGTCGTCGAAGTCCATATCGTCCGAGTTACAAACAAAACTCGTGGGATTCTTCTGAAGAATCTGCCACACCTTCACCGGCGTTGAAAACTCCTGCAACGTTCCGTCTTGTAATATAAGCTTCGCCGTCTCCGTTCTCCGAGATTCACTTGAACCGCAAGCTCCCATTTTCGCGTGATTTTTGAGTTGATTCGTCAGTTTAAAAAAGAGTTTGTAGATAGAGATTAGAGAAAGAAGATCTCGTCTGTGTTTTGATGGAGAAACAAAGCTCGTGTGGACTTTATATACAAATGAGTAATGAGATGTAAGAAGAATAAAAAGGCAGTCTCGTGATTCGGAAACTTCAAGCAAGCTTAGAACTTTGTCGTTTAGTGTTCAAAATCAGACACTACAGCTCACGTAATCTTATTGTCTAAAAGTCTAAACCGAATTTACAAACGTAGCCCTAGGAAACGGTGGGAAAAAGCGTAATCGAGAGGGTTATATGGGGAAAGAAACGTGGCGAAGAAGGAGAGAAGAAAGGAGAAAATGTACACGTGGCAAACATGAGGGTGGAGACAAAAATCAGAAGCAAGGAGACAAGCTTAGGTGGCCGGCGGTTTATTCTCCGGCAGATGGGGTGCACGAAGCTCGGCTTATGGAGCATCACGTGAAGGCAAATAGAGACTGACCATTGGGTGGGGCCGCCCAACTGGTTCGGGTCGGGCCCCATTTTAGATACATTCGGTTTCGTGGGTCACCTAACGAGAGATTCTGCTTTTAACTCTATGTACGTGCATCATATTATTAAGTATAAATTAAATTGAGATTCATATGAACGTGCACCAATAATGTAACTCAATTCGAAATACGGTCCACAAACTATCTGTATTCGTATTTCTTTTTTGTTGCTATAATTATAACATAAGTACACTATTGCATTTTAAATATTTTAACTAGGATTGATTTGTTGAAGAATATCCCTTTCCGTTGAACTTATAAATTTTTTAAAGAATTGTTTTTGTATAGCATTTAAAGTCGGACGGATACAATATAACAATTCATGTAAGCTTCAATTATATGAAGTTATGAACCTCTATTATCCATACCACTTTATACTTTTTGAGAAAAGTAATCAAATTTTAGTTAAACTAACATTGTTGTATACAATTAAAAAGGGATAGTAGATTATGTTTTATCATATGTTGTCTATGATTAGGATCACCCACGTATCCGCCGAACTCTTATTGTTTTTAGTTTGTGCGTATGATAATTGAAAGATAAACAAAAGTGATTTTGTCCGATCTCTTCTGTTCTTTATGCAGAGGAAGAAACTGGTTTCCAATGTTTAAAATATTACAATAATTTTCGTTTTTTACTGTATTATTAAACGGAACAGAATTTGTCTGACCATAAATATGGCGTTACATACAATCATCACGACACGGTATGTTCTAAAAAATCAAAATTAACGTTTGATAAATTGACAAATATTTATTGCGATTTCAACTCTAGATTATCATTATACGCATCCCTTAAACAGTCGACCCGAGGTGGAAAGAGGAGTCATGGCGCAGACCAACGTCAAATGGAGGAATTGGATTTCCCAACCACACGTTTGTGCCTTGGTGAGTCATTTTGAATTGGCTCATTTTTCCTTTTGTAGCGTCATCCTTTTGCATTTTGAACAATATAGAGATGTTTAAAAGAGAATTTTTATCTTGTTGGTAAATCGTATATTTGGATGGTTGAATCGGATCGCGCATTAAATGTATGGTGTCTTGTGAAGCTCCCGCATAGGTAACATGATGTCCACACCAAATTTTGGGTGTTTTGGAAAGATGATTGATACTCCGCATACACACGTGCGTACGAAACCACCTATCGATCTCTTGTCTCTTGATAATGGGTTAACTTGACAAGGCATTAAGCTTCGTTAATTTCCTAATTGTACTCAAACCACTTTTAGCCTCAGACCTCAGCTATGTATATACAAAAAATGTCTATGAAACCTGAAAAGGAAACCAAGAGACACATGTGGCATGTACAATTCCCAGTTATACGAACATCGTTTTACAAATCCCAGTTATATGAACATCGTTTTTACAGTATTAAAATCCGATATGGAATCATCATCCCTTTCTTCCTCCTATGTCGTTTTGTTCTTCACGAAACATCTTCAGAACCCTCCATCATCACATCCAGTCATCCAACGGTGTTGCTAAGCTGTCACAATAACAAATTGTAGTGTTAAATATATACACAAAAGCATTACAAAAAAAAAATATATATATATATATATATATATATATAAAAAGGAGACATAAAACGTACTTCCAAGACTCTTGAGCATCAGCGGTTGACTCATCGGGGCGTCTCAAAACTCTTATCCTCTCTGAACACCGCTTCTCGAGGTCCCGGGAATGACGGAAGAGGAAGCGACACCCACGTAAATCTAGGTGTTCCAGGAGACGACAGCCGTCAAGAATGGCCTCCAAGCCCTCGTCGGGAAATGCCTCATTCCCAAGAAGCTGGAGGTGGCGTAGTTGGGGCATGGTTTCAGCAATCGCTACTGCAAATTCAGCATCGTCATATTGTACCTCAGGAGTTCTTAGCCTCAACATCTTCAGATTTGGACAAGACTTGCCTACAATTTTCAGAGTCTCTTCGAGAAAATAGCCGTATGAGATATCGAGTTCTTCGAACAATGGAAGCTTCCCAACTGCTTCGATCAATCCCCCTGGTCCCTCGTTTGGTATTTCATGGCACCTTGGAATCCTAAGCACTCTCAGATCCCTTGAACTGCCCAAACATTGTGTGTATATCGGTTAAAATCAAGAAGCAAAAGACTTCTTTGTAGCACACTAAGAACCAGAATCCAAAACATTTAGACTTAGAATCAATCAAATTGTTGGTTCTCTGCTACAAAATGGAAACTGGAAAGAGCAAGGTAATAGTGATGAAGACACATATTGATCACACCGGTGTGATCTTGCCAAGACTCTTCACTCTATACGTTTGTAGATGCAACGAAAAGCCAAGAAAAGCAATCCTAATATGCCAATTGAAATAGCTCTCTTGTGTTCTTAATGATTTGACTATGACCAAAGCTAGCAAATGACAGTCACAGCACTAAAGAAAATAAACCTTGCCTTCTTAAAATGTGACAATGTAGACGAAGCAAACATCAACAAAAATTCAGCCCCATTGAGAACACATAATTCAACGAAGTTACTGATTCAACCAGTTGATTTGCAATGCGTACATATTCCAAAGCAACAAATCAATTTCCAAAACTGCATTCACCAATCATCAAAGATCCAGTAGAAGGATCAATCGAGGCAGGATCAAAGCTATTTCAAGATTCTGTTCCAAATATAAACCCTAGAATCCGAAAATCGCATGATTCCGAGTCACCAAGGGAGAGAGACGGTACCTGTCGACGATGTGACTGAGGAGAGGACCGGTACCGAAGAGCCAAATGTCGATCTCAACCAAACCGCCCTGGCTACGATCGACGGCGTGACGAGCCATGGCCTCGTGACGAGACTTCATCTTGATCATATAGGCGTTGTAGTCGTAGTCGTCGGGCGAAATGCTTGGATAGTCGTTGTGCTTGTGCATATGAATCTTACGCCACATGGAAGGATCTTTACAGGCGCGATACCACGACGTACACACTCTCTGAGCGTTTTGCAGTATCTCAATCGCGCCAAGCCGGACCAGGATCGACGACGTTAGCTCCGGCGGAAGCTCCGCCCAGTTTCCATATTCTCCGCTTTTCATCACGGGAGGATCAGATTACGAAACGGCCAAGAGTGAAGTAATTGAAAAAGAAGAGTGAAGTGAAGGAGGCACAGCATATCATAAGCCCGTTAAAAATAATATCTTGGGCCTTGGGCTTTTATAATTAACGGCCCAAGAAAGTCTTCCGAATATAATTCTAAGCATATAATTAAGGTTGTAATTACAATTATTTCCACGTGAACAAATATTATTTTTCTTGCCGTTGTCGACCTATTTATAAGAATGTTAAATCTAAATTTTTTCAATTTGAGAGTTGAACTTGAGAGTAGTATTAAGAGATTAAACGATTTAAACGTGATTTTTTCAATATTAAAATTAATGTGTTTCATAAAAGAAAATTATAGAGTTTAGAAAAGCAGTTAGTACATCTTCCTCAACTGTAAACTATCTGTAGCCTCAGTTATATAAATATCTATATATTAAAAAACTAAACCTGAAGGAAACAAAGAGACGTGTACACACACATGTCCAAATCCCAATTATATGATACCTCCTTAAGCCCTAACATAAAATGGAAACCCTAAAAGAATGGAGATCGATATGGAATCCCTTTCCTCCTATGTCGTCGTTTCTTGATCTCCACGACAGGTTCAACAACATCTTCTTCTGAATTCTCCATAAGCTCATCCAGTTGTTGTGATCCAAGAGCGTTCCTAAACTGTCAAAGTAACAACGTACTAGTGTTTAATATTTGACAAAAAAACAAAAAGAGACTGTTAAGAAGAAAAAAAACAGAATTAACTCCACAACTAATGATGTACCTTGCATTCTATCGAACAGAACAATACAGCGTCGACAAGTCCCCATTTACAGATTTTGCATCTATGCAAAACACTGCTTTTAGAACGATGATTATCATTCACATTCCTCTGATTAATAAAAAAGATTGGACCTCCGTTTACATAATACGTATGTATTCCCGACGTCTCCATATATTTTGATATAAAATCTTTCTTTACTGCTGTTTGGTTCGAACATCTACGTGCCTGCAATTTGAAGACCAGAATTTCTCATATTCTATAATTAAAGCTTTGTCCTCATCTCAAAAGGGACCAAAATTTGTTTGTTTTCCACGAATGTGGGAGCTTGGTAATAATTATTAGGCATAATATTGAAAAGAAAGAATTGTTACGTGAATCACAAGGTGGTCTATGTGCTCGTTCTCTTTGTAGCACTCGTCGCATAAAGGAGGAATCATACAATCACAACAGAAGCTACGTCGCTGCTTTCCGTGTTGATCGCAATTTTCGTAGAATAGTTTCGATTTCACCATCTCAATCAGCCATGGAAACTCTCTGATGGAGCTCTGAGCTTGAATTGTTTCCTCCATACTTTCCACCGCCATTGATTAAGCAAATCTTCAATTGACTTGTGATTTTAATTTATCATCTGTCTACTTATGGTATATAATTCACTTTATAAAAAGGTAAAAAACAGAGTTTCCAAAAGAGAAAAGGAAAACTTTCGTTTTGCTTAGTTAACGTGTTATTTTTTAATCTGAAATTGGTGAGATTGTTGGGCTTTATTAATTTGTGTGAAAGGCTAGGCCCATTAAGGTTATCAAAAGAAACTAATGTACAAGTTTGAAACCTTTAGTTAGGCAAAAGCGTAGAGACTAGAGATGCAATTTCAATGTAACAGATTTCTAATCAAAAGTCAAAAACACAATTTTGATTTCATAATGTGTGTATACAAAGTATAAACTGGTGTGATTTATTTAACGTTGATAATAAGATTAACGGGACATGTTCTAGAGTAAATAAAATGTACATTCATGTCCTATGATTTATGATTTTCTATCTATAAAATAAGTCTTTGTCAGAGTATCATAAAGAAGGTAAGCTCCAAAGATTGAAAAGAGCAGAAGAAAGTAAGAGAAACCAACACAAGAAGGCCAATGTAGCCGAGACTTGGTAATGACTACAGAGGTTATCTCCGCAGATTGGTGCTTCGATTGACAGTAGCAGTTCCGTTGCACTTGCCACAGCACAAGCCCCTCCCAGTGACAGAAACGACAGTACCTGTTCCAATATAAGATTGATAGGTAGAGAGATTTACAGTAAGTAAGAAGAATGCATCGTTTTAGGGAGAGATTAGGGAAACACTTACGAAATCACCAGCGACGACGATGGACAAAACTCTTGCTTCGTGAGGAAGTTGTTTTACTAGGACAGAGTATGTGTCGGTGAGTGCAAGTGAGATGCTCCATGGAGTTACAAAAGCCATCACTGTCGTCAAATAGCTTTGAGAACAGAGAGAGAGATAAGACATATATCAGAATCAAATCTTTATGAATTGATGCAAAATGAAGAAGCCTAAGAACTAAACACCAAATTGATTCATTTGTCTCTCACAGACAATTACCAAAGCAAAACACCAATTTGATCAAAAGTCACAAAACAGAGACAAAACCCTATCCTCAAATGTTTGATCAAAATTCAGAATTTCAACAATTGGGTTTTCCGATTAAGCGAAAAATACGAGAAACCCTCATCCAAATTTCACTCCTTTTGTTCATCTGTCAATCGATTCCAGCTCAGAATTCGATCATTTCTGGCGAGATTTCGAGAACCCAGAAAGCTGCAGAGCAATTCTAGTGAAATATAATGAAAATCGAACAAGGATTTACCAGAAGGTGGTGAAGTCATAGAAATCGTAATCGAAGCACATGAAGATGAGAGAAGCGGCAGAGAAAATGATTTGGCCGAAACGGAGAGCGAAACTGGCGCTCGTGCCGAACGATCCCGGCACACGCTCCATCCGATTTCTCTCCTATTTCTTCTCTTCATCATCCGAACAAGAATAAGCAAAATTCAGCTCATATTAACTGGTGAAATTGGTCGAGAATGAAAAAACTGAAAAGCACAGGAGAAAGGAAGAGAAGGCCAAAGCTCATACCTGTAACGCCAATTGGACTTTGTTTTCCTCTTTATTCTCTTTTGCTTTTTGATGGTTTACAAATAAATTAGCATTACTCTACGTTAAAACTTAAAAGTCTTGTCCTTTTAAAACGTTTAACAAAATGAAAAAATTTGGTTTGTAGTAACTTTTAACTCGATTTTAATGTCAAAAACAAATCTTAAAATACATCGATAATCGATTTTGATTGTTTACCGGCCCTAGGTTTTATCAAGTAACATATGGAAACAAACTGACTGTTTTTAGTGGTTGATTTGGGTTATATAAATGGTAACTTGTGTCAGAATAAGCAATAAGTATCTTTTTGTGGGACTGTATTCTAGTAACTGCTAAATTTACAACTTTCCATTTTCAAATTCTTTCTTATCTATACTAAACTGGCACTATGTTATGAGATAGCTCTATGCGCTGGTCCCAACTTCCAATAATCAACAAACGGAGTCCGACATATAAAATCAAATAAACACTTAGTCAACATCGTATTAATTATAAGTGAGAATAAGCAAAATAATACTGAAACATACCATCACAGCTACCTTGAATCCACCTAACCATATTATATAAATAAAGGAAAATAATTCGACACCACACTTTTTAAGTCCTAACAAATTCCTATTTTCATGATAACTCATAACTTGTAACCAATACGTAACTCAATCTTCGCTTTCTTGTTCCATTCCATGCTTCGTTCATTGAACTAGCGTGTAAGTAGAGAATTAGTTATACAAAAACTTAATTTCTCAAATTATTTACTGATATTGATATATCTCGTTATTTAATCGAGAATTTGATTAATATAACGAAAATGTTTTCATTACAATGTGACAAGAGTTATAATTTTATAAAAAACCTCACTCAAGCTGACCATACCAAACACCTTGGATCTTCACATCCTTTGGTACCTTAGCACCCAAGTCAGTATCCGACGGCTGAAGACTCTCGAACACTCCGATCACTTCTCCTGTCTCTGGTTTGCTCTTTGTGATCTTCAATGTGATCTCTCCGACGGAAGCCGCCGTGTTCTTGACGTTTTCCTTGGCTAGCTCTTCCTCGTCTCCTCTTCCTCCAGCAGGCAAAGCCACGGCATTGTCGTACCCAGTGGATCCACCACGACCCTTAGGGTCCAAAAAGGACGAGCCACGGTACGAAGGAACCAAGAATTTCCCACTGAAGCTGTCTGGTTTCCCTGAAGCCTCCAGCTGCTTCACCGTGAAGAGAAACGGCACGCGTTCTCCTCCCGGAAGCTGGACTGTGACTGCTGCGTAATCGATCCCATCCTCTTCCTTGAACTTCACGCTTCCATCAACACCAACCTAGACAAAAAAAGTAAACAATTCGATTTGGACTTGTTTAGTTTCTTGCTGTAGAAGCAACAACTAGAGAGACTAGATTAAGTGATTAAAGAGTAACCTCGAAAGGTCCTTCGATCTCATCGAGCGTGTAAGTGAGACGGGTCATGAGCTTGGTGTTTTGGAAATCCGGTGGAGCGTTCTTGCTGACGCTATCTGCCTTGACGGTGAAGGAAGTAGGCTCGAAGCAGAATTTCTTGCCGGTGTACTTACCAGGCTTGATAGAGAATGTCTCAGATCCACCGTCGATAGTTGGACACTGGTTCGCTGTACCGGTTCCCTTAACCTCCATGTATGTCTTGCTCTGTATCTCGTCGTACGTTAGCCTCTTTGGTGCTCCTTCCGCACTTGCTCCCTACATTTCCCCAAAATATGTATTCAGTTATAACTTTCCATACAAACATGCAATTTTTCTAAAATCGGAACTGACTCGTAATGAGTAGATCATTACTGATATTGCTTATGTCTCTAATACTCCATCTTATTTCAATTGTGCATTTCCTAATAAAATCCCCTCATTTCCATCATGAATCATGAATATGATTATGGGATAGATCAACGACCTCCTAATTTCGTTAACCAAGGCATATGATTTTACTTTATTATTTTTTTATAAATAATGTTTGTGATTTGTATGAGAAAGTTATACCGAGACAACGAGAGCAGAGGTGGCGAGAGCAAAACCGGCAAGTTTGGCGGCATCAGAACATTTTGTGGCGAAGTCTTTGAGGTCAGAGTGGAGGGAGCAAGTGAGCCTAGCAGCTGAAGAGTCAACACCAAATGACTTTCCCACGGCTTGGCTTGATCGGAGATGAACGCTGCGAGTAGGAGAAACGGCGATCTTCGCAGGCTGAACAAAAGTTGCGGCGGCTTGGAGAGAAGTTGCCATGACGACAAGACTCAGATGTTTGTGTTTATTGGAATGATAATGCGAAGCTGAGAAGTAATAATCCGAGGATGGAGTTTTTTGTGTTTGGCTAAGATAAGGTCGGATAAGTTCGAATTCTTTTCATTGGATTGCTTCAGGAGTATATGGTCGTTTGGTCGCCACGTGTACAAATCTCATGTGAAAGCTTAGATACGGTCTCAATCTGAAATACTAATGTGGATTTTTGAAAAATACTAACTGACAATCCAAAAAATTATTTAATTTTCTCACGAAGCTGTTCGAACCTTCACCATTGTACAATTCATCAGAATTGTTTAATCAATATTCTTCAAGACCATTGGCTCAAGTTATTATATTTAGACGACAATTAGACCAAATTCAGTTCATCACACAAACTTTTTTTATCTATTTAGATGATTTCCAATTAATTAATTAATTAATGATTAAGCTATGAATTATACGATTGTATACAACACTGATTCAAACAAATTCAGGAAGAAACGATGTTAAGGCATTCAGAATGAGTAGGAGGTCTTGATTCGTCACGAATCGGATGACAATAAACATTCATCATTATGCCTAATCTGTTCTTCTTTGTTCCCAAAACAACAAATCAAAATCTTTGAAAAACATTACGCAGAAATTCAGACAGAGTGAAAAACAGATTAAAAAGAATCCTCTCAGACAAATGCCTCGTTTGTCCCCACGATTTAAAGAATGGATTGATCGGACTCGTCATCTATGGTTGTTCATCACTGAGAATCCCTTTTACAAACCCGTAAAACCAAAATTAAATCGCAACAGAAAATCAATTCAATCTATTGACATTATTCAATTCGATTACTGGTTCAAAATCCCATCTACAGATGGTAAAAAGTTTAGATACAAATCGATGTTTAGGGCATTCAGAATGAGTAGGAGGTATTGATTCATCATGAATCAGATGACAATAAAACAATCATCATTATGCCTTTTCTAAATCTTCTTTTATGAAAACAAATTCAGCAAAAATACCACCGATAGATTGAAAAACTAAAAGAAAAAAAGGATTCCTCTCAGACAAATGCCTCGTTTGTCCCCATGTTTTTAGAATGGATTGATCGGACTCGTCATCTATGTTTGTTCATCACTGAGAAACCCTTTTCACTCCCTTTGAAAAAAACAAGTATTCAAACAAAAGAGAAGATCAAATCGAAGCAACTAGGTATGAAATCGGAAAACAGAGATACGAAGGTGACTAGCAACAAAAGAAAATCAATTCAGACGATAAAACGAATATCTAGAGCAAAAAAAGTAGCAGAGCCTCAGATTCAAATTAGGGTTAAACTCGTAGATCGGAGGAGACTGATTATTGAAATCGGCGGAACTCGGACTATATATAACGAAACCAAACTAGGACTAGGGTTTTAGGATGTCGCATACATATAAACGACGTGAAGTCTAATTATTCTACTTTGAACAGCGAGTACTTTTTCTCCTTTTGCGAAAACAAAACGCCACTCATTCAACATTGTGCTTTGCGTTTTGACACTAAACAATGGACAAAACGACATGAAAGCTAATTAACTGAGACTGAAACAGCGTGTAGTTTCATTCTCCATTTCCATACACCAAAACGACAAACATATAAGGAATTTACACTGAAACAAATTACTCAAAAACTTACAACGGTCCTCACAACAGAGTAGACAAACAAATAGTTGAAAAAAATGAGTATCATTTTATATCGAACATTGAGCTTGAGGCAGTATTTGGGGTGTGAGCCCGATGTTTCACGAAGTTTATTGGACCAGCCCGAGCAAAAGCAAGAACACAACTTGAAGATTGGAAGAGGAATGTGGTGGATTATGAGAGACTTATAACGAGACACGAACGATAAGAGTCCAAACAGGGTAGACCAAAAGGAGGATGATCCCTAAAGTGTTTGACACACCACGAGGCTGCGTGAACGAGTTCCTGAACCCACCCGATACTCGGATGTGTTCTTGAAGAAGGTAACATCCTATGAAAAGGCTGATGAAAGAGCCGTACCATGTTCCGCGTACATGGTGAACAAGGAAGCTTGGAGCAACTACCAGCAGAAGGATCAGAGAACCTGGTAGCTCAAGCCAATCTGTGCCAATTTTGAAAGAAGAAAAAAGTGTGAGACTTTGATATATGTTTCAGCAATTAGCAATAGAAAATTAGAAACAATACAGTGACCAAAAAAAAAGTCTTTGATATTTGTTGACCAAAAAAAAAAGAAACAATACAGTGACAATGACTTGAATGTACGATAACAATACAGAACATGCAAATGAAGAAGACGTAGCTAGAGAAACAAAGATGTGAGAATTTCATTACCTGGGAAATGCTTTGGGAAGAAAAGTCTGAGTACAACTGCAATAAAAGCAATCCATTTCCCAACATCTCCACTGATAACGAAAAAGGAAACTTTCACTTAAACAATGCAAACTATAAACTTGGATTTAAGAATATATTGTGAGACAGATCGTCTGGGTGGTGTAGTCGGTTATCACGCTAGTCTCACACACTAGAGGTCCCCGGTTCGAACCGGGCTCAGACATTTTTTTTGTTTGTGAGATAGAAAATTTTCCTTTTGACAAGATTGTGTTACCTGAGAAAGTGAAAAACCACATGAGGAAGGCTAAGGAAGATGTATGGTATGAGGAGTGAAGTGAGAATCTTTGTTCTCCAATTGGTACGATCCAATATTAGCAAGTAACTGCATCAAAAAAATACCGAAATAAATGAGGTTAAGAAAACATTGAATGCCCAGAAAATCTGCAACAGTACGAAAGAAACAAAGTCATTTAACATTTTCATGTTTATGGTCACAATCAATCAGAGATTCACGAAATGGAACAGAGAATAAAGTTTGAAACAGTGAACTACTTATGGAAATTGAGCGCCTCAATCAATTTTTCAGAAGCTGAACAGTAGATAAAGAACAGTGTGATTGAACATACTTAATCATATCAAAATCTCAATAACAGAGTAACGAAACAATTGATAAAAGATCAATCAGATTCACTCAATTTCCCGATCTCGATTTCAATTTACCCAAAATCAGCTCTCGAATTCAACATGCACGATTCGCAGAATCATAAACAACAACAGCAACAAAAACTGACGATAAGCGAAATTAGAGACGGCGAGTGGAATCAACGAATTGAAACACTCACATGGCAGAGCAACAGGCGAGCCATTTGAGAAAAGAAACACCGAAAGCTAATCCACCAAGCTTCGTAACATCGCTAACGAGCTTCTTGGCGGCGATCTTAAGCTCCTCCACGTCGGAATTGACCAAAGCAACCGTATCGACGTCGGTCTTCATCGCCAGATAATCAACACGCCCCATCTTCTTCTCTCCTCCACCGATCAACGCAGAATTGATATTCGTTCGAGGGACAATAATTTCGAGGTTTTAATTCTTATTTTTTCTCTCTTTCGAATGATTAATTCCTCCAGCTAAGTGCAGCTATTCAGATCGTCTTCTCACGTTTCTCTCCTAAATGATTGCAAGTTTTATTTTTGTTATCGTTTCCCTTGTTTACCGCTGCGAGAGAATTGTGGTGAATGACGTGTCTCTTTCTGATTGTATACATTGGGAGAACAAAATGATTAAACTGCCCCGTGTCATATATCATTCGGTTGACGCGTTCTTAAAGCAAGGTGGTGGGGATCATAAATTGTTTATTTGTTTGTTTTCTGTCTCAATTAATAGCCTGAATTTTATTAAAGTTTTAAACAAACATTTTAGTTCATACTACTACTATAGTTTCTTGCAGACTGGACCGCTTTATTATTTTGGTGGGAAAGAATCTGTTATGGACCAATATTTTTTCTTCATAATCAGCTGATATACAGTAGCTTTTTAGTTTATTTATGTCTGCACCACTGAAACCCGAAATATATAAATGGTGAACTGAAACTGAAAGTGGCTTTTTATATTATCTATTCAAAGCCAAAGTTCATGTTATTTTCAGGATACTTTCTTTGTTATGTACTTGTAAATTTTAATGAATTGGTCCATATACAAACCCATGTCATTGTTTCGTATCAAATGATAAAAGGTGGTGACAAACTGACAACAGGCACTGTAGTAAAATTGTAAAAAGAACAGAATATTGTGCCCATTTATCCAGCAACCAGCGGAAAAAGGTGTAAAGTTTTCAATCTTCTTTCAAATGATACTGTTAAACAAAAATACAATTCAAGAAGCACAAGATGATTCTGATTTATGTATGCTACTATTAACGTCGACATTTTCGATCGACCATGGTTGCCTCGAGCGAATCACAGACCTGTATCTTGAATTTGCATCCCAACTTCCTACTAAGTGACCACTTCCTCGGCCGCTCTTTCACCTCCGACGAACTTTCCTTGTTAATCTTCACCATCACTTTCTTCAAGTACGAGCATTCTCTCTCTAGCTGGTACACACGTTTCCTCATCGTATCCATATCCAAGCGTAGCACCTGATTCTCCCTCACCGTTTTCTCCCATCTCCCAAACTCCACCTGTCCTTCTGTCGCCATTTCACCACCATTTTCCTCCTCCAATGTAACTGCCATAACCGTTGGTAAAGTCCGGGCGAGTTCTTGCCGGAGCTGTAGTTGCTCGAAGAACAGGACTTGTACGACGGTTCGTATCGGCAGACGCTCGTTTCCCGCGGCGTGTGTGCACCCTTCAAGCGTTAGCTTTTGGCTGTCCATCACACTACATATCTTCTCTTTCTCTGCCTCCGTTATCAATGGATGCACCTATAATTATCCAAAATCAATAACTTAGCATCCGGTGCTGTGGTGTAGTGGTTATCACGTTTGCCTTACACGCAAAAGGTCTTCAGTTCGATCCTGGGCAGCACCATTTATTTTACGCTAATTTTTCTTTTTTATTACCTTGAGATATACGTCGATTGCTCTGTACAGTCCATCATCGTAGACCCGAGCTTGATCCGGGAGCAAAACCGCGAGATTGTAGAATTTTCCCGGTTTGAGATTAGCGTCCGCTGCGATTTCTCCGAGAACTCCGTCGATCAATTTCCCAACCACCGTCAACGATGATGATGATACGGCGTCGTTTTTTAGAAAGTGGCGTAGAAGTCTCTCCACCAGATCGATATCGTATAACGTTTCGTTGAGGTACGAGTAACTTGGGATGAGCAAATCGTCGAGCGTGGCTTTCTCCAGCTGCGATCCAATTTTTCTCTCCAGCAAATTCCGGCAATCATCGGAGGTATTGAGGATGATTGCGGATCGTAATAAGCCGAAGAGAGATTCCGTCGTTGCGGTTATGGAGGAAGAGTTAACTAACGGAAGATCGGAGATTATCGTCTCCAACAACTCTCTCTGTTGATTCTCGGAGGCTATGGTGGAGGAAGACGACCGCGACGAAATTCCGGGAATGTGCTTCTTCGCGTAGTGAATTAGAGAACTCTCTACAATCTCCGGGCTTAGATCTTCCAATTTCATAGCTAGGATCAAACGTCGGAAAATCGGGAAGCTCAATTCCGCTAGATCGTCGTACCACAGCTCCGATTTCGAATCCTTGCTCTGTTTCTTCTTCAGTTTCGTATCGACGGCGGCGAAGATACCGCCGTTGTTAATCGGCCAACCGAAGAACAACGACGGATCCGATGAGGAAGCTCTGAAGACGATTGATTCAATGCACTTTTCTGTTATACTGATCGAGTCGGCTATAAGAGAGACCGATTCGCAAGCTTTTAGCGCTTTGATTGATTCTCGTATGCTGTTGAAGACGGAGTGTGAAAGAAACTTCTCAGTCTTTGAAACTAGATTATCCGATGAGTACTCCTCCGTCATTTCGAGTTCCTCGGCGGCGCAACGGAGTGGAATAGCTGTGGAAGCCGAGAGGTCGACCTTGACGGCGTAGCATATCTTTACCACCATCTCGAAAATCTCCGAACCTCCGGGAAAGTTCTCAAGCCTTATATGAGTATCATCGTTTTCTTCTTCCTCTTGCTCATGGCGTTTTCTCTTTTCGTCACTCTGCTCATGCTCTGTAATCAGCTGGTGAAGTCTTTTGCTCTTGGACATTAGAGGAATCTGTAGGAAACACAAAATCTCTGTTAAGTTTTAGCAAACTCTGGAAGTCAGAGTAGAAATAGAATCTCTAGGCAAGACCTTATGAAGATGAAATATCATATCATCAACTTCGATTTCGATGTCACTGGGTAAGCCAGAAGTGAAAAACCTGCACCGAGAATAAGAGTGAACTTTTTCTCAGCATTTGGAATTCATAAAACATGTTTTTAATTGACATAAAAAGATAGGGTTTCTTCACCATGCTTGCTTATTGAAGCTCTGTTTCTCTGTCGCCATTGGAGAAAAAAAAATCACTCTTGCTTTGATGCCAAAAGTTTCGGAATATTACAGGAAAATAAAGAAAAAAAATCTCTCGATGGAACTGGAAGTGGAATTTTAATCAACCAAGGACAGATTATATTCGGGTTTGGGAAAAGTTGATCAAGTTTTTGATCAATATTACTTCTTTCTCTCTTTTTCTTAATAATAAATGTTGATGTCTTTTGCTTTTAATGAAAAAGAAGTTGATTGTTTAGTATTTGGATGCAGAACAACCAGACTTTCAAGAAATTAAGCATTGAAAAGAGGCAAAAGTCGCACTCATTTGTTAATTATGAAAATCTCACTCCCATTTTTGCTTTCAGTAGTGTCTTCTTATAAGTTCTAACTAATCTTTAGTTAGAATATTTTTAAAAATTTGAACAAAAAAAATATATATTTTTTTTTAAAACTAAAATTGTTCAAAACAGTTATGATTTTAATGCAAAAGCAAAGATAAAGCCGGTCGATATTTATTATTTTTGGTTGTATGTATGATGATGATGATGATGATTTCAAATGCTCAATCATGCTTTGAAAGTTTGTTGGTACACAACACTATTATTATTCAAGATATTATGAACGTATTGTAGGACCGCGAAAATCCAGATTGGAAAACACGAAATAAAATCTTATATAATAAATAATATATAATTAAAAATACGATTGGAAATAGACGAATTACGCAGAGGCGAGATTTGATCTCTTTCCTTAACTCAATAAATCTCCCGCAGTGTGGCGGTTTGCATGAGACTTTTGAATCCCAGGATACAACTACGTGAGACTATAGTCCCAACACCGGACTACAGAATCTACGAACTAAATAACTACGCTATACTCTCGAGACTTACGTTTAGAGGAGAAGAGATGCGAGAGATTTTTGATGGAGTGTTTTGATATTCGAGTGAATCAATAATGAGAGGGGTGAGGCCCTTTATTTATAGCTGTGAGAAGACTTGGTCGGCAAGGAAGGAATATCCGCAAGATATTCTCCTTTATGTTTATCGAAAGGGATACGGAAATATTCCGAATATCTTTTCGAGTTTATCAAGGAAACCGAAAAACGAACTCAATCTTCTGGAAGATTTATTCTACACATTATGCAATTTCGGGTAGGGCTTTAGCAAAAACCTTGATAGGAATTTGGCCCAAAAAGAATAGGCTTTTGTGGGCGAAGCCCACATTCACCAAGACCCAAGACCCGAGCCCGGCTCGGCGGCGGCGGCGCGCGCGCGCGTGTGGTTTTTTTTTGCATAATGGCCCCCTTTCTCTCAAGGTCCATAGTCTCCCACTAAATGCTATTGAACATTGTATGGAAATGTCTATATTTAAACAAGAGGAAAAAGTTCCTTCTTTCCAATGTGGGACAAAATCAAGTACTCCTTCATTTAACTCACTCAAATTTCTCATTCATTTTACATGAGCCTAAGCCCATTTCTTTTCACATTTGTCCACAATTTATTCAGCCCATGAGGACTTTAAATTTGGTTCCAACAATCCCCCACATGAAGAGAAATGACTCTAAACATATGCAGACTCTACTAACTCGAAAGACTATACATGCAGACTCTACAGACACGACAGAAGGACTTTCGAGAGTATAGGCGAAAATTAACTGTGTATGAGATAGTGGCATATTTCAGCCTTGAACCACTCATTGTTGATATCTGTCGGGTTTACTTAGCCAGGAGGTGAACATGATGTCTTGAACCACCCGGATGTTTATGTAAACCGAGACAACAGCTATAACCCAGCTTCATTTCCTCGTAGAACTTAGTTCTCTATTGCGTTCATTGTGGCCTTGAACTTTGCCTGGTTGATCGTGAGTGAACTTAGAGAATATAGCCTGGACTTCATCCTCCTAGAAACGGCCTCATTTCACACTCACTAGGTGATTTCGTTGAGCTCCTGTCATATAAGAAAAGTATCCTGTTAATACTCCGTATATATATGAAAGCTACTCATATCATTAAAAGCAACGCTTATCCTTAAACACTTACAGGAAGCACTGTGCATCATTTTGGGAGTTGGGATCAGACATATTGTCTTGCAGTGCTGTAAACAGAATCTGTTTGACTTAGTTGTCCCTTTGAACCAGCCTTTTGGGATCTCCAATCGCGAAGGTTGGGTGTCCATCAAACATCCTCTTTTGTCATAGGCAAAAGACCCATTCCCTTAGATGATTTCAAAACTTGATCTCTTGTCAAACCTTTTGTAAACGGATCCGCTAGGTTATCAGCTGATTTAATGTAATCGACCGAGATTACACCGGTTGTGATCAAGTGTCTAATGGTTTTATGTCGTCTCCTGATGTGACGAGATTTGCCATTATAGAGAGTATTCAGTGCCCGGGCTATAGCCGACTGGCTATCACAATGTATACGCAGTGCCGGTACTGGTTTCTCCCACATTGGAATATCTTCCAAGAAATTCCGAAGCCACTCTGCTTCCTCTGCTGCTTTATCTAAAGCGATGAACTCAGATTCCATTGTTGATCTTGCCAGTAGAGTTTGTTTGGAAGATTTCCAAGATATTGCTGCACCTCCTAGTGTAAAGACATATCCACTTGTGGACTTTGAGTTCTTTGAGTCTGATATCCAGTTTGCATCACTGTATCCTTCCAAGACTGCAGGTTCTTTACCATAGTGCAATCCATAACTTTTAGTGTGTCTCACATAGTTTAACACTCTTGTTATGGCTTTCCAGTGTGTATGACCAGGATTGCTTGTGTAACGACTTAATACGTTCACTGCATGTGCTAAATCCGGTCTGGTACAATTGGTTAAGTACATCAGACTTCCAATAACCCTTGCATACTCAACTTGTGACACTGCTTCACCAGAGTTCTTAGTCAAGTGCAGTTGTGTATCCACTGGAGTTTTCGCAGTTCCATTCGAATAATTCTTGAAACGCTCAAGTATTTTTTCAGCATAATGCTCCTGAGATAAGGTGATACCCTCAGAAGTCCTTGTGATCTTAATACCAAGAATAACATCCGCAAGACCCATGTCTTTCATGTCAAACTGACCCTTAAGCATGTTCTTGGTTTGTTGGATTATATCCTTGTTACTGCCCATGATGAGCATGTCGTCAACATACAGACACAGCAAAACGTACCCGCTGGGAGTGTTTTTGACGTAGATGCATTTGTCACATTCATTGATACTGAATCCATTTGACATCATCACATGGTCAAATTTTTCATGCCATTGCTTCGGAGCTTGTTTCAATCCATACAGCGATTTCACAAGTTTACAAACTTTGTGTTCTTGACCTGGTGTCACGAAACCTTCAGGTTGTTTCATATAGATTTCCTCTTCTAAATCACCATTAAGGAAAGCTGTTTTTACATCCATCTGATGGATTTCCAGGTCTCTCAGAGATGCAATAGCTATCAATATTCTGATTGAAGTTATTCTCGTCACCGGAGAATAAGTGTCAAAGAAGTCTAGACCTTCGACTTGTCTGAATCCTTGCACCACAAGTCTTGCCTTGTACTTATCAATAGCTCCATCAGTTTTGATCTTCGTTTTGAAGATCCATCTACATCCTAAAGCTTTAAACCCTGGAGGTAAATCAGTGATTATATAAGTATGGTTCTGCAGAATAGAATCCATTTCACTGTTTACAGCTTCTTTCCATAAGTCTGCTTCTGGTGTAGACATGGCTTCAGAATATGTCCTTGGTTCATTCTCACAGAGAAATACCACTAAGTATTCTTCACCAAATGATTTGTCCTTACGAACTCTCTTGCTACGCCTAGGTTCAACTTCATTTTCTTCTGCTTCATTTACTGAAGTACCAGATGTACTAGCCTCATTCGCAGGCACAATTGCGTCATGAGTTCGCTTCAGCTTCTGCCTATCTTTACATGGAAAGATATTCTCAAAGAATGACACATTCCTTGATTCGATTATTGTATTTGCATGGATATCGGCTATATCTGATTTGTGTACCAGAAACCGATAAGCACTACTGTTGTGCGCATATCCAATGAAAATACAGTCCACCGTTTTAGGCCCAATCGAAACCTTCTTAGGAGGCGGTACTTGAACTTTTGCTAAGCACCCCCACACTTTCAAGTATTTGTAAGAAGGTTCTGAACCTTTCCACAACTCATATGGCGTTTTGCCAGTTACTTTGTGTGGTATTTTGTTGAGGATATAGTTTGTGGCTAGCAGAGCTTCCCCCCACAGATTCTGCGGTAGCCCAGATTCCTGCAACATTGCATTCATCATCTCTTTCAGAGTTCGATTCTTTCTTTCTGCAACTCCGTTAGATTCTGGTGAATAGGGAGCAGTGGTCTGATGTATGATGCCTTTCTCTTGACAGAAGGCATTGAAAGGTCCATCATACTCACCTCCTCTATCACTTCTAACCATTTTAATGGTTTTGCCCAGTTGTTTTTCAACTTCAGTCTTGTACTCCTTGAATTTTTCCAAAACTTCATCTTTGCTACGCAGCAAGTAGACGTAGCAGTATCTTGTACAATCATCTATGAAAGTCACAAAATACTTTTTGCCCCCTCTGGTTTGTACATATTTCAAGTCGCACAAATCTGTGTGTATTAGTCCCAGAGGTTCAGTTGTTCTTTCGACATGAGGAGATGGTGTTTTAGTGAGTTTTGCTTGTACACATATCTCACATTTGTCTTTGCTTATTTTGCTTTTCGGAATTAGGTTCAAATTCATAAGTCTTTCAATGGACTTATAATTTACATGTCCTAATCTTTCATGCCAAATATTAGAAGACTCAACCAAATAAGTAACTGGTTTCTTATTAATCAAATCATTGGAAACAGGTACAACATTGTTTCTTTGGACTGGAGATACACACATCTTAATCAGTCCATCCTTAACAAAACCTTTTCCTATAAAAACACCATGTTTCCTGAGAATCAGCTGGTCAGACTCAAAGTTGATGGCGAATCCATGCTTGCTCATCAGAGTGCCAGAAATCAGATTCTTCCTCATGTCTGGAACATGCTTCACATTGTTGAGTGTGAGCTCTCTTCCAGATGTCATCTTCAGGACCACCTTTCCAGTGCCTTCAATCTTGGAGTGGGACACATTTCCCATCAGCAGACGATCATCTCCCTTGCTTTTCTGGTATGTGCTGAACATCTGTCTGTCAATGCAGATGTGTGTGGTAGCACCAGTGTCATACCACCATAGTGCCGGATTCTCTTCAACCATGTTGGCTTCTGTAACAACAGCCACCATGTCAGACTCTGTCAAGTTGGCTTGGTTTTTCTCCTTGGCCTTGCTGCGACAATCGGCTCCGCGATGTCCAACCTTGCCACAGTGATTGCACTTCCCTGAGAATCCAGATTTCTTCTTTGGGAATTGGTGGGCTTGGGCCTGTTTCTTAAAGCCCGTGGAGGCCTGATTAGCAACCTTGTTGAGTGCACCCTTGTTGGGGTTAAACCTGCCTTTAGGTTTGTTGCGAAATTCGGCCACATTTGCATCATGAGTCTGAACTGGTTCAGCTTTTTCACGCTTCAGTGACTCATTCTGCAGCCTGGAAACCAAGTTGGCCAAAGTCAATGCCTTTTGCTTGAAGGCAAGATAGTTCTTGAAGTCTGCCCATCCAGGGGGTAACTTCTCAATGAAGCAATTCACTGTGAAAGTCTCACAGATCTTCATCCCTTCATCTGATATCTCTTGGAGTATCATCTGCAGGTCATGCACTTGGTCCATGATGGGTTTTGAGTCCACCATTACGAAGTTGAGAAATTTTGCAGCAGCAAATTTTCCTGAGCCCACATTGAACGTCTTGTACTTCTTATCCAAGGCTTCCCACAGCTCCTTGGATGTTTTGACCTCACTGTACACATTGAACAGTTGATCCACCAGGCGACTTTGAATGTAACCTTTGCACAGGAAATCTCCTTGGTTCCAGTTCTCCAGAGTCATGTGTACTCGTGGATCTGGGTTTGCCTCTTGAGTAGCAGGCACCTCAGGCTTTGTCTCAACAAGATATTTTGCCAGGTTCAGCGTGGTAAGGAAGAAGTGCATCTTCTGTTGCCACTGCTTGAAATTCGTGCCATCGAATTTGTCAGGCGAAAGTGCTGCGCTTATGTTACTAGGCAAAGTTGGTGCAGCGAGTGCAGCCAGTTGACCCGTGACATTAGCCGCAGGCTGATCCCCAGCAGTCCCGTTGGTTCCATTAGCAGTACCAGACATTATGGATCTGTATCACAAAGACAGATTTTGTCAGTATTGTGGGGTGTGCGAAAATATTCGCTAAGTTCACAGAGACTTGCTCTTAAACGTTATATTAGATCAGAGATCAGATATAATAAAGTTGAAAAAACGTTTTCGCGATCCTGCTAAAAGCTGTCGCGTAAATCGTTTTATCAAGTAATGATATTCGTCTTTTTTGAGATCGAAACTTTCTGCTGAATAGCTAGAGAGCTTTCGCAGAACTGTTTTAGATCTATAAGCAAACCGTTTTATATATCATATAAGAAAAAACTGTTTCGCTATATTCCAATCCGATTCAGGCGATAAGGAAGATCGGATTTATTGAGTTAAGACTGTAGGACCGCGAAAATCCAGATTGGAAAACACGAAATAAAATCTTATATAATAAATAATATATAATTAAAAATACGATTGGAAATAGACGAATTACGCAGAGGCGAGATTTGATCTCTTTCCTTAACTCAATAAATCTCCCGCAGTGTGGCGGTTTGCATGAGACTTTTGAATCCCAGGATACAACTACGTGAGACTATAGTCCCAACACCGGACTACAGAATCTACGAACTAAATAACTACGCTATACTCTCGAGACTTACGTTTAGAGGAGAAGAGATGCGAGAGATTTTTGATGGAGTGTTTTGATATTCGAGTGAATCAATAATGAGAGGGGTGAGGCCCTTTATTTATAGCTGTGAGAAGACTTGGTCGGCAAGGAAGGAATATCCGCAAGATATTCTCCTTTATGTTTATCGAAAGGGATACGGAAATATTCCGAATATCTTTTCGAGTTTATCAAGGAAACCGAAAAACGAACTCAATCTTCTGGTCTCCCACTAAATGCTATTGAACATTGTATGGAAATGTCTATATTTAAACAAGAGGAAAAAGTTCCTTCTTTCCAATGTGGGACAAAATCAAGTACTCCTTCATTTAACTCACTCAAATTTCTCATTCATTTTACATGAGCCTAAGCCTATTTCTTTTCACATTTGTCCACAATTTATTCAGCCCATGAGGACTTTAAATTTGGTTCCAACACGTATCACATCATATCATTTTAAAAAACAAAAAAACAATTCACTAATTCTCCCTTTTCTGAGTTTTCTGTATGTGTTACAATTTCATTCGTGAAAGACTTGATTAAAAACTAACAAATGTGGTGCTCATACGCTAAATGACAACAATCAAGTTAAATCAACTAACTCAGTGATCCATTAAATTAACTCTCGTTGATCAACTAACTCTTTTCATTGTATAAACAAGACATTGTCAGAGAAACAAATGGTCAACTGAATGTTTTACCACAACCACCAAAGTAGCCTACACAACAGTATAAAACAAAATCTACACGACAAGGACATGATCTGTGTGATTAATGCAGACAAGACAAGTACAGACTGAGATTTATGTCAGAAATCAGAATATATGGTTGTAAGAAGAGTTTGTATTCTACACTGGCTGTTTTAGAAAAACTTAACCAAAGAGTTTGTTGGCACAGTATCTAGATTGGTCAATTGTTCACCACACTATAATGGCTTTGGTAAGGTTTAAATTGCATAATTCTACCAATCATTTATTTATCTACTATGGATTATATGCACGATTAAGTTACAGATTACTGGTAAACCAAACTGAGAGAGCTGTTTCATAACTTATAAACTCTTATCCATCCTCACATTTGTCTTCAAACAAAGGTTCACCACACTATAATGGCTTTGGTAAGGTTTAAATTGCATAATTCTACCAATCATTTATTTATCTACTATGGATTATATGCACGATTAAGTTACAGATTACTGGTAAACCAAACTGAGAGAGCTGTTTCATAACTTATAAACTCTTATCCATCCTCACATTTGTCTTCAAACAAAGTTTTTGTATCATCATCGAACAGTATACAACATCCGAGCATCACAAAGATGTGTATTGTGACATTAGGAATACGAAAAGAGACAAGGTATATGAGACATATAACAAGTGAGATTTGAAGCTTACCAAAAAAAAACAAGTGAGATTTGAAAGAATTCGTCGGAATCAGAAAAGAGTGAAGAGTTTTTTGAAAACGTAGAGAAGATGACCTTATAATGAAATGGCAAACATTGTTTAAGCTTAGCTCTCAAACACAGACCAAGTACTTTTGCCACACTACAGTGCTGGACCGTCGGTGTAAACGTTATCCTGAATTTTATCACACAACCAAACCCCAATCTTTTCTTGTTAAGAGAGCATGAATTTAAAAACACACAATAAAAGATTTAATATTTGTATCCACTTTCTATGACAATAAAAGGGAACTTTCTTTGATAACTCGTGTTACACAGTGAGATCACCAAGGATGAATGAAGTTAATAACTCACAGGATGCGATCGAGCTTGTCATCGACAGTGATGGAATCTTCGGACAGAACACTTGAGGGTGTGTTCTGGATCTCTAATAAAGTCAACATTTTGAGTTTTGAGGAGAGAGATCATAGAGATGCTCGTGACGTCAGACGCTTGAATCAAGTCAACATTTTGACCCAAATACTCCACGTCACCATCTTCTCCTACCGAATAGGCGCCACGTGGACTTTCCCAGCGTTTATGAGAATATGTGAGATCGCGAGTCTATGAGAGTTTCAGCGAGGCGGAGAGACGGAGAGAGAGAGAGAGAGAGAGAGAGAGAGAGAGAGAGAGGTGTAAAAAATGATAAAGGCAGTGATGATGATGAACACACAAGGCAAACCACGCCTAGCCAAATTCTACGATTTCCTGGTTCGATTTTTGATTTCTTCCGAATCAAATGTTGTTTATGTGACGGATTCTCAACTTGGTTTCTCGAATTTTGGAATTTGGTTTTTCAGCCTGTGGAGAAGCAGCAGGAGCTCATACGCGGCGTGTTCTCAGGTTCTCCTTCTCTCTTTGAATTTTTTTTCCCAGATTCCAAATCAACAATCAACTCGGCATCTTCGATCCGTATTCACAAACTGAACAATTTTCGTAGTCTCTACTTGTATGATCTCGATCGATCCTATATTAATTATGGATTTTGCGTTAACAGTATTGTGCAGTAGACCTGAGAACGTAAGCAACTTTCTGGAGATTGATTCATTATTTGGCCCGGTAATGACTCCTTCACTACTTTGCTTTGTAATTTCAATCCTTGATTTCTTAAAAAGGAAAATTATGATTTACTGTGTTTGAAATATGTTTGCAGGACTCTCGGCTTGTATACAAGCACTACGCTACTCTCTACTTTGTGCTTGTTTTTGATGGTTCAGAGAATGAGCTTGCTATGCTTGATCTCATTCAAGGTGCGTCTGTGTGAAGTCATTCACTTTGTGCGTTTGCTTTGCTGTCAAATCTTTTTTCCATTTCAATATGTGTGCTTTGGAATGAGAAAGCTCTGTAATTGTAGCTTGTTTTGGACATATCCACCGTTGTTTTCTTCATATTTCATAACCAAAATCTGCAAATCCAACATCTTCCATTTGGAGCTTCTGATAAGTTCAATGTGTTAAGTCTCAGTATGTATATTTGAGAAGGAACTGAGATTGCAATCAGCTTTGAGGGAGTTAAAAATGTAGAAACAGAGACGGTAGAGATTAGACTCTTGAGTTGTAGAATTTTGCAGTGCCTTAGCTCTTTCGTTATAGCTTGTTGCCGTGAATCAAGTACGATTATCTGCTTATGAATAGTATGTGGTTAACAGATATATGGTTGCTGGGTATTTTTTATTGGTTGCTGACTCGTAGCTTGTAGCGGACTAATGTTGAGAATATAAATCGTTGTATGAATATGATGATTTCAGTTTTTCCACCTAATGCTGCGAAAAAAACATGTCTCTTTCATAGTATGATGACTTAAGTTTAATTCCTTGAATTGGCAGTTCTTGTTGAAACACTGGACAAATGCTTCAGCAATGTCTGCGAACTTGACATTGTGTTCAATTACAGCAAGGTAATGGTTTTACACAGAATAGGTTTGTCTCACACCATATAGCTGCTGCTGTGTATTGAGTTTGGGAACTTGTGTTGACAATCTCCTTTCTTGCGTTGACAATGTTTGCAGATGCACACAGTGTTAGATGAGATTGTGTTTGGAGGACAGGTGCTGGAAACTAGCTCTGCGGAAGTCATTAGAGCTGTTGAAGAAATATCAAAGTAGTTCTCTCTTCTCTCTCTCTTCTCTCTCTCTCTCTCTCTCTCTCTCTCTACTGTTGTCTGCGTTTGTGGCGTGGAAGTAAACAGTTTCTCTTTCGTTGACGATGTTGCAGATTAGAAGCTGCGTCGAACGCCATTTCACTTGTCCCAAACTCTGTTTCCGGGTGGCGAGGCCGATAGCTTCAAAACGATCGTGAATTTGTGACAGAGAACAAGTGAGACAAAAACATGTATCAAAAGATTTATGGTATAGGTGGAGAGATTTGATTGTGTAATTGGCGGAATTTAATTACAACAACTTTTTGGTTCGACATTTATACTTGTTTTCGTTTTCATTTTCGATCAGTAGGAGCGGAATGGTTTATCAAGTTTCTAAACTACATACAGTATATTATTGTGTATGTACGATCACCACCATAACCTCAGTTGTGTATTTTCACGATCTTGCCTCTTCCATCTCCATCTCTATCACTTGCGGTTGCAAATGTTATAGCAACCTAAGTTTTTGAGCCGGTTTATCAGCAAGTATATTGATACGCCTATAGATTGAAACAGACCACTTAGAACATCAGATCATTACATATTTACATGGTATGTATATCAGAAATTTGCATCCTCTTTCCTAATATTATTACATCTTGTAAACTACATGTTGGTGTCTAGGTGAGAGAGAGAACTATTGACGAGCATAAACTTGTAGAGTGTCGAATGTTTTCTCGTCCTCACATTGGCAGATCATGTTTGAAATGCTCTGAAAATAATTAAACCTTAATCGTCCTCACATTGCCAAATTCATAAAAATAATTTGGTCAGATATTGTGTTGTTATCTATATGGTGATCCAAAAGGTTTAAAATAACATGTAACTTGTTTTGAAATGAGATATTGAATCTATGTAATTTCTTTAGTTTTGAAAAGAAACAAATCTGGCCATTACCCGAAATTAGATGGAATGTCTCCCTCTTTATGCTCCAAAGGTATTGGGCTACAAGAACAAGAAAAAAGTTGAAAATTTTGTGTTGTGTTGAAGACAAAAGAATATAAGTGGGAGATTCAAAGTAGAGTGATTTAATTGGGAAACGTAAGAGCGATAAATATTTATACATAAAAAAGAGAAACTTGTTGGGTAAAGATGATACAACAAATCCAATGTACATTTGTGCCCTAGAAGAATTGGTCAAGCTAGCAAAGATGTACCATGGACCAAAGTGACTACCTTTGATCATATTTATATATATCTTATGTTTTCGTTTTTGTTTTTGTATCATGATTGATACCTCTCCCAATCTTGGGGCATTCCTCTAGTTGGTCCAACAGATTTATTTTTCCACTTTTGCCCTTTTCACTTATGTTGGACCACTCCCACATTTGTTACTCTTCATTCTTCCCTCAGCCTATGTGATCTCTTTTGATATATGCGATTGATTCATCGATCCATTAATAATTAAAGGAATAAAACGTGTAAGAATGAAGAGTAACAAATGTGGGAGACGCTTTGGAGTTTATTGTTAAAAATAATAAACAGTTGATAACATGAATCTTTAGGAAGTGTGAAGAGACGCTTTGGAGTTTGGAGGGGACAACATGAGGTTAGAGGAGCCGTAGGAAAAAAAAAATACTGGTCTTAACATATGACAGCTGCAATTTGTACTGTTAATTATTTATATTTGTGTTGCTTTAACAGTTCTGTAAAAATAAATCACGGGGCATATGGAAGCGACCTGCTAAGTTAAGAAAAAAAAAAAAAAAAAAAAAAAAGCAAATCGAGCGACACGTTTTATATTGTGTATAACAAACTTCTAAAAAAATCCAACAAATCGTTGGAGTAGAAGTCCGCATAACGATCTTGGTGGCACCGTTTGTTTTATTTTGTCAATCAACTGTACATGTTAAAGAATATCTTAATAGTAAGTGATTGTAAGTGACAAACAGCATTGTCAACTCCACAAATGGAAACCTTATTGTACATTACATTTTTCCATTGTATACTATTTCATTTTTATGTTGAAGCTAAAATTTAGTAATTAAAACATTCAAAAACTCGATCCATGTAACTGACTAGACCCTTCAAATCTGATTAAGAACGTAACTACTACTAATCTATAGACCAACTACACCTACAGAATACAGACGTATCCACATAGTATTAAAGTAAAAAGCATTCTTAGTTAGCCCCTATAATGATTTTTCATATTTTAAGAACGCATACCATACAAACAGAATTTTCAGAAAAAGAAAAGAAGAGAAAGCAGAATCCATCAAAAGGGCAGAGAGAAACAACATTCCAGTCGTGTTTTGTAACTTTTGAGGAATGTCCCGGTTTTTTTTTTTTTTATTAATGTGACCAAGACGACTCCTAAACCAACACATTACAAAAATTAAAATTAAAAACATTAATTAAATTAGTTGTTTAATGACTTATCATTTGATCGCTTTACATGCATGCATGCGGAGAATTAAATCTCCCGGCTTCTCTCCACGTGGCACCCTGATTAACGACAAGCGGATTAATTAAAGTAATCGACTCGTCATTACTCTCTCTCGGAACTCGCGAAACTTTTCGTGGGTCCCACCGAATCCACCGAAGCCAACATCATCATCATTTGCATTTGCAATCACCATCAAACACCGTGTGGTTTTATTGCTCTCGTACTGGACTACGAGCCGGTCTCTTCCTTCTTCTTTTTGTTTTGCGTATAGCCGTTTGGTTTTCTTCTTTTCGGAGCAGTAAATAAAATATACATAAACTCTTCTCCACGCAAAAGCATTAGACCAAACTTTTTTTTTTTTTTTTTTAACAACAAATACTTCATTTCATTAAACTTAGCTGGCAATTACATAGACCAAACAAAAATCTGAATAATTAGATTGTTTAACAAAAAAATCCTAAACTGTATTAATAATTTATGGATTTGACATCGTAGATTACTTAACTTGTGATACTTGAATTTAAAATAGATTACAAGCAAATTAAGCTTCCATGTAAAGCGAATCCCGGAGTATAATTACGGAAAGCCGATCTCGTGCCTTAACTAAACTATACGTAGTTTATTTATGGACATTAGCGAAATGCTTGTGTTTATTCACCACCACTAATTGCCAACGCGCCGTTGAAACGCGTGGGTACAAATATGTGCGTGAACGCAGTGGCTTTGGCTGTGAGCGTATTAGTCACGGGTTGTTGGGACGCGTGAGATAATTAGTGGGCTTGCATGTAGTGGCGAAACGTAACGCTTTGTGTCTCGGGGTAATCAAGGTTTTATGTTTCGAGCTTAACAAAATTATTACTATAAATATTGAGATTACGTACAATAATTAAGGGTTATAAATTGTATAAATATTAACGTTCGACAGAGCATCTTTTGGAAAGTGGTGGTCGTCCCATTAGTCGAACTATAAGTTTCGGCAATCTCAAGACGATCTGATTTTCACTTTTATTTTATTAATTTGTTTTTTTTATTTTAATTAAAATGTTAGGAATTGATAGGTAACTTACGAAACAAGAAGATGGTTTCACAATGATAAATTACTAGGTTCGTTTTTTTTTATAAAAGGGTTTGCAATAGGTTCGTTTTTCCTGCAACTTCTGATCAGTTGTGTGTGTGTGTGTGTGTGTTTTTTATATACAATTTTGTCTAAAGATCAGCTGTTATCTATATATTTGTTCATCTTGTAAGTTTACCGGTGGTAAAAAGGTTATCAGTCATCCCTTTTCTTTTGTTAAACTGTTATTTTTGGGGTAACAATTTCAACATTAAATCGGTATATATTTTACCTACTAAAAAAATTACAATCAGTAAACGTTTTAAATTAAATCATATTCATACATTTTGTAGGGGGTAAATTTTCAGCAAAAAAACTTATATTCAACATATTACTGCAAGTAACTTTACGATATATAGGTTTCAAACACATGAGTAACCTCTGGATAATTGACCTCATATTGGAAACTCCAACGTTGGAGTATGATGAATACGAAAACAAACAACTCTTGATACCAAATTTATAGGTGCCATATATGAAATATGAAGCTGGCCGTAAGATGGGATGTGACAAATGCACATCTCAAGACCGAAAAGATGTGTTTTTGTACGCATTCAATTACGTTAATTAGTTCCGTTTAGAGTAACTTCTTCCATTAACATATTCTGGTTGAAGTGTTGCAAGGTCTTCGTATAGATACCATACATGTGATCCGAGTGACGTTGATTGCGTTTTTCTATGGAGTAGATAATTTCTCCCTCTCCAACAATCTCACAAAGAACAAACAAATACCAGATATAATGGACGAAAATATACATCTTTGTGATACTTTCAGCTTCGTTTCTTACATATCGTGATCTACATTGTCGAAATCGTGCAACCCTTTGATTTTTTTTTTTTTTTTTTACTTGATTGCATGTAAACTGGTAAAGAAAATAAAATCGTAAAATATCATCAAAAATTAAATCTATACTAACAGAGATTCTGAATAAGAAGCCCTTCCGTGATCATCCATCGATCATATATACATTTCCTCATACTATTATATCTTTATAACTTGGGTAAAGATACAAAAATAAGTTATCATGTGGTGTTACTATTAGGTATAATGATTTAAGAGGTGGGTCCAATAGCTTTTTCTTTGTTTCTTTTCACTAGTTCAAGATCAAATTTATGGGGAGTATTATTAGTTCTTTGACCTTTCCTTTTTAGAGAGGCCTTCTTTGACCCATCAAGATTCAAGAGCAGAATATCTCTCTCTTGCCAAGCTAAGAAAACATGAAAAATGGGAAAACATATATTATTAAATACAAAAAGAAATATATGGTTCACACATACATGTGTATGCACTGGTTAACTGGGGTGTTTGCTTTGATGATTGTGGGAACGTACTTCACTTGAATAGAGGGGATTCTTCCCTTTATCTTTTGGGTTCTTCACAATCTAATCTATTAGCTTTTCTTTTCATGCAATATTTTTTCTTGTTACTCTAAAAACTCTTCCAAATCTTCCTGGATATTCTCATGTCATTATGATTCTAAATTCGTATTCTCTTTATTAAAAACCCCACAAGGAATTTGATTCTCCTGGGGTTTCGATACGTTACTCAACCATACTATGACCATGATTGTTTCTAACGAGACTATTGAGGATTCTTCTGTGTTAAGATCATATTTTAGATGTTTTTTGTGTTTAGAGAAAACAAATTGTTCTTAAAGTCTTTGAATTCTTTTATATATATAGAAATATGAATGAAAGATCTTTCGTAGCATGATACATCTAGTTGAAGCTCTTCTTTCACCATCTATATACAAATCAAATTGATAACATCAAGATAATCTCTTATCACATCACTAGAATATATAGTATTTTGATAGTTACCAATCACAAAAGAAAAATTACAGCAAAAACAGTAACACAATTTATTTCTTGCTGCTATATATATTTTATCTTTGTATACTCCTTTTTCCGAATTAAAACTCTTACAATTTTATGTCATTAGTCAAATTATCTACTTCCAATCCAAACATTTAGTATCATAATTTGTTCTTACCGTTATCTTTACTTCTTTTGCCTATTACTATTAGTCATAGCTTTCCACTCTGTTTCAGTTTCAAAGAATCTTACGATTTTATGTCACTAGTAAAACTATTTACTTTGAACCCATATGTTCTGAATAACGGAGGTATTTTTACTGTAGTAGATAAAGCATTAAACATACAAATCCATTCAAATTAAATAAAGCCTTTATAGGGACGAAGACTAGTATTCGTTGACGACAAGAGTAGAGTAGACTCTAGCTAGCTACAAGTTTTGAAGAAATCTAATGACCAAATCTAAGTCATTTTTACTTACATCATCATGGATCATCATTAACCACATGAGGCTGAGCAGATATCGAACGTGTGATGGCGATGTGGAAGTAAAGGACGAGGCCACGCGCGGCTGAGCAGGAGCGCGTGAGATTCAGGGTTTTAGGACAGAGATACGGAAAGAGACAGAGGTTTCTAGCACTATATTGTAAGAGAAAACAATAAAAATAAAAAATTTGAGCCTCGTGATCGGAGATTTTTTTGCAGTGATGACTGTACTCTTTCTTCCTCTCCTCTCTCCCCCTTGTCACGTGGGCTAAATTTTGACCACCCTTCTTCAATGACCATCAACATCACATCACTCTCTCCTTCTTCTTCTTCGATTTTTTTGTTTAGTTTTACTCCACGAAACCAATAATAAAATTCAAATCCTTCTTATGTAGATCTGGTAAACATTCGTGTGTGAGTGACATAATAATTACTTTAAAAAGCAACGAAGAATTAACGAGAGTTGTAAGTATGATGGTCCCAAAATGTATGTTTTTCATCCAACCACACTATCTCAATTATTAGCATTAAGATCAGCTATATCTACTAGAACCAAACTTCAATCTCTAATATTTGGAAGCATGTAAATGAATGATTTCATTTTGGCATATGTCACCGAATGTGTTAAGGGGCACTTACATTCGGAAGCTTGTGATCCAAAAACTAGCTAATGCATTTGCATTTATAACCAAAGATAAATTTCTCTACATCAGTTTCTATTTTTCTTTCTTTTCTTTTCTTACACATATTCCATCGCATTTGTTTTATCTTGTACAGATATTTTCATATCACATCTCCATATCTTAATCACCTCCATAACTTGAAACAGGTCTATATAATATTCACACAGATTTTATATAGACTAAGCATGTGTTACGTAAGTATAAAATAGGGACAGTGGTTAATTTTATTTTTAAGTTAGCTGTCTTTAGAAACTTGATATCATCGTATTTTGTAATAGAAAAACAACATTAAAAAAGCAAGCAAACCCATTTGAGTAAATGATAAGTAAATAGTAGGAGTATTAATACTACTTCGTAAAAAGCTGCGTCCCCACATATTCTATTGATTTTAATATTCGTTTTACTATAAACCTGCATATAACATACACACTTCTGATTCTATATATAGGTGTGAGACCCTCTTCTCCATTCTTCACTTCACTCCAACGTGAGACCTGCACCTTCAATTATCATCTCCCAATCTTCTTTAGCTTATCTTAATTTTCACTTAGGGTTTTTGAAACACAGAGAGAGAGAGAGAGATGATGCAGACTCCGTACAATACTTCAACGCAGGGGCAATATTGTCATTCTTGTGGAATGTTCCACCACCATAGCCAAAGCTGCGGCTACAACAACAACTCCAGCTCAAACGCCGGATCTTACTCGATGGTGTTCTCCATGCAAAACGGCGGCGTTGTCGAGCAAAACGGCGAGGATTACAACCCTTCCTCCGTCGTTGATTGCACTCTCTCACTTGGAACTCCTTCCACACGTCTTTGCGAGGAAGATGAGAAACGCCGACGCTCTACTTCCTCAGGTGCTTCTTCTTGTATCTCCAACTTCTGGGACTTGCTTCACACCAAAAACAACAACTCCAAAACGACGGCGTATAGTAACGTCCCTTCTTTCTCCACCCACAAGCCACCTCGTGGTTGCTCCAGAGGAAATGGCGGAGGAGGCGGTGGCGGTGGAGACTCTCTCCTCGCCAGACGCTGTGCCAACTGCGACACCACTTCTACTCCACTCTGGAGGAATGGTCCTCGAGGCCCTAAGGTGATTAATTTTGCTTTATTTTATTAAAATGCGGCTTCTTGTGAATAATCAACTAGAAATACAAAAGACATCTAAAGTTTAAAAAATAAAGCATTTTGAGGCCATGTTTTGAATGTTTCCTCTCAGTTTAAAAACAACCTTAAATGCAGTGATTTTTGATGATTATATGAGGTGATTAGTTTCCATTAAATTTCATCGAATGTAGTTTAAAATTCAAATAATCATCAAATTCACTAGGATTACAAAAGAAATCATTTAGTACCTCTATTTATTGAAAACAACAACATTAAATAGTGACATTGATGGTTAAATGATGTGGATGGTTTTTGGATTTTGTAGTCCCTATGCAACGCATGCGGCATTCGTTTCAAGAAGGAAGAGAGAAGAACCACGGCTTCTTCAGGGAACACCGTCGTTGGAGCTTCACCTGTAGCAGCTGATCAGTACGGACATCACAACGCCGGCTACAACAACTACCATACTTCCGCTGGTAACAACAATGGTGCTTCGTGGGCTCATCAACACGCGACGCAGAGGGGTCCGTGTAATTATCCGGCAAACGAGATCAGGTTCATGGATGATTACAATGGAGGAGGAGCAAACAACGGCGATTCAGACGGTGGCGTTCCGTTCCTCTCGTGGAGGCTGAATGTGGCGGATAGGGCAAGTCTTGTCCATGACTTTACCAGATGAAAAAAAGTAAAAGAAGTTGACGTTAGATTCTTAAAAATTTCCATGTGGGCTTAATTATGTCTACTTAAAAAAGGAAGAAAATGTTTGAAAAAAAAAGAGAGAGTAGTGTACTGTATATCGAATCGAGCGAGAGGAGATGTTGATGGTATTGATAGCGACGGTCTAACTTATGGTTTATCTATAAAGTACCGTTCTGGTCAATTTTTAAATAATTTGTCTATTTTCGGAATTTCATTTCCTTGTTATGGAAATTTTCTCTGCCTAAGTCTTATAGATGAATAATAATATAGTTAGATTCTTCTGCTGATGTTGAATATTTCATATCAAACGGACACAGTGATGTAATCAAAATTATTCGAGTATTAGTAAGAAAAAAAGAGAGTCAAAATTTGAAAAATAAAAAGATGTAGATAAGAAAAACGCAGACCAGAAATATAGACATAGGATATAACTCTTTTAATGTATATAGTTTTTAGTTTGAACGGAGAAGTTTCAGTTCCACCTGAGTCCCTGAATTTCACAACTGAGACTTTGATTATGAACATTATTTTTCTATTGGTTAATAATATAAGAGAGAAAAAAAAAATTAAATAGAAAGTTAGTTGTTTGGTAGTGAAGATTGAAATCTGATCGTCGAATTGGGATATTAGATTCTGATCGTACCAATGTGGGTTTACTCATGTCTGAGTACTGTTGTGTTTCAGTTTGGATCAGAGCATTGTAGTGATTTAATGAACTTATCTTGTCGTATTATGCTCTGTTCTCTCCTTTATATTTTGACCGTCGTTTTGTCCTTTTCTAATTTACCTCTTCTTGACCTTTTGTTCGTGTCAATATGCGCTCTACAGAATAATCTTTCTTCGTTTTTCTTTCTTTTTATTATTACTTTTCCGATTTTACTGAACCGATTCTGCAACGTTGTTTGTACTAATTCTACCAGCTTTTAATCTACTCTGCACGATCACACACACACAAGAGAAAAATCTCAAATATTATTATTATATTTCATATCCCAGTCGTCGACGACAAATATTCAACTTTCTTCAATCTCCACCACAAGAAATGATATTTTACTTCTATGTACGATCATCTATATTCAACGAGTGCAATTGAAGTTGAACCATAGCAATTGAGCCAACGAAATGGGCCGAACAATATTTTCTTAAAGCCCAAATTAAGAATTTGTTTGGACTTTACCGCGCGAGAAATAAGTAACTAACTATCATCACAAACTGACGACGATCGGATTATTAATTAACTCTGCCGTCGAAATGTCCCTCCGTAAAACCCTAACCGCCGTAAATCAACCATCATTGCCGTCGGATTCTTCAATCTCCGCCGTTAATCTCGACGTTTCCGATTCCTCTGCTTCTAGAATCAACTTCCGTCCCCGTAAAATCCGGAAAGTTTCGACAGATCCTCTCAATCCGCCGCTGCAAATCACCGCGTCTCCTCTATCTTCCAAATCGACTATAGATATCGCTCTCCGCCACCTGCAGAGCTCCGATGAAGTTCTCGGAACCGTAATCTCCGCGCACAACAACCCTCCGGTGTTCGATTCAAGCTGCCCTCCGTTCCTCTCCCTCGCGAGATCAATCCTCTACCAGCAGCTCGCCACGAAAGCAGCGAAATGCATCTACGACCGATTCCTCTCCCTATTCGACGGCGGAGAATCGGGTGTCCTCCCAGAATCCGTTATCTCAATCTCCGCCGTTGATCTCCGTAAGATCGGCGTCTCCGGTAGAAAAGCCAGCTACCTCCACGATCTCGCCGGTAAATACTTAAGCGGCGTCCTCTCCGACGAGATGATTCTAGAAATGAGCGACGAAGAGCTGATCGATCGATTGACTCTGGTGAAAGGAATTGGAGTGTGGACTGTTCACATGTTCATGATCTTCTCTTTGCATAGGCCTGATGTGTTGCCTGTGGGTGATCTTGGTGTGAGGAAAGGCGTCAAGGATCTATATGGTTTGAAGAATCTTCCAGGTCCATTGCAGATGGAGCAGCTGTGTGAGAAATGGCGTCCTTATAGGTCCGTTGGTTCGTGGTACATGTGGAGGCTAATCGAGGCAGCTAAAACCAAATTGTCCAAATAGCAAAAGAGACATCTTCACTTGACTGGTAACAACAATACATAAACCTCTCTGCCATTGATTGCTCTGTTTCATATAAACAATCTTGATTGTTTATATTGTTCTCAAGTAGATCTCATGCCTGACTTGGAAATTTGAATAGCTAAGAGACACTTACTAGTTAGTTTAACACATTTTACTAGACATCAAGTTTCATGGATTGGTTATATGACTTATGATCATTAGTTTTTATCTTTGGAATAGGTTATAGATATCTCCCAAATCCTTAAACTAGCATTTTTTTTTTCTTGATGTATCTTCTATATTTGGCATCAAGACATCAAGTTTTCTTGCTGTATCTTGTACATTGTAGCATTAATCGTCTTAGTTTGATTGTAGGTGTTCTGGGATCATTTCATACTCAAGACCCACTTGTTCTTGACTTCTTGGTTTGCCAGCTAATCTGATCCTGTGACGAAGAAGCTAATTCCATGCCCACCACTTTGCATCTTCCCTTCACTTGCAAGTTTAACTTTATTCCATCGGGAATGAACATTTCTAAGGATCCATGTGATTGTTGTAACTGGTAAGTTGTTCTTGTATGTAACCCCATATTCCATTTTTCTTGGATTCGAGAGCATGGCTTAATTTCTAAATTCTGTGTATATCCGCCTTGTACTGGGCTTTGGGGGTTTGCACAAAATCTCAACTGGCCCAATCAAAATATCCAGAGATCTTTGATCTGATTTTGCCATGTCACTCGCATATGATGATGATAACAATAAAACAAGACGAGCAACATTTCCTTAAGTATGAAAAGAGACAATTTACTCATATTAAGGGAATCCAAATTCTAATTAAATAACATTTCCTTATGTGACGCCGCGTTATCAATCTCTAATTAAATTTGAATAAGGGCAAATAGTATATTTTTTCATTGATTTCATGTAATTTGGTAAAAATCATACAGTGCAACACAGCTGTGGGAAACAAAGAATCTGAAAAAAAAGACATGAGGCATGAGGGCATGTGGAGATAGATAAAAGCGCAGGTCTTTGTTTGTGCTTATGTGGACCAGCTTTTCATTCTTTCTCACTTTAATTCCTCAACCCTCCCCACCAGAAATAAAAAAAGTAATTTATTACGTCTTCTCTTTCAAGACTATGATTAACTCTAATTACTTATTGTTACTTCCTAACCAGTATATATATATATATATATATATATATATATATATTTCTACTATTAGAAACCCTAATTTCTTCATTGGTTAGCGTTTTTTATGCCCTGTTAGTTTAAGATAAAAAACGCTAATAAACGCATCACTTAAACTAAGTTTAAATTATTGATTCAGTTTACTAAAAACTAGAAACTGCTTTTATTAAAAATGAATGCATAAGTTCAATAAGTTTCTTCTCCACCTCCCTTCCAATGGCCACACCCTAACCGGCTAAAGTCTTTACTAGTAGCTGGATATAGTTTGACTTAGCTAGTGATGTTTTTGCAGACAAACATTAATTAGTAATTAAACTTCAATATTATCATCACAAAAGAAAATCGAGAGAGTGAGATAAGTGCAATAATGGGTGATGGGCCAATGTTGCAGGTGGTGAGAGATAACAAACATATGACAATGTCTCGAAATCAAGAGGCACCACCACCACCACTCTCTCTCTCTAGTAGGTTTGTGTTTTTATAATCAATATTTTCTGTTGGATTTTCATGTGAAATAAACTTGATGGGTGATGGGAAACAGATGCACATACACGTCACCACCACCTGTTTTATTTCTCCCTCATCTTCAATCTTCAATATCAATCTCATCTTCCACACTACTCTTCACTGAAACAATAAGCTCTTTAATCCCTCCAGCTTTGTCCCAAAAGTCATCCGATTTTTTTTTCCATATATAATCCCTAAATTATACTAAAGTAAGCATTTCCCAAATGAGAGACTTTCTTGCATGAGTTAGTGAATGTTATAACTTATAAGTATTAAGTTTTAACAAAAACTTTTGTTCTTTTTGCATCTTTTGGGACAGATTTACAATGGAGCTCGGAGGAAAATGCAATGCAGTTACATCCACAACAATGATCTCAACCAAAACCATAGAAGTAAAACCACATACCAGCCCGGATCCGGAAGCCAAACCCGGTTCAGATCCGATCTCCAAATCTACCACCGTCTTCAAGAAAGAAAACGGAAAACCAAGGACACGTGGCGACCAAGCAGAGAAGTACAAGGAATGCCAGAAGAACCACGCGGCCTTAACCGGAGGACACGTGGTGGACGGATGCTGCGAGTTCATGCCCGGCGGAGAAGAAGGTACGCTCGGAGCGCTAAAATGCGCGGCATGTAACTGCCACCGGAGCTTCCACAGGAAAGAAGCGTACGGTCATAGAAACAGCACGCAAGAGATGATAACTCCGGCGTTCTACTGCAGTAGCAGCTCGTACAAGGGGATGCAGCCACGTGGAGTTTATCCAACGAATGAGATTGGAAGGAGGACTTCTTCGTCGAGCGAGGATATGAAGAAGGTTTTGAGTCACCGGAGCAGCCAGAATATTAACGGAAACGGGTTGATGATGACGATGATGATGAGGAAGAAGAAGAGGGTGAGGACAAAGATTGATGAAGAGCAGAAGGAGAAGATGAAGGAGTTTGCAGAGAGATTAGGGTGGAGGATACAGAAGAAAGATGAAGAAGAGATTGATAAGTTTTGTAGGACGGTGAATCTGAGGAGACAGGTTTTCAAAGTGTGGATGCATAATAACAAACAAGCAATGAAGAGGAGGAATAATAGTAACACTAGTGATCTTCAAGAGTGAAACTTAAATTCTGTTTTTTTGGCCTTAAAATTATTCAAAATCTTGAGTAAGAATCCGTGACTAGTTTAGGGGATTGTAGATGCAAAATCTGGATAACAGAAGCGTTTACTATTGTTTTGATTCCCTTATCTTGATTTTTTTGTATTTTATCATTAGTTTGTGGTTGAATGAAGTGATAAAGACATTTAAATGGAAAGGAATAAAATATATGCTTAAGAATAAGTAAATACATAGGTCTTTTAATAACAAATCAGCTGGAATAGCTCAGTTGGTTAGAGCGTGTGGCTGTTAACCACAAGGTCGGAGGTTCGACCCCTCCTTCTAGCGTTTTGTTCTATTTTGTTGTTGACTCTTTTAAATCTGAAGCTTAATTAATGGATTTGTGCAAGTCCAGCCATTAAACATCGTACGGGCCACATTCAGCTTGGTTCTTCATTTGGTTCATGGTTGATGATTAGGAACCGACTGGTAAATGTGATGTATATGTTGTCAAGAAGGAGAAAGATAGTGACGAAGATAACGGAAGATCAACATTTGTTTTTCCTAACTAGAGGAAATTGCGTTTATCGAAAATGGCTGGTTTTTTCTAACAAAGACTAATTGCTTACGTTTACAATTCACTTAACTTTTAGATACAACAACAATCGTATTATATTAGTCTTCCTACTGTATGATTATTACTTGTGTCTTCTTTTTTTTTCGTTTCTGTACTCTTTTTCGCTCTCATATGTCTAGAATTTGTGTTTAGTCATTTATTATGTTGCAACATGCTGTGAGACGCAGCGACTTTGACAACATTATCGGTTCTCTACTCAATGTAAAAGTCAATCAAAAGGCAACTTAACCACAGCTTGATCAATCCTCTTTACAGCCGCATTTCTATCAAGTTGTAATAACATATGTTTGAAAATTTCACATTTGAAGTAAGTTGAGATCTATAATAATAAATATAAGACATAAGACCAAGACTAACTTCAAAAAGGTTCTAAACAAGAGGGGAGAATGTGATTACATATTTATATATCGACAATTCAGTCCATCTTGACTTTACCTGACTTTGTAAACACATACTTCAAAATTTTATTTGCTAATGGTTTCGGAGAGGTTTCCTTTGATCTTGTAAGTTTTCGACAAGTTGCAACATCCTTTCCTTTTTGCATTTAAAACTTAGTTTACAAATTTTAATAAACTGTTGCATTTAAATGATACAAAGAAAAGTTCGTTTTGCACACGACAAGTTAGTAAACTCTAAAGCCATTGTCTATTTTGAATTTGTCCAAAAGATGTAGACGTAATAGTCAGCATAAACACAACCGACCGGCGATTAATTTTTGAACAAGATGTATACATCATGTGGGTGTAACACTATAGCATGCTTTATTATTAAACTATACCACGTATTTAATTTTTATTAGTTGGAGATCTAGACAAAACTAATAGTCAACAGATCTACTATTTTTGTTTTTCATACTTTGTGGCCTACTTACTTAAATAAACAACACCATCAAGCGAAAGATTCAACAACACACCTCACACATAAACTTTTTTCCACAGCACACCACCATGTTTAGAGCCATGAGCACAAGAAAAATCCGCGGCGGCTACGAAAAGCTTGGTGAGGAAGAACCGAGACTGAAGAGGGTCACGAGCGTTCCTGCTAGTGTTTATGGTAATTCAAGAAGCCCGATTGTAGACGTGAAGAAGCCGACGACACCGTCGTCGGCGAAATCTAGCGGCGGTTCTGTTCATCCTCTTTTCAGTTTCTTTGACGTTCGTTTTCAGAGGAAGAAGAAGAAGACTCCGAAGAAGAGTTCACCGACGGCGAAACCGGAGTTTGCTAGGTATATGGAGTATGTGAAGGAAGGAGGTGTGTGGGATCCGAATTCTAACTCACCTGTGATTCATTACAGATAGGTTCGATGAAGGAAGTTGAATAAATGTTTGTTGTATATTCCTTTTTTGTTTATCTACGAGAAAGAACAGTTCGTGATTTGATTCAAAAGATGGAGCAAGACTATGTATTTTGTCCTTTTTACGAATTGATGTATTAAAAAGTTGAGTGTTGAAGTACACTTTTATTGAGTTCTCAAGAATAAGACAAATTCAAGATCCATGAGCTTACTACAATTAATAATTTGTTTTCTTTACAAAAGATATGTTTACGAGAATCGAATCAATTCGTAGTTGCTGATATTGATAGGTCCACCAGAGTTTCTTGCTTTGAATGAGGTTCTATATTCTTGATTTCATACCTTTTAACTTTTGTTTGAAAATTCAAAATAAAAGGAAGAAATTTTCAAAAATTTCAATGGCAGACGCATTGATTTTTTCTTCTTATCACATAGAAATTTAGAAAAAAAAATTATAATAAAGAACAAAGTTGATGACAGTAGTCTCCATTATTTGGAAGACCAAATTTTTAAAAAACTACTATTATTTTGCTCACAAATTTTGAATACTCTTGCAAGCGTGTTCACATGTGTCACGTTTATGAATTGGCTCTAAAAAATAATCAGAGATCCAAATTTGAAGAAGACAAAAGCAACATTTTAAAACATTTTCAATCGTTTTCAAAATGGGCTTTACAGATTACTGAACAGACAAATTGGGCCACGGGTTAAAAGTTAAAACCAAATCTGTTGCTTTTAGGAACACAATGTTGCCACGTCGTCATTTTTATGACGTCCCTTAATGAATCTTCGAGATATGACCCACTTTAACAATAACAAGATCCCTTCGACGATGTCGTTTCGACTACTCTCGAAACCCTACCGTTGATTTATTCACGCAAAATACCCCTCGTAATCGCGCCGAACTTTCTCGCAAGTCATATCCTCAAAGGTTAAATCCGTCTTTTCAGATACCTCCAAAAGACACGTTTTGGCTAAAATGTTCGACGACCAAGAAGGAGTAGAGGAATATTTTAAAAATTTAAAGATTTTTAAGATAAAAAGAAAAATTAATGAATTTGTTAAGAAATGGGTCGCCAAGAATAGGGGAAGCAACGAAGAAAAAAAAAAAGAGCGTTTTCAAATCAAATATTTGCGGAGAGACAAAGCGGAGGTCTCGTTTCCGATAAAAAGCCTTGGAGAAGAGGTTTTCTTCTTCTTCTTCCTTCCCTCCCTCCTCCTCTGCATCTCTTATACGATGCTGTATCGAACCTCTTCTTCTTCTTATTCCAATCTTCGCCGTCGTCTCGCTTCCGTCTAACCAGGATCTCCTTCTTAGCTTCTTCCGTGGAGATCTCCTTCGCGCCTGAGGTAATCGTTCTCTTACGCTTTGGGATTTTTGTTTCTATTGATGTTTCCGGTGGAATTTCTGGAAAATTTCGTTATCGTATAGGTTTGGGAGATTCGATTGACTTATCGGCTTGACCTTTTGATAGCTTAGAGATTATCGATTCGTGGTTGATTTGCTAGATTCTTCTCGATTTTAGGTTTTCGTGAGCTGCTGCTTCTCTCGAAATTTTCGCTATGTTGAATAAAGTTTTGGTTAGGTGTAGCTTCATGGTGTCGATGGTGAGTGGATTGAGCACGCGGTCTTTGCTTTGTACCTTCCCCAATAGCTAATTCTCACTTTACCCGATTGTTAATTGATTTGAGTTTGTGCATTTCGTACTTGTTTCGTTTTCATTTCTGATTCGTGACTGAAATGAAGAACGCTCTTGTTGTTCTTGTTTCATCTGTTGGTGTTTATTAATATTGAAGTCTTCAAATGATGCAGAGCCATGCCTACTTTCTCTGCGATTGCTTTGGATAGAATGCTAGAGCCAGGGGCTTCCTCATCTGTAGAATCTGCACCAACCACGAAATCGTTTTATTCAAAGCCACCGATATCGAAACTGGAGAAAGGTAAAGGTAAATTACCTAACGAGAGGACACTCACTCGTCCGCAGATATCACCGGCTCTGTACGCCACTCCTGATGCTATTCGGCTCCCCAATTCGCCATCTTCTTTCCCACCATCGCCCTATATCATCAACCACAAGTCACGCGGTCCTCGTCTTTTGAAAAGCTCTTCTGAGGCTGATGTGGCTTCTCAACAGAAGACCATGGATGATGAAACCGTTAATGGTGATGCAGACGTTAAGGCTTCACCTCGGAGGAAGTCCACCTCGTTCTCCTTTCCTACAAGTGAGGCTGCTGAAGTTGGAAACTTTGATTTTGATGGGATTGTTGATGGTCCTGTTGAGCAATGGAGTCCGCTTAACGGGAAATTTGGGAATGGAGAGTCGGAGCTGGATGATGGCGCCAATGGTTTAGAACGGGAAAATGATCTGCCGGAGCCTGTTACGGCCAGAGCAGACAAGGAGAGTGAGTCTGAAGATTTCTATGACCCAGGTGAATCAGCAAGCTACACAAGTGATGCAGGAGAGGAAGGTTCACAAAGACTTGCTGCTACACCTGTGGGAGAGTTTTATGATGCTTGGGATGGTACATATCTTTATCTTAACTTCTTACGAAGTGTATTTCCTTGTGAAATGGCTATGAATGCTTACGATCTAAACGTTCTCAAGATAGATAGTATGATCAGTCACATTTTAGAGTCCCTTATGATCAATAACTGTTTTGCATCCATATACAGTAGTACCTTGACGCTGAAGCTCTAATCTCTTGCTTTTTCAGAACTATCAACCGACAGTGGAATGCAGAGTTCAGTTAACAACATCGAATCTGAACTAAGGGAGATAAGGCTGAGCTTACTAACGGAAATGGAGAAGAGAAAACAAACAGAGGAGGCTCTGGAGCAGATGCAAATTCACTGGCAGAGACTCCGTGAGCAGTTGGCCCAGGTGGGTCTGTTCGTTCCTCTCGATCCAACAACCTCCACCAACAACATGAACTTATCAGAAGAACTACGCTGCCAACTCGAGGTTGCTAGGTTTGTCTCCGACTCTCTAGGCAGAGGTATGGCCAAGGCGGAGGCAGAGATGGAGATGGAATCGATGCTGGAAACGAAGAACTTTGAAATCACACGATTGTCTGACCGTCTTCACTACTACGAGGCCGTGAACAGAGAAATGTCCCAACGAAACCAAGAGGCCATAGGTAGAAAAAAAAATCAACTCTCTTTCACCAAATACTCCTTCGTCATTTCTCTCTTTTGAATCTAATCTCCCAAACTTTTTTTGTTGATAAACAGAGGTGGCGCGACGAGAGAGGCAGAAGAGAAAGAAGAGGCAGAGATGGATTTGGGGAACAATTGCAGCAACCATTACTCTTGGAAGCGCGGCTTTGGCATGGTCTTACATCCCTGCATCGAAACCATCATCATCATCCGAAGTATCACAGACTCTTAAGGATGATTAAGTAAGTAAGTCTCTTGTCTCCAATAGTGAGGTTTGATGTGAGCAAGAGAAAAATAAGGTCCAGGACGTTTAGCACGACGCCTTGTGAATAGAAATTATATACATATCTTCTGCTTTATTAACTGTTCCAAGAGAATGTATAGCTCGGAGTAGCTTCAAACACTTTTGTCTCTTTCTTTTGCCGGTTGCATACTGAGTTGCAAGCCACAGTCGCTAATATTTGGTTCCGGTTTGGTTCTTGTCAATTAACATTCATTGTTAGCTTCATAGTATTTATTAGCTGCTTTGGCTTTTATTATATTTGTCTCTCCTTTTGCTGCCTACATTTGACTTGAGATCCCAAAGAAACCGGTGTAAGGAGCAAATCAAAATACAGTTCATTTGAAAATTTGAAAGAAATTGAGGGATACAGTGCAAGTTCAAGCTTTGTTTGCTTACACAATGTTAATTGAAAGGTTTTTTATTTGCTCATTTATCGTCTTTGAACCAATTAAGTACAACGTGCACTGCAAAAGCTAGCGCAGTTAAAGCTGCAACGAGAAACAAAGATATTTGGAGTAACAGAGAAGACTCGAAGGCTTCAAGGAGAAGCATATTCCACGTAGTGTACCATGAGATGCAGAAAATAGACCCCACGATTGCACCCACCACCACTTGACTGCTTGTGTGTAGTTTCTGAGACACCCTTAGTCGTATCTGCACATGAAGTTTAAGTTGGTTTAAACAAATGTAATCGCGCAATTGCAGAGGAAGATCAATAGTTCAATACACTATTGGCTTCATATATGACTTACAAAGTATGAACCCAATGCGAGGATAAAGCCGCTTAGGAACAAAGAGACTTTACTCGTTCCAAGCCATTCCATAACTGCATAAAAACATGAGTAAATCCAATGTCTTAAACTAAACCATGAGAGTGTGTATAAACGATGATTAGTTCCATGTTTTTTTTAGCTGCTTACCGGACAAAACAGCAAACACAGATATGAAAGAAATGGACTGAGCGTGAGTAGATGGCATCCCGGGATCAGTACGCGAGGTTGCATCAGGCCTCTCTTGGTTGAGTAAACGTTTGAGAACTATGGAGAGAGCCGAATTCGAAACTGATCCAATGATAGCCCACAAGGCTGCACCGTCATGTCGCAGAAGAATGATTGAAGCAAACAGACCAGACACTAGCCATTTGCTCTGTCATTATTTCAAAACCAAGTAAGAAAGAGGCATTTCATCGAACACATTGCGTGCATTCAAAGGAGTTATCAATTACTAACCAGATGATTAAGTATGGCTTCGATTCCACCGCCGCCGGCGACCAATTCGTTTCCTTTGGTTAACGATTCTTGCTCGACCGCCCCAATTTGTTCGTCTCCGTCTCTGCAAGCAAATCGTTTGACTAAGCCGGTCATGATCGAACTATATCTCCGAAACCGGGTTGAGATTTTCGATCTTTTATAGTAGTAGGAAGGATCAAAGTAGAAATTGCAGGTGGGATGGTGGAGAAGGAGAGAGGACGCTGCCATTTCCAAAAAAGGAAAAATAAAGTCAACTTAGAATCAAATGCATCGCTAGTTCGCTACAGAAGTAAGAAATTGGAAACGATATGATGAAATTGTATGGAGAAGAAAGGAGCAGATGCAAATCGGGAAATCAATTGTCTGGTTGAGAGCAAAAAAACCTGAGAGCTTCTTCAATCTTCTTTCACGTTTTACGTTTTTTGTTGCTTGAAAGCGACGAAAATGTTGGAACTTCGGAGGATTTTATGTTCTTTCCATTCATATTCATCCACGTGGCAAAATGGGGAGTCAACGTGTAAACCAATACTGAAGCTAATTAATGGGCTTGTGTTTCTTCACATGAGGCCTGTGTACCAAAATTATAGGCCCATCTTATTTATCTGTTTCTAGCAAATATTGGAAGAAATCTTAATGATTTTATTTCACGAGCTGAAAATATTTAAAGAGTATAGTTCTGTTTTTTGTGTGTAGTAAAGAGTATGTTCTGTTGACATAAAAGGTTGAAAGTTATTTCATTAAAATTCGAATATAAACTGAATTATAAATATCAACGGTGACAAAGCCGTGTACACGTTGGTTTATTCGGAAGAATAATATAAAATTTTCAGCGTTTTAAAACAATGTTGCTTTCTGTGGAATTCTGTATGTATACAGTATATATATATATATATATATATACTGTATACACACATGAAGTATAATTTGAATATCCTTATATCTTTAATATATAGTAGATATAAAACATATTGATAAAGTTTAGATATGAAAATATGGAGGTAAGTAAACCCTTTTCACAAAAAAAGAAAAGAAAAAGGAAACATGAAGGTCGAATATGCCTTGAAGAATTTTCAGTATAACATATGGTCTTTTTAGTTATACAAATATATAAATGGAGGTCGAATATGGCATGAAGAATGTTCCACGTTTGCGTGCAAACCATGGGTTAAAGTTATATAACGACATAAAAGGAGAGTGTTCTTTATATTTTGACCAATTGTTATCAGATTAAACTACTTTACGTATGTAGTAAGCTTACAAATTAGATGATTGTCCATTTCTTTTTGGCTTCGGAATATTCAAGCTTATGTGTAAAATGATTCTTCTTGTTTAAAATTCTGTAATTGTTATTGCGTAATCGTAAAATATCTAGCCTAACTTATCTTGGACATAAACGACTCTTAGTACTCAAGAAACAGTCGAATTTTGTGTTATGCTACAAAAACATTTTTTATTACCCTTCAATTTATCAAAAAAATAACAAAAATAGAGAGCTATACCTACATATACTACTACATGGCGATAACTAGTAACAAAAAAAAAAAAAAAAGTCAGTTTTCTGATTGTTTTTGCTGCAATCGTTTTCAAGGCACACAAGTCATAATTAGCAGAAAAGATTAGCAGTTTATACTGCAAGTTGTAATAAATTTGTAAGTTGCATATGGATGCGTTATATATGAAGCCAAAAAGAAAAATATGTAAGTGGTCGACTTTATATAATCACTAGCTATTACATTCCCTCAGATTAATTATATTTGCCTAAATATAAATTCTTTCTAGAAGCGGTCAAAATTGTTCAAGCAATAACAACGTATCAATTATTTTTCAATATATAAGTAATAACTCTAGCCTTCACCAAATGGTTTATAATTCCACTTCGTTTTTCTCTTTTGATATTCGAGTCGTATATTTATTTATATCAACGGTTGTGTTAATAATACATATACGCGGTCGTAGTCTATGGAATATAAATACCGTGGTCACATCAAAACTAAAATCAAAATACAAAAGATTTGCATTTATTTCATCCAAGTGTTTCCATGTAATTCTATAAGATAAAAATAGTTAGAAGTTGAAAAAAATGGTATACCTTAAAGTGTTGTTAAAAAGAGTGAAAAGTATGGGTGAAACCGTGAAGGTGGGATACAAAGGGCGGAGTGATGTTTACCACACGCCATGGCGTCTTCAAATTGGAGAGTAAAACTACATGTAGTGTTTATAATATATAAATATTTAACTAAGAGCAAGATGCGTCCATCACTCTGTCAAACTCAATCTTTAAAGTACAGTTTTGGCAGAGATTGACGATGACCCCTGTGAAATTTTCTAAAAATTTAAAAACCTTGTGAAGCTCAGAAATGTATGGAGATTATACGGTGTCGTTTTATGTCAAATCATTCTTGAATAACATGATGATGTTTTGTTTTCCATCTCTGGGCTAAAATCAAATCAATGTGGCTATGTCGATATAGCTTTAGTAGGGGTCAAAGTTTAAATCAAGACTCCAAACTAGTAAAACCATATCGGGAAATAAAAGTACTCGATAGTGAAATTTAAACTAATATACGCTAATTTGCTTTTGTTATGTAAATTCTTTAGTAGAATAGTTTTTTTTAGCATTTAATTTCTCTGACAAGTAGTGTAACAAGTTATCACCAAACCTATATAATTAGTATACATTTATGCAATTATAGTCGTGCGTACATGTGTGAGGTTTGTATGAACAAATAATAACGCATGTAAGTGGAACTTATGGGCAGAAATTAAAGGTTAATAAATCAAAATTAAAAGCCATATGGGTCGACCAATCTTTATTATCCACTAACTATTGTTCCATTTTTATCAGTTTGGCTTCGAATCATAAATTAAAGCGACTCAAAGCATTCTTTAATCGACATTTTAGCCGAATATAGTTTACATTTGGCTTCACCTAATATTAATTCATGCCGACCAAAGGAAAATGTGTGCCTGTTTCTGTTTGTTAATGATGCGTCTGTTTTATTTGTATATGTTATGTATTAATCTGCACGTAATTAGTCATATGTAATAACTTTTAGTACTTTTTACATGACAATCCAATGTGCTATAGAGCCGTCCCTAAGGGCAAGCAAAGCAAGCTGAAGCTTGCGGCCCTGTTTCAATATAGTTATATTTCGGTTTTGATTTTCTAAAAGTTGCCTTTAGTCTAGTGATTTATGTGAGTGTCTGACATCCAATCCCTCGCTAGTTCGACTCTACGGAGTCGCAAAATGTGAATTTTTTGTCTTTTAATGATTTTTAATATAATAAATCGGCCTATTTTATTTTCCAAGCTTGTGGCCCACCTAAAGTCAGGACGGCTCTGGCTATATATATATAATTAGATTGTAAAATAAATCAGTGTGAAAAGATACAAACTAAAGTGTTAGATGCGAATAAATTCGGACATAAACAATTACGTGTCTTGCAACTTAAAATTTCAGTGTTCCGTCAACTTGCTTTTGCCGTAGTCTATTAAAAAATTATATATATATTCTCCGGTGAGCCAAAAATATATAAATTCCTTGGTATACAAATAAACATTTCAGTTAGTTTGTAAAACTCTTAAATATTGTGGGTAAATAAATTCAAAATGGAACGTAGACTATGGGCTTTGAGACAATGTCCGTAGATACCTCTACAATACAACCATACAAGGTACAATATTGACAATACTGTATTGTATACACACGTGAATTATGGCAGTTTAATAATCTGTAGAATCTTTCTTGGAACCCATGTGACCGTATTAAATGCGATATTACGTGTAAACTAATCATAGAATCATAGACATATAGTTTTAATTTTTTTGGAAGGATCGTTCTTATGTTCGTGCACACGTGATAATTAGTTTTATCGTATGAAGATTAGGGCAATTTGCATGTGGCAGAAACCAGGTTTTAAACAAAAACAAAAAACAGTCCTCTAACTATTAAATCGTTGTTTATTCAGGATATCCCAGAGTCATTGAATGTCAGAATTATTGAATTGTTTAAGAAGGTAAGCATTTATCTATTGTTATTTTCTATATTGTTTTATATTTGATCAGTTGCTCGATAATTAGTTGTTCCATATTCGCAACGTGGCGTTGAAGACCATTTCCTGCATTGCATAATGCGTTCAAAGTTCCAATCTAACGGAATCACCGGAGTCTGGACTTCGTCGCAGTGATTTTTTTACAATCTTCAACATGAAGGCATTAGTCATGTGATTTATGTAAATTATGTTAGTTACTTATTGCTTCTAATTCAAAAGAATCATAAGTTTTCTTTTTATAACGAGAAGAATTAATCACAAATTGTGTTATGTTGCTATATGACATTTCACAAAATAAAAGCAATAATTGTTTTATTCAGATTATAAAAACTATGCCGTTCTGTTTCAATGGTTTTCTACATGATAGGAGAACCGAGAATGTACACAATGTAACATAATTTATGAAATATGTAATGAATCGGTGAGATGCACGGGGAGAGACAAATAACCAACCAATAATACCAAAATGTTTGGTGAAAAAAGAAAATCAAAAAGTAAAGATTTAAAAGTGAAGATAAAGAGCGGTGGTTATACGGATTCCATACGGCTCACGTGAAAACCTGATTCCTTTCTTACATCACCTTTCCATTTTGCTCGGTCCAATTTCTTTTTTCCCTCTCTATTGTTTGTTAATTACAGCTGTAACTCGTTCAAACATTTTTCTCTTTTCTGTCAACTAGTTCAAACATTTTAACACACAATAGTCAATAGTACAATAAACATTCTTATGAGTCTTCTTTTATTCATTTTTCTTGAAGTGGTCGTGCACTTTGATATGTAATGTAAGCAATTATCCTTACTATTCAGAACTCCGGATGAAAAACTAGATAATTAATTCTCTCCATAATAAGAGCCAACAATTTAGAGTTAGTCAATTTCAGAATCATATATCTAAATTAGACAAAAAAAAGTAACAATTGAAAAAGTGAAAGGAAATAAAAATGTAAAAAGCTCAATTATTTGAAAAGAGGAACAGAAAAAAAAAAGAGAGGAAAAAAGAGTCTATAAAAAGAGACGCTTGGGGAGAGGCATGGGTCCACTTCCTCCTTCTTCCTCTTCTCCAAATTTCTCATTTTCGAATTTTCCCTGAAAATTAGTTTTTCTCAGTCTCTCACATTCCAATCGAGAAAAATGGATTCGATCGATTTCGACAACGTGAAAGCAGAGAAAGCCAAGGCGCTGCGTCGTTACCACAGTTTCCAGAGCATCGGTTTCCTCTTCCGCGTGGCGGAGATCTGCGTCGCTCTTCTCTTCGCCTGTTGGATTTTCACTTGCCTTCCTTTCGCCGTTCGAATCTCCGGCGAGTTTCTCCGTCGTCTCGCCTGCGTCGTTTCCACTCCTCTCTTCATGTTCGTCCTCGGAAACTCCATCGTCGTCGCTCTTCTCACTACCAAGTCCACCGTCTTCTCCGCCGGCCGCACAATCGACGACGGCGGAGATACGGATATCTACGAGGCGTTCATCAGATCCGGAGAGAATCGCGCCAATTCGTCCGACGGAGATCTAACGGAAGAGATCGTTGTCTTCGATGACAAACAGATGATCGCCACTGAAACCGATTCGAATTCAAATTCAAATTCCGCGGTGGCGCGTGAAGACCACGTGATAACCGAAACCGAGAAGGACTCAAATTCGGTTACTGAATCGGCGGAAGATCATCCTCTGAAGGTCTACCGAAGAAGCAAATCGGAGATTCCGGCGAAACAGAGTCCAGAGATGGTGTTAAAACCTTCACTCCGGCGATCGGAGACGGGGAAATGCCGGAAAATCGTTGAATCGTGCGAGGAAGCTCCGTTTCCGGAGGATACCATGACAAACGAAGAGTTTCAGAAAACGATCGAAGCATTCATCGCGAAACAGTTGATATTTCGCCGCCGAGAATCTCTCGCCGTCGTTGTCCATAAGCAGATCTAAAAAAGTATATACATAACTAAGTATCTTCGAATCAACAAACAAAGTTTTGAAAGGAACAAAAAGTAGCAGCATTAGACGATTTGATGGATCTCGTTTAGTGTTTATTTTGTTTCCTTTGGGTGTTGGATCAAATACGTATAGTTTCTAATAATGTTCGGATAAAAAATTCTCAAGACGATTCGGATGGATTTAGAGCTCGATTCATATGAACAGGATTGCTTCTCTGTTTCTCTCTGTATTAGATTTTTAAAAAACTAGAGATGTTTACTTTTTTTTCTTTTTCTGTTGGTTCAGAGAGTGTCACTTCCTGAAGTGATAATAATACAAACTTGAAGTAGAAACTATGTTTCGTGAAATTATGGCATTGCCAAATTACTTTTGGTTTTAGTGCAATCCAAGAAAAGTAACCATATCGTCTTTTCTGCTTTGCAATCAAATCTATGAGTACATATTTTGAAGTTAGTAATGCCTTTTGATTACTATCTTTTTTCCAAGTCTACAGACTACAATACAATTGTTTTTTTTTTTAAATTGCAACCTAGAGACAAAAAAATATGATAGTGTATATTCTAAGGAAAAAGCAATCTAGTCAATAATAATTAGCAATCGAGGGTAGGAACATAAAAATATCCGAACAAAAGTGAAGGAAGGTCTCTTGACCAAGAAGTTACGAACTTACGATGGCTGAGAAACAGCAAATTTGCTGCCACGAATCTCTCTCACTAAGCGAGAGAAATGTTACGAGAAATCACATGGACGTGCAAAAGTGGGCACGATAATTAAAAAAGCATAATTTGGGCATGGTAGTTTTGATTTGAAAAGATGAACATATTTCATTCTTAATGTTCCATGGGAGTGACCCGATCGATGGTCTAATAAGTCATAACCTAGTTGAGAAAATAATTTAATTGCTTAAGCCGCAGAGTGTCCGGTGGGTACGTCTTAGCACTAATCATAGTGCAATAATATTGAATTGCAAAAGTATTTTAAAATGCACTTTTATGCAGACACTCACGCAGAAAAACTAAGATGAAAGTGACTTTCTTTTTTCACCAAGACCCGTAATCTCTGCTGATAAAATTTTCTTAAAGCGCCCTCTTTTTCACCTTTTTTCTTTTTCGTTTCGACATCTTTTGTATTTCGTTTTTTTTTTCTTCAAATTTTAATAACACGTATAGAGACAGTATAAAATTATAGATTGTCGTTTTTAATTTGTGGGATCTTTAGTTGACATCAGCAACAATGATGACTGTTTCCACCACGTACGAACGGCTATTGCTACTGTGGTTGTTGGATTAGTCTTTTCTTGTTGTTGCTGGCATCGTTGTTGTTGGATTCATTCACCATCAATGCACTTTATATTGATTAGCTAATGTTTTAATAAAATTAACAACCTAAAATTACATACTAGAGTTTGATTCTATATACTTAGTATATATTTATATATAACGCATGTTCATGAGAAGAATAACTGGCATGCATTACGTTGATATAGTGAAAAATAAGAATATCTACGAGGAAATTGCATGCGTAAGTGCACTTTTTTCACTGTTCCAGACTTCCAGTGAAGCTCTTTCCTTATTTATGTACTCTCACCTCAGACTCACAGTTTTGGGAGCCGAAGAACCAAAACATATTCACTAAATTTCCTCTTTCTTCACTGTTTTAAATTAATTAACTATAAGCAAAAAGGATTTTAAAGAAATTTAAGATATATGAAACGGCAGACACGCATTATTATCCACATGGATGCATGAACGAAAACAGGAAGGATGTTGACGTATATCAATATTCATATATGACAGTATATAGTACTATATAAACAATTCCAACACCAAGCCTATGAATTATAGTATAGTTTCTAGAGATTTTGGCCCACATTTATATCAGGAGTTTTTTTTGAAATAGTGCTTAACGTTAAAGAACAAATGGTTTGTTTCTTACTGCATGCGTCTTTAAAAAAGACCACCTGAGAATGTTGTCGGGCTCAGAAGTTTTAGGCCCGATATATAGGTGGCCCGAAGATTCTAAAACCTAAAAAAAGAAACAAGTGCAGCTCAAGACTCAAGTGTCAAGAGTCAAAGATACACAACTGTTTCGAAGTTTTCAGACTCAGACTCTCTCTTTACTTATCTATCAGACTCAGACTCTCTCTTTTTTTTTTTTTTTTACTTATCTCACCCACCTCTGATCTGTATGCTAGTGCTCCATTAATTGTTAGAATTCAAGGTCAGCTTTTAAAGCTCCAAAACTACTCCTCTGCAACGGAGTTATTTGTTCACTTGCATAGTTTAAAACATGTAAGTAAAGGACAAAAAAAATGACGAAGATTGACAATAAGCTTTGGCTTCATAAACATGTTATTTTTTACCAATCATTTCATTGTCACGCAAAATAAACCCAAAAACTATGATGATTTTGAAGCCCTAGCTTTTAAAAAAATAGTTTCCATCTCCGGGAAACTGCATTTACTATAGTTCATATATGCTAAATTGCAAGGAACTGGTGAAGGATTCATGAGATGGATCGTTCAACTTTCCCTAGTACAATCTGGAGGAAGAAGAGGTTATAATAGATTCTTAGAAATCAAAAGCTATTTCCGCATTAACAAGCTGAAGACATTTGAGCTTCTTTCTTTGACCACATTGAACATACAATGGGATAAAGACCAACTACCGTCGATCTCAAAATTCACTACGAAACAGTTGCTCGTTGCTCATTTTGGAGACGCTATTATCGACCGTACTTTTGAGAAAGCCGAGCATTTGATTGATTCAAGCTACGTACTTCATAATCGAACATATTGGACTTTATTGTTTTTGCCCAAAGTAGTTGTAGTAGGTCCCTTTTCTTTTATGGTATAATGAATGTATAACAAATTTTCTTTTTTGTTATAGTAAAATTTCATAAGTCCACATACCACATAGATATGATAGTGATGCTAATATTTTTTTTGTCGACAAAGTAAGAAAATGTTAACATGGAAAAAAAAACACACACACATTATATATGGTTCAAGACCATTACAAATCTAATCATTCTTCATCTTCCAAAAACTCTCTTCAACGATTTGTCCATATATCACGTCTTGCTCAAGGTATATATTTGCATCATCTTTGAGTTTATATTTATATTTAAAACTTTACTTAATGTCGTTTTTCAAGATTTCATCTTATCAAATCAAGTTCTGTTTTATAAGTATTAGGGACTCTCTCTCATGGGTATTCTTAGCATGAAGGGTGGAGATGGAGAACACATTTATGCAAATAATTCTGTGGCGCATGTAAGTACTTCTCCATAATCAGTAACAAATCTTGTTTTGCTATACCTATATATGAAGCATACGCTTTGGCAAACAAATATTCTATTTTACCGCATATTCTATTTGGATGATTTGAATGCATTTCGTCTCTCTATTCTAGCATTCACAGACCCTTTTTTTTGCTTCTTTGATCTTTATTTCTGTTGGTTCAAGGTTTTTCCATGTTACATATATAATTAGATTTTGCATTTTCAACTTCTTAGAAAAGTATTTCTTCCAATACAAAAGTGACGGTGGTAGAAAACGTAAAAGGAATGATAGTGAAAATGGGTTTTTCTGAATGCTCATTTTGGAGTCGCCATTATCGATCGTCTCTTCGATAAGTATGCATACCATTTAGCCCAACATTACGATATCTTGCGTAACAAACCAACGGTCAATTTCTTCGTTTCAATGACTAGGAAGTAACATGCCTTCGGGTTGATGCTTCTTATAGTTGATGAAATAATAAGAAACGATAATAATGATCTTTGGATCAATTTGGCTAACAAAGCCAATTAAAGTGTTATGTGTTTTGAATCTTTTGATGAGTGGAATTGTGTGATTTTTGTATTTCTTTTATGAATGTACTACTACTGTTTATGCAATTCTAAACATGTACGTATTTGTGGGTTACAATCATTTAAATAAAAAATGCAATTATATCTACGGTTCTTCAAAGCCTTTTCACGAACCTTTAAGTATACAATCAAAGTAAGGGTCGTCAGTGTGTTATTGAACTTGGGCTTTCCTAAATGGATTAAAGTGTCTAATTTGGGCTGTTCTCCGGACAAAACACTTTCTTGGCCATGTCTGAAAAGAAATGTTGAAATCAACCAGAAATGGATCATAGCTTCGTATCAAGAAAATCCTCGGAACCCACCAGAAATGGATTGTTGTCCCTGGTTCTCTGTACTCGAGGCTATCTTGTGATGATTCTTTTGTCCACATTTAACGTGGTTTTGAGAATCATTATTCCCCAGATCCATCACGTTAATTACTCAACTTCCAACGTTATTATAAAAATAATACAGTATTAATTAAAAACATGATTCCCTAGATCTTCAACGGTCGAGTATATAAATATACGTACATATGTAGCTTCTCCCAGCTACAACGTGAATGGTTTCTGTAAGATATACGTATGTCAAAGCCGTTTTTCTTTTTGCTAGTCCATTACATTTGATAAAGAAATTCATTTGAGCATTTTGAGCACATCATGCCTTCTTCAAGGTAATATTTCAACTTTTTCGGTTAATTCCAAGCAAAGTGGGAAGTTATGTGCCATTTTTTCTTGCAGGCATCTGATCAGTAACTGGGTTCGATATTGTGTGGCAAAATTTTGACACAGTTTGGTTCTAGACAAAAATATCAAAAGCGAATCAAAATTAATGAAATTTTGACACAGTTTGTTTATATCAATAATTAGGAACTCTTTAGTGGATGCTCTTATTAGCATGAAAGGAGGAACTGGAGAGCACAGTTACGCTACTAATGCACATGATCAGGTACAAAGGCACTCTATGATGAATTATGATGATACGAGAACTTCTGACTGTTTTACCACTTATTATTGCGTTGACAAAGCAAAAACTTCTACTAGCCTAATTTTTTTTTCTTTTTTCTTCTGTTATTGCTTAACTCATGCATAATTGGGTTAATGAAAGTATATGACATTGTGAGTTTTTGGGGTTTGCAGAGACGTGCTTCCTACGAAACACGACATGTGGTGGTCGAACACGTAAGAGAAATGCTAAAGAAAATTGCCTTTCCCGGTTACATCAAAGTGGCAGACTTTGGTTGTTCTTCTGGAGAAAACACGTTGCTGGTCTTGTCCTTAATATTCAACACAATCATGGAGTCATACCAACATATAGGTCAAAACCTACCAGAAATCGATTTTTGTTTGAACGATCTTCCAGAGAACGATTTCAATACTACCTTCAAGCTGGTTCCTTCTTTCCTAGAGAAGCTGGAAATGGATGTTAGAGGAAGGTGTTTTGTCTCGGGAGTTCCAGGTTCCTTTTATTCAAGACTGTTCCCAAGCAAGTCTCTTTACTTTATTCATTCTTCTTTTAGTGTCCATTGGCTTTCTAAAATTCCTGATGGGCTTGAGAACAACACTAAAAACATTCATATTAAAGATCCATGCCCTCCAAATGTCTACAAGAGCTATTTCAATCAGTTCAAGAAAGACTTTTCGTTGTTCCTAAAACTGCGTTCAGAAGAGACAGTGCCTAATGGGCATATGGTTCTAACTTTCATGGGAAGAAAAGTTTCCAATCCTTTATTCAAAGATTGTTTCCAGATTTGGTCGATGTTATCCGATTGTGTCCTCGATCTAGTCTCCGAGGTACATACTCAACTTCTTCTTCTTTTAAACATTCCTTTATCAAGTATTAAAATTTTTAAATAAACAATGTACTCGTAGGGGGTTGTGAAGGAGTCAGATATGGAATCGTTTAACATACCATTCTACAATCCGAATGAAGAAGAGGTGAAGGAAGTTGTCTTAGAGGAAGGGTCCTTCGAGATCAACAAGATCGAGAAAATGGAGCATATTCTTCCGTACAAAATTGACGGTAGCGAAGAAGAAGAAGATGAAGACCTATCACTTCATTTGGAAACTGGTAAAAAGCACGCAAGCTGGGCAAGAAGCATCACCGAACCGTTGCTCGTTGCACATTTTGGAGATGCCATCATCGACCCAGTGTTCGACAAGTACGCACGCTACATGGCCAAGTATCTAAGTGTTTCACACCATCGCCCTAATACGACACTTATCTTCGTAGTTTCCTTGACTAAGAAATAACGGCCCTCGCTATGATGCTGCCAATATAAATGTCAGTTGTATCTCTTTTGTGTGTGGGCTGAAAAATAAATCAAATTGGTGTTGGAGGGCATTACTTATTTTAGTTTTGCTATCACTGAACCGATGCTTGCTGCTCATTTTGGAGACGCCATTATTGATCGTCTCTTCGACAAGTACGCATACCATTTAGCCCAACGTTACGATGCCGTGCGTAACAGACCAACAGTCAATTTCTTCGTTTCATTGACTAAGAAGTAACATGCCTTCGGGTTGATGCTTCTTATAGTTGATGAAATCATAAAAAACGATTATTAATGATCCTTGGATCAATTTGGCTAACAAAGCCAATTAAAATGTTATGTGTTCTGATGAGTGGAGTTGTGTGATTTTTATATTTCTTTTATGAATGTTTGAAGTACTACTGTACTGTTTATGCAATTCTAAACATGTACGTATTTGTGGATTTCAGTCATTCAAATAAAAAAGCAATAATATTATCCGATTCTTAGAAGCCTTTCAAGAATTTTAAAGTATACAATCAAATTAAATGGTCGTCAGTGTTACTGAATTTGGGCTTTCCTGAATGGATATAAGTGTCCGAGTTGGGCTGTTCTCCGGACAAAACACTTTCTTGACCATGTCTTAAAAGAAATGTTGGAATCAACCAGAAATGGATCATAGCTTCGTATTAAGAAAAACCTCGGAACCCACCAGAATAGATTGTTTTCCTTGTTTATCTTTACGAGGCCCTCTTATCATATGATTCTTTTGTCCACATTTAACGTGGTTTTGAGAATCATTATTCCTCAGATCCATCACGTTAATTACTCAAGTTCCAACGTTATTAAAAAACAATACAGAATCAAATATGTATGATATTATTTTAAAATATGATTCCCTACATCTCCAACGCTCGAGTATATAAAAATACGTACAAATATGTAGCTTATACGTATGTCAAAGCCGTTTTTCTTTTTGCTAGTCCATTACATTTGATAAAGAATTCCATTTGAGCATTTTGAGCACATAATGTCTTCCTCAAGGTAATACAGTATTTCAATTTTTTTTCGTTTGATTCCAAGTAAAGTGGGAAGGTGTGTACCTCTCTTTTTTTTTTTGTAGTGCCAGGCATTTGGCTAATTGGGTTCGATATTGTGTGGCAATTTTTTTTGTTTTTAGATCAAAAATATTAAAAGCGAATCAAAACTAATGGAATTTTGACACAATTTTGACACAGTTTGTTTATATAAAAAATCAGGGTTTCTTTGGTGGATGCTCTTAGCATGAAAGGAGGAACTGGAGAGCACAGTTACGCTACTAATGCAAATGTTCAGGTACAAAGTCACTCTATGATGAATTATGATGATACAAGAACTTCTGACTGTTTTACCACTTATTATTGAGTTGATAAAGCAAAAACTTCTACTAGTACCAGGCCTATTTTTTTCGGTTATTGCTTAACTCATGATAGTTGGGTTATGAAAGTATATGACATTATGAGTTTTTGGGGTTTGCAGAGACGTGCTTCCTACGAAACACGACATGTGGTGGTAGAACACGTAAGAGAAATGCTAAGGAAAATTGCTTTTCCCGGTTGCATTAAAGTGGCAGACTTTGGTTGTTCTTCTGGACAAAATACGTTGTTGGCCATGTCCGTAATGTTCAACACGATCATGGAGTCATACCAACATATAGGTCAAAACTTACCAGAAATCGATTTTTGTTTGAACGATCTTCCAGAGAACGATTTCAATACTACCTTCAAGCTGGTTCCTTCTTTCCTAGAGAAGCTGGAAATGGATGTTAGAGGAAGGTGCTTTGTCTCGGGAGTTCCAGGTTCCTTTTATTCAAGATTGTTCCCAAGCAAGTCTGTTCATTTCAGTCATTCTTCTTTTAGTGTCCATTGGCTTTCTAAGGTACCCGAGGGGCTTGATAACAACACTAAAAGCATTCATATTAAAGATCCATGTCCTCCAAATGTCTACAAGAGCTATTTGAATCAGTTCAAGAAAGACTTTACGTTGTTCCTAAGAATGCGTTCAGAAGAGGCAGTGCCTAATGGGCATATGGTTCTCACGTTCGTGGGCAGAAAGGTTTCCGATTCTTTATCCAAAGATTGTTTCCAGGTTTGGTCGTTGTTATCCGACTGCGTCCTCGAGCTAGTCTCCGAGGTACATACTCAACTTTTTATTCTTCTAAACATTTCTTTATCAAGTATTAAACTTTTTGAAACAACAATGTGAGTTGAGTGTAGGGGGTTGTAAAGGAATCAGAGATGGAATCGTTTAACATACCATTCTACAATCCAACCGAAGAAGAGGTGAGGGAATTTGTCTTAGAAGAAGGATCATTCGAGATCAACAAGATCGAGAAAATAGACCATTTTCGTCCGTACAAAATTGACCGTAGCGAAGAAGAAGATGAAGACCTATCACTTCATCTGGAAGCTGGTAAAAAGCACGCAAGCTGGGCAAGAAGCATTACCGAACCGTTGCTCGTTGCACATTTTGGAGATGCCATCATCGAGCCAGTGTTCGACAAGTACGCACGCTACATGGCCAAGTACCTAAGTGTTTCAAATCATCGCCCTAATACGACACTTATCTTCGTAGTTTCCTTGACCAGGGTCCACTCCATGATGCTGCCAATATAAATGGCAGGTGTATGTATTTTCTGTGGGCTGAGAAATAAATCAGTAAAATAGATGATGGAGGAAATTACTTATTTTATTATTTTGGAGTTCACGAGTGAATTGTTTAATTTCTAGCTATAAAAAAAATCTATTATATTAATCAAGTTTTTAAGGACCTCGGTCATGGGTGTTCCTTATTGGTATGTGGGTGGCATCCGCTGCATGCACACATGGTAATCACTAAAACTAGCTCTCTTTGAAAAAGAAAATTTGTAAGGATGTATATTGTGTTGACGTTCAGATTTCAATATCTGTTGATAATAAGATGATGATTGGTTCTCCCGCTACCACCCGCAAACGCAGCGTTTGCGGTTCGTAGCGGTTCTTAGCGTTTTATAACAATCACGACAACCGCTTTCAACCGCTCTATACCACTCTGTACCGCTCTATATCGCTGAAAATCAAAAGCTCCTTTCCGCAAGCGTTTGCGGTTGCGGGCGGTTGCGGTTTGAAAAAAAAAAAAAAAAAACATAATATCTCCAAATTTGGAATAAGGGTATATTTTTTTGAAAAATACCATAATTATGTTTAAAAATTTCGAAAATACCCTAAATTTTTTCTGTTTTGAAAAATACACTTTTAAAATGTAAAAAGTATGTTTTGACGTGATTTAAACAAAAAAATAATACAAATTATAAACGAAAATTTAAAAAAATAATAAACTAATAAGTTTTTTTTCAAATAAATATAGTATATGTTAAACTGAAACAAATTTTAATATTTTGGATCTTTATATAAACAACTTAACCTCATACACATTCAAACCAAATGAAACTTTAAATAAATTAAAACTTTACATATATTTAAAGTTTATAAATTATTAAAAATTTAAAAGTGGAGAAATATATCTTTCATTTTTAATGTTTATCTTTTGAAAAATTTAAATATTTTTGAAACTTTGCATAAACAACTTTAATCTCACCCCATTTAAACTTTATATAAACAATCTTATATTTTTATTAAATTGTTTAAAAAAAACTAAACAGGTAATTAGGATGTTAAAATGATACAAAATTATTATCAAATATTAATATTTTATATTTCTTATTTGAATTTCGTTTTTATTAAATTAGGAATAATCATTTTACATATAAAAAGTGTATTTTTCAAAACCAAAAAAAAGGGTAGTTTTCAAATTAAAAATTCATCAAAAAATATATTTCAAAAAAAAAATTATTAATATGGTTATAAATGTTTTGAATAATTATATATTATTTTTATTTTAGTAACTTTTGGTTAAACCGCTCTTGCACCCGCTGGCTAACCAGTCAAAAATATCCCGCAAACGCAACCGCTATGAATTGCTATACCAGTCGTACAAACAGCTTTTAATCGCAAACTCCCGCTTCCGCAAACTCCCGCAGCCGCAAACTCCCGCAACCGCAGCAGGTTAAACCAGTCAGACCCTAAGTAGAGAAATACCATGCATCTTATATACAAAGTTACAAACTAGACCTTATTGTAATAATCCTAATATATATATTGTGAGGGCATGGGGTTGTAAGGGAATCAGAGGTGGATTCATCCAACTTGCCGTTTTCCCTTATATTGTGTTGACGTTCAGATTTCAATATAGTAAAGAAATACCATGCATCTTATATACAAAGTTACAAACTAGACCTTATTGTAAATTTGTAATAATCCTAATATATATATTGTGAGTGCATGCATGGGGTTGTAAGGGAATCAGAGGTGGATTCATCCAACTTGCCGTTTTCTAATGCCGGTGAAAAAGAGGTTAGGGAAGTTGTCCAAAACGAAGGATCATTTGAGGTTAACAATGTCGAGACGCATGAACATCTAGTCCCATACAAAGATGGTCATGAGGAAGATGACGATAAAACTTGTCGATTGAAATTTGGGGAAATGATGATTCTTTTCTTACATGATCTGTCTTACTCTTTTGTATGGAGCATGTGTTATCTCTGATCTTTTTAAAGAGTGGTTTTATTTATATATTGATATTATCAAGGTAAATGGCTGAAAACAAATTGTACACAGGAGACAAAGGCCAGGTCTTCAAAATGTTCCTGCATCATGTGCAACGTGGAATTGGTTTGATAAGGTCATAAACAAGTCATTATTAACCTCTATTGTATTTGTTGTGTGGAAACGACACGGTTTCTAATCTTTTAAGAGAAGAATGATCCACACGTCAAGTCAGTCTTTGTTTACTAAATTATTTCTCGAATTAGTTTGACGCACGTTCTTTTCTCTCGTCGATAATTCAGAAAAGCCTCATGACCAAGTCATCTCACCCCACTAAAACAACTTTTCTTATTTTCTTTTTCATTAATCATTATTCTCTTAGACATGGAAACTTCGAAGTAGTAGCATCGGAAGGATCCTCGCTTATTCCCTGCGTCCATTAGTCTCCTGTTCCCACCAAACCTCAATAATAAATTCTGAGGTTTTTTGGTTAAACACAACTCAGATTCTCAGAGCAAAACACACTCGAGAGAAGATGACATCCTCTGCCTCTTCTTCCGCAGAAACCCGTCTAGCCACGGCTAAGACGGTTCTCACAACCGCGGCTTCGGTGGCTGCAACCGCAATGCTAGCTAAATCCTTAGTCCAAGACTATTTGCCTGACGAGGTGCACCACTACATCTCTTATGGCTTCCGCATCTTCTTTGGTTACTTTTCATCCCAAATGACAATAATCATTGAAGAATTCGAAGGGTTTGTTCACAACGAAGTCTTCGAGGCCGCGGAGGCTTATCTAGCCACCAAGATCTCTCCTTCTAACAAAAGAATCAAAGTTAGCAAACACGAGAAAGAAAACAACTACAACGTCACCGTGGAACGTGACGAGGAAGTTATCGATACCTTCAACGGCATCAAATTCCGGTGGGTCCTCCATTGCCGCCACGTTGAGTCCAAGAACTTCCACCACCCTCGGGATCTAAACTCCACACTCAGATCCGAGGTCAGATCATTCGAGCTCAGCTTCCACAAGAAATTCAAGGACATGGCTCTTGAATCTTACTTGCCATTCATGGTCAAACGAGCCACGTTGGTGAAGCAAGAGAAGAAAACGCTCAAGATCTTCACTCTTGACCCGGACAACATGTATGGGACTTACTCAGACGCTTGGACCTCTGTGATTCTTGACCATCCTTCTACCTTCAAGACGCTAGCAATGGACGCATATGTCAAGAGAAATGTGATGGGAGATCTTGACCAGTTTGTGCAGCGGAGGGACTTCTATAAAAGGGTTGGTAAAGCTTGGAAGAGAGGTTACTTGCTCTACGGGCCACCGGGTACATGGAAGTCAAGTTTAATCGCAGCTATGGCCAATCATCTCAACTTTGATGTTTATGACTTGGAGCTAACTGCGGTTAGCAACAACTCTGAGCTACGAAGATTGCTCATTGCCACTGCTAATCGTTCGATACTTGTTGTGGAAGATATCGATTGTTCGATTGAATTGAAAGATAGGACATCAACCGATGATGACGAGAGCGATGAAAACCAACGGTACAAAAAGGTGACACTCTCTGGTCTTCTAAATTTCATAGATGGTCTATGGTCAAGCTGTGGTGACGAACGGATCATTATATTCACAACCAATTATAAAGAGAAACTTGACGCGGCGTTGTTGAGGCCAGGACGTATGGATATGCACATACACATGTCCTACTGCACGCCAAGTACTTTCAGGGCTCTTGCTTCAAACTATCTAGAGATCAAAGAACATAAGCTTTTCAGTAAGATCGATGAAGGTATTGAAGCAACAGAGGTAAGTCCAGCAGAGATTGCTGAACAGCTTATGAGGAATGACACTGTTGATAAGATTCTTGAGGGTTTGGTTGAGTTCTTGAAAGTCAAGAAGATCGAGAACAAACAAGAGGATGCAAAAAAGGAAGAGCAAGAATTGAAAGAGAAAAAGGAAAAGACCACCGAAGGCAAAGATTCTGAGGTTATTAAGAAAAACGAAGAGGTGGATGAACAGGTTATGAGGAATGACCGTGTTGACAAGGTTCTTGAGGGTTTGGTCGAGTTATTGAAGGCCAAGAAGATCGAAAACGACCAAGATAAGCCTAAACCTGAGGAGGCGAGTAACATTATATAGCTAGTGAGATCTGGAAGAGGATTAAAGAGTCATAAAAACCGTAATTATAAAATCGCTTTGTAACATGAGATTAATTGGTTTTTTGTATTTTGGGAATGATCTAACATAGATATTGATCCAGAGGGACCCGCTTAAGGAAGCTACACATGAAACTCTTCGTAGTCATATGATAGGGATCAGACCATAAAAACCCTTAAAAAAAGAAACTAGGAAAGTCAAGTGTATAATATGATTATTCCACTAAAATAATGGAATTATTTATAGAAACAAAACGATGCGTTTCGCATGTTTTTCTTTCAAATTTTCGTGTCAAACAATCTTTCCTCTAGCAATTTGTTGTTTGCTTTTATAGAACAAAAATTTATGATGCAACTTATCATTACGTCGAGCTAGACTTTAATTTTCACTTTCAACTATATTAAATGTGCCGTCGATGTTTTAATCTTTTTCCTTTTCTTTGATTTCTAATTTGCTTCAGTTTACCGTTTAAAATTGGGGTTTTAAGGTTACTCAAGATTTCTAAAAGCACAAATATCCATCCAACAAAGAGCAAAGTCTGGTTTGATATTAAAAAAAAAAAAAAAAACAAAACAAGACACGAAATCATGAATATCCGAAGAAAAACAAGAAAAGAATCATTCAAAAGCCCATTGGTTCTCTCTGCGCACCTCTTCTTCTTCCTCCGGTGTGAAGTCGTTCTTGATGTTGAAGGTCGTGCGAAGCTCTTGTGGATTTTTGCCTTTGATCATATCAGCCACTGCCTGGCATGTAAGGTCAAGCAAGTTCTTGATGTTGAGGTCATTAGCAGCCAGGATGAGTTCGTAGAGCATAGACAGATCGATTTTCAGGAAATCAGCATCCCAGGCCTTAAGGTCTTCTTCGGAGGTACCAGCATCGGCAGCCCCGACGTGTTTCTTGCAGTACTCGATCACCTTCGCAAGGATATTGCTCGTGACGTTCGGAATAGGGACTCCGTTGTCGACGCAGTCGTCTTCAACCATATGGGCTATGGTCTGAGACGCAAGAGCCACCGCCTCGTCAACCTCAAAAGACTCACCATCGGAGCTCTTCAACACAATCTTGTTCGTCGACATGTTTGTGAGAAACTGAAAAGATTTGAGAGAGATTTGTGTGTTTGTGTGTTTGCTTGAAGAAAGTTTGAGAAGCGATGAAGGAAATAAAATTGTTGTATGGGGTCCTCTATTTATATAAAATCCCTAGGCTTCATTCACGAGTTATTTCCTTTTTAGGGTTATTTCCTTTACGTGTTATTGACTTATTTCCTTTTTGCTAGGTTTTGATCTTGCTATGTTTTTTTCCTTTTTATTTTTTATTTTGTAAAAATTGATCTTGCTATGTTTATAATAAATGCATAAATACAGACACGATACATACAGAGGCGAGGACACATAACACATTCCCGGTTCATATATAAGTGTGTAGAAGAAACTTTTCTTCTCACACAAGTAACCTAAAAAAAAAAGACAACTCGTTCGTTCGTCAAGGTTTTGAGATCAGCTCTTCGCAATGGCACTAACGTCCCGTTCTTATCCAGTTCGTGTGCCGGTGGATTTCGGTAAAGACACGTCACTTGGAATGCTTAAACAACCTCCTCGAACGGTTTCCGCTCGTCGCTCCGCCGTAAAATATCCCGGAATATTCGCACAAATCCTAGAAAAAGTTGAATCGGCACCAATCATAACAGTTCTCACCACCGCTGCTTCCGTGGCTGAAACGGCAAGGCTGGCTCGTTCGTTAGCCCAAACTTATGTGCCTCCGGAGGTTCGCCACTACATCTCAAACGAATTCCGCTGCTTCTTTCACCGCCGCGTCGTTCCTTACTTTGATCCGCAGATGACGATAACCATCGAAGAATTCGAAGGGTATGATCACAACGAAGTCTTTGAAGCCGCAGAGGCCTATCTAGCCACCAAGATCTCTCCTTCCAACAAGAAACTCAAAGTCAGTAAACACGACAGTGAAAACAACTACAACGTCTCCGTGGAACCTAACGAGGAAGTTGTCGACACTTTCAACGGCGTCCAGTTCCGGTGGCTCCTCCGTAGCCGCCGTGTTGACTCCAAGAACTCGCGCAGCCCGCCATCCAATGTCCGATCGTTCGAGCTCAGCTTCCACAAGAAATTCAAGGACGTGGCTCTTGACTCCTACTTGCCGTTCTTGGTGAACAGAGCCACGGTGGTGAAGCAAGAGAAGAAAACGCTCAAGCTCTTCACTCTTGATCCAGAGAACTGGTATTGGAGCTGCTCTGACCCGTGGACCTCTGTTACTCTTGACCACCCTTCTACCTTCAAGACGCTGGCAATGGACTCAGATGCCAAGAGATGTGTGATGGAGGATCTTGACCAGTTTGTGCAGTGGAGAGAGTTTTACAAAAGGGTTGGTAAAGCTTGGAAGAGAGGTTACTTGCTCTACGGGCCACCGGGTACAGGGAAGTCAAGCTTGATCGCAGCCATTGCAAATCATCTCAACTTTGATGTTTATGACTTAGAGTTGACTGCGGTTAGAAACAACTCTCAGCTCCGGAGATTGCTGCTTGCCACTGATAATCGTTCCATCCTTGTTGTGGAAGATATTGACTGTTCGATCAAATTGAACAATAGGACAGCTGATGATGACGAAAGTGATGATGAAAGCCCACGGTCCAAAAAGGTTACACTCTCTGGTCTCCTAAATTTCATAGATGGTCTATGGTCAAGCTGTGGTGACGAACGGATCATAATATTCACAACCAATTACAAAGAGAGACTTGACGCAGCGTTGTTGAGGCCAGGACGCATGGATATGCACATACACATGTCCTACTGCACGCCGGAAGCTTTTAAGGTTCTTGCTTCAAACTATCTGAAGATCGAAGAACATGAGCTTTTCAGTGAGATTGAGGAATGTATTAAGGCAACAGAAGTTAGTCCAGCAGATGTAGCTGAGCAGCTTATGAGGAATGATACTGTCAGTAAGATTCTTGAGGGTTTGGTTGAGTTCTTAAAGGCCAAGAAGATCAAGAACGAACAAGAAAAGGCCAAAAAGGAGGAGCATGAGTTGGAGAACAAAGAAAAAGACTTGAAGAAGAAAGTAAAAGACTTGGAAAACAAGAAAACGAAAAAGCGAAAAGATTGATGAACAAACAGCTTATGACGAAAGATCGTTTCTCAAGTTTTTCTCTCTATTTTTCATTTTCTTATTTAACTCAACAATATTTTTCTAGTATGCTACCTAAACCTTCCTATTTATATAATAAGATTTTCTAGCTTTTTCCTTGTTTTCATAATGTTTTATATGTTACAACTTACATTTCTCTAATAGTTCTTATAATTAATATCAGTAAACTGAATGAAACAAGTACATAGTTAAATCAAACAAAGATTTTTAGAAACAAATATGATATAAATCAATTATTAAATATTTCTTAAATCAAAGTATTTTCCAAGGATGAAAAACTATGATGCTAACATGTCCTTCTAATAAAACTTACTATAGTAGAAGCTCTATAAATTAATACTCGATAAATTAATAAAATGTTCTGGTCCCGAGTTAGGCCGGTGTAAAATATGACACAATTCAATAAGATAACTGCTTTGTTTGAAACCAAAATCAAACTTGTATAATTAGGGAGCAAACACATTGCTTTGTTTTGAACTTTTGATTGTGCACAACTCTTGTCTTTGCCCTTTTTGCAGCGACCTGAATCTAGAAGACTGTAGTTTTGATTGTGCACAACTATTGGGTTTTCAATCTTTTTAACTATGCTTACTAAATGGGCCGTAAATATTAGCCCACTACACACAATTCCTTTAATCATCTTCCTCCCTAATTATCTCTCATCTTATGATCAGAGGTTTTACTGATCGCCAGAAAACCCTTCAATTCATCTTTTCTAGGTTCGACCACCAAAACAAAGAGTAGAAAATTGGTATCAAATTTCAAATTTTTATGATCAATCGAGTCACCTAACCTTTTTATACTTTTGATAAGATTTAAGGAAAGGAAAATGAGTTCCTCATCATCATCGGCTGAATCTCATCTAGCCACCGCCAAAACAGCTCTCACGGCGGTTGCGTCGGTTGCTGCAGCCGCAATGCTGACTCGATCAATCGTCCAGGATTACATGCCAGACGAGGTCCACGAACTCATCTCTTCCGGCATCCGCAGATTCTTCAGCTACTTCTCTTCTCAAATGACAGCCGTGATCGAAGAAGGATCTCCAGGAATCGAACACAACGAAGTATTCGAAGCCGCGGAAGCCTACCTCTCCACCAAGATATCGAACTCCACCAGAAGAATCAAAGTGAACAAACTCGAGAAACAGAGCAACCTCAACGTCACCGTAGAACGCGACGAAGAGATCGCCGACAGTTTCGACGGCGTCAAGCTGAGCTGGATCCTCCACGTCGACAAACGTAACCTCCGCGATCTCACGAGCTCGACTCTGAAATCGGAAGTGCGTTACTACGAGCTAAAGTTCAACAAGAAATTCAAAAACTTGATTCTCGAATCTTACTTGCCGTTTGTGGTGAATCAAGCTGCGTTGATGAAGCAAAAGGTCAAGACTTTGAAGATCTTCACACGTAATGTCTACTCAGCCGAGTGGACTTCAGTCTCTCTCGACCATCCTTCCACGTTTCGCACTCTCGCCATGGATCCGGAGACGATGAGAGACCTCGTGGAGGATCTCGACCGCTTCGTGGCGCGTAAAAGCTTTTACGAGAGAGTTGGAAAAGCTTGGAAGAGAGGCTACTTGCTCTACGGTCCTCCAGGAACAGGGAAGTCGAGCTTGATCGCAGCCATGGCGAATCATCTTAACTTCGATATCTACGACTTAGACTTGACCTCTGTCAACAGCAACGCTGAGTTACGGAAGCTGTTGATGTCTACTGCGAACCGCTCGATTCTGATTGTGGAAGATATTGACTGTTCGATTGAGTTTAAGGACCGGACTGTGGATGAGATTTCTCATGAAGACGATGATTCGGTTCATAAAACGGTTACACTCTCTGGTTTATTGAATTTTGTGGATGGGTTATGGTCAAGTTGTGGTAACGAGAGGATTATAGTGTTTACGACTAACTACAGAGAGAAGTTGGATCCGGCATTGTTGAGGCCTGGACGTATGGATATGCACATTCACATGTCGTATTGTACACCGGCTGCTTTTAAGGTTCTGGCTTGGAATTATCTTGAGGTTGAAGAGCATGTGGTTTTTGAGCAGATTGAGGAATGTATCAGGGAAGTAGAAGTTACACCAGCAGAGATAGCTGAACAGTTGATGAGGAGTGACTCTGTGGATAAGGTGCTCCAAGGATTGATTGTGTTCTTGAAAACCAAGAAAATGGAAAAATGATAGTAAAGAATCTAAAGATGGAGGACCAAAAGAAATAGTTATTAGCTTTGAGTTATTATATTATTGTCCACTAGTATTTGATACAATCAGGCTATCTTTTGGTTACAGACATGAGAAGAGATAAAATTTGAAACTTATGTTTGGATATTATTCAGAAAAGTTGAATTGATCAAATTAATCTCCATGTGAATGGGCCCATTCAAGTTCCTATGGGTAGCAACTAGCAAGAAACCAAGAAGAAGACGTGTATTAGTTGACTGTTGACTTGTAATTGTTAAACCATTGACTTCCATTTCGATAAAGTTTCTCATTTCCTGAAACAAGTTTGCAGAGTAGGAAGGAACCAAAGATCTAAAGACCAGAAGCTTCAGATCCTTGTCGACTCAGTCCCCTCCCTTGTAAGTCTTCTCTTTTCCATAAAGATTGTTTACTTTGGCTAGATTTTTGTAATTCTGCTTGTTTCTTGAGAAAAATACCGATTAGTCAAGAAAATCTTTATCTTGGGTTAATGATTCTGTATAGTCGTTGGTTGGTTGGTTGATTTTTTAGAAAGGTGAAATCTTATGATACATAAACCGATTGAATTATTGCTTACAACTTTACAACTTTTATAGCAATTTGAAATGTTTCTTCAGTTGCAGAGAAATGGTGGATGCTGTAGTGACAGTGTTTCTGGAGAAAACCTTGAACGTCCTCGAAGAAAACCGCCGAGTTGTAACGGAATATCGAAAGAATCTAAAAGATTTGCAGAGTGAGTTACAGTATATGCAGTCTTTCCTCAAAGACGCAGAGAGACAGAAGAGGAAGAAGGAAGTCTTGCGTACACTCGTTTCAGACTTACGAGAGCTGGTCTACGAAGCTGAGGACATAGTCGTGGATTGTCAGCTAGAAGATGGTGGTGGTGAAGATGATGATAGTAACGAGCAAAGGCCTTGGCTTTCGCGGTTTTATCCTTCACGGGTCTCGCTGCAGTACAAGAAAAGCAAACGTCTCAAAGAGATCAACGAGAGCATAACAGCTATCAAGACTAGAGCTGAGCCTTATTTCAAGTTCATGACGCAGAGCAACGTCGGAAGAGACAATGGAACTGATCGGTGGAGCTCTCAGGCGTATGATCATACTCAAGTGGTTGGTTTGGAAGGAGATAAGAGCAAAATCAAGGAGTGGCTCTTCAGGTCAAACGAGAGCGAGCTCTTGAAGATGGCCTTTGTTGGGATGGGAGGGTTGGGGAAAACCACCATTGCTCAAGAAGTGTTCAACGACAAAGAGATCGAGAACCGTTTCGAGAGAAGGATATGGGTCTCTGTGTCCCAGACTTTCACTGAAGAACAGATCATGAGAAGCATATTAAGGAACTTGGGTGATGCAAGTGTTGGAGACGATCTTGGAACGTTGCTGAGGAAAATCCAGCAGTATCTTTTGGGGAAACGGTACTTGATTGTGATGGACGATGTTTGGGACAAGAACTTGAGTTGGTGGGACAAGATCTATCAAGGACTGCCTAGAGGACAAGGAGGCAGTGTTATCGTGACAACAAGATCAGAATCTGTGGCGGTTAAGGTTCAAGCCAACAAGACTCACCGTCCGCAGCTGCTTACTCCTGATTACAGCTGGCTGCTGTTTTGTAAAGTGGCGTTCGCGGCGAACAACGGTGCTTGCGAGCGTCCAGAGCTAGAGGATGTTGGGAAAGAGATTGTAGCGAAATGCAAAGGTTTGCCTCTGACAATCAAAGCCGTTGGTGGGTTGCTTCTGTGCAAAGAGCATGTGTATCATGAATGGAAACGAATAGCAGAGTATTTTCAAGATGAGTTGAAGAACAACACTTCTGAAGTTGACAATGTCATGTCTTCTCTGCAGCTGAGCTATGACGAGCTGCCTTCTCACCTCAAAGCATGCTTTCTTACTCTCTCGCTCTATCCTGAAGACTGTGTGATACCGAAACAGCAGCTGGTGCACGGATGGGTCGGGGAAGGCTTTGCCATCGTGAAAAACGGAAGATCTGCGACTGAGTCTGGAGAAGACTGCTTTTCAGGACTCACGAACAGGTGTCTTGTTGAAGTTGTTGACAAAACTTACAGTGGAACCATCCTCACTTGCAAGATTCATGACATGGTTCGTGACCTGGTGATCGATATAGCGAAGAACGATTCTTTCTCTAACCCGGAAGGACTCAACTGTCGTCACCTTGGGATTAGTGGGAACTTCGATGAGAAGCAGATCAAAGCTAACCAAAGGCTGAGAGGCATTGTGTCAACAACTAAGACAGGTGAAGTGAACAAGCTCAACGCAGACCTGGCTAAGAAACTAACAGAGTGCAAATACCTTCGGGTTCTTGATATCTCTAAGTCAATATTCGATGCACCTCTGTCTGACATCTTGGATGAGATTGCGAGCCTTCAGCACTTGGCCTGTCTTAGCATGAGCAACACACATCCGTTGATCCAGCTTCCTCGTTCCATGGAAGATCTCCACAACCTTCAGATTCTTGACGCCAGCTACTGTCAGAATCTGAAACAGCTCCAACCTTGCATCGTCTTGTTCAAGAAGCTCCTTGTTCTTGACATGACAAACTGCGGATCGCTAGAGTACTTCCCCAAGGGAATCGGAAGTCTCGGGAACCTCGAAGTGCTGTTGGGGTTTAAGCCATCCAAGTCAAACAATGGTTGCAAGCTGAGTGAAGTGAAAAAACTCACAAAGCTCAGGAAACTTGGTCTTTCTCTGACTCGTGGCGATCAGATAGATGAAGACGAGCTTGATTCTTTGGTAGACCTAACCAAGCTTATGTTCATCTCCATCAACTGCTATGATAGCTACGGAGATGATCTCATAACCAAAATAGATGCTCTCACTCCTCCACACCAGCTCCACGAGCTTTCGCTACAATTCTATCCTGGAAAGATGAGTCCGTCGTGGCTGAGTCCTAACACGCTTCCAGTGTTGAGGTACATGTCAATATGCTCAGGTAATTTGACGAAAATGCATCAACGATTCTGGGGGATTGAGACCAACACTCACTGGAGAATCGAGGGTTTGATGTTAACTTCGTTGTCGGATCTAGACATGGACTGGGAAGAGCTCCAAAGTTCAATGCCGTACCTTAGGACCGTCCACGCAAACTGGTGTCCAGAGCTAGAGACTTTCCCAATCGAAGATGTTGGCTTTAGAGGAGGAGTGTGGACAAAGACACCACCGCATAGAACCTGATGGCACATCTTAAGCAAACCTGACAATGTCTATTTATCAGCATTCAGCAGTAATAAATTGGTGTATTACATATACCAACATACATTGTCATGTAATGTAACATTTGACCGTTTGGATATTATATTGAAGTTTCCTTATCTAATAAGCATATAGCAAAAGAGCAAAAGGCAAAAAACAGAGACTAGCATCAATGTGCAGATCTGTGATGTTAACAGCTTGATCAGTCAGAATCAGAGTCCAGATTCTCTGAAGACCTAACCGACCGCCGTATGCTCTCTTGATATTCAGCATCTTCATCGTCTTCCTCTTTCTTCGCCTTGCTGAGCATTCCTGTTTACAGATTTGCACATTTATAAGCAACAGGACTCTCGATGAGCTGTAGTTACTGAAAAAGTGGATGCGAGGTTCTTCATACCTCTCTTAATCAGAACGTTCTCCAGCTTAGTCGTGGTGAAATCGTCCTTTGTGCCCAGATCCTGGAACCCGACTAGCCTGTCTATCGCTATTCCCTTGCTGAGAATGATAAAGAAACCATTATACATTGTATATCAGTATAAAACCTAACAACAAATTATGTATGTAAGAATGAATGGAAAGAGACGGAACCTGAAAAGCAAAACGCAAGGCAGAGTCTTTATTGCAAGCTTTGTCACGAAGAAAGGAGCATTCTGCATTTATGTCAGCTAAAAGCATTAGATTTTCATAGTATTGTTGATAAGCCGTTTTCTTTTTCAATCTTTAATCAAAAGGGTTCACTCACCTCTGCATCCATTTTAATGAACTTCGTGTCCACATGTCTAGGAGCAAGAGTCTTCAGGTGCTTGTCCATAATCCTAAAATGATGCACAGTACATAGGCTTGGTTATGAGCTCGCATATCAGAAAGACGAAGAAAACAAAAAAAAGTTGAAGGGAGATCTTACTTGCAGCGGTAAAACTCCTTGTGGTAGAAATGACATATCACTTTCTCACTCCTGGTGACTTCGCCCAAGAAATCTCCCTCGCTTACCTCTCGGTATTCACCATGTCCTTGCCTTTTGAACGCTTCTCTCTTCTCAACTTCTCTCTGTCACAGATCAAAACCTTGGACAGTTGTTAGCTCATACCACTAGCTGCATAACTAAATAGATAAGGCACAACACGATGCCAAAAGTTATAACCTTGAGTGCTGCAATCCTATCTGCGTGCAATTTTTCCAGCTCTGGATCCTACAAAACATGAGTAAGCAAGTCTACCATTAGAGTCGGTAGCATAAATCTCAAATACTGTAATAAGATGAACAGTCCAACAAGAAATAATTGCACTTACATCCATCAGTTCATCAAGATCAACCTCCACATTGGCTGGATTTGATGATTGCGCCTTCTCATTTGCAAGAACTTCCTGCACATCCATATCAACAATAACATCACAAAACATACAAATTCCTCACACGTTATCTACAAACTGGTGTAGCCTACCACATCAACAACATCAGGAACTTGTAAAGTCTACAACTTTAATAGATAAATCATTTCAACAATTCTTGCTTCATGATTTAGATTTACTCGTAACACAGATCCAACAACTTCTGTGAATTTCATACGCATAGAGAAATAAACCCACCCAAGAGAATATGCTAGAAACACAAAAACGAATCATTTCAAAAACATTCATGAAAAGGTAACTATGAAATCGCATTTGATGGATAATTCGTTTACCTTCTTATAATCTCTAGCAGCTGCCGCCAATACATTTCCGAACGCCAGATTCGAGAGAGTTGATTTGACCGTATCCGGATCCATCTTTAGCACCCAAAAATCTGATAACAAACCACGAAAGCATCAATCAACAACAACAACAACAAAACAATTAAGGATTCAGAAATAGAAAGCTATAGCTCCGAGATCATACCTTACTCAAATGCTTTCCTGGTGGAGGAAAATGAAAAAAAAGCTTGAGAAATCGGAATCAAACAAAGCTTATTAGTAGCAATTTCAAATCTGGAGCGGAAAATATAACCCAAAATCAAAAGACGAACATCAATGGTGAAACACAGACGAAACGACCACGTTTCAGGGGAAATATGTGTATTATGGATTCCGTTTTAGCCCATGGGTTTCTATGCTGTGTCCGAAAAGCCCGTACAGGCCCAAATAAGTTATTTACGGATTTTTATTTTTTAAATAAAAACTCAAAGTGGGTGTGATTATTTACGGACACGTGTGGCCGAAAACGACACGGACGTCTTACGTGATGGCCACGTGTGTCTCTCCTCGTAATTCAACACTGATTGATTTTGATAGGTGATTGATTTCCTATCCAAAACCAAGTCCATAAAAGGCATCATTCGTGTGCTCTTATCAATCTTCATCGAGAATAAATTTGTCTGAAAGAAAGCGAAAGAAGTTAATTTAGGAAAATGGAGTCTTACCAAAACCAATCGGGAGCGCAGCAGACTGGCCAGCAGCTTGACCAATACGGAAATCCAGTCCCAATCGGCACCGGAGTCTATGGAGCTACTGCTCCGGTCATGGCTAGTCATCAAAAGGAAGGCGGTGGTTTGACCGGCATGCTTCACCGTTCTGGAAGTAGATCTAGCTCTAGCTCTAGTTCGGTAATCATTTAACTTATTTTATTTTGCCTTACAAAGCTAGATAATTTTTAATTAGATTTTTCTATGCATTTAGAAAATGTTTAGGGAACACATAGTTAAGTCGGTCAATGTTGATATATATATATGGTTTATTAAATAAACAAAATGTATATTACGGTTTATGGCTAAATCTTTTGGGAGCTGAAGCTTTATGAAAGTTAAGGGTCTAAAATTACGTGCATGTACATTTACATATGGTGTAAGTATGTTATGTATCAAAGTTTTTTCTTTTCCATCCATTGTGGAAAATGACTTGGCAAAAAAAAGCAAAAGAAGAAGAAGAAAAAAAACATTATAAGTTCTACTAGTTTGCATAAATTCTCTTACTTTTCAATTGCCTACTCTTAAAACTAATAGCTAAAATATGGAAAGTTTTGCAAATTATTATAGCTTTTTGTACGATATGATTTACACGCGGCCATGTGCAGGAGGACGATGGACTAGGTGGTAGGAGGAAGAAGAAGGGAATAACGGCCAAAATTAAGGAGAAGCTGCCAGGTCATCACCAGGGTACCACAACCACCACGACGGCTTATGATACCACCGGCACTGGCGTCGTTCACCATCAGAAGAAAGGCATGTTGGAGAAGATCAAGGACAAGCTTCCTGGTGCTCATCATCATTAGATTCATCTTAAAGTACCTAATATGTATTGTGTAATAATAATAACATAACGATCACGTGGCTTTGTATGATGCGTTATACGTTTGGTCGTTGCATGTTGTAATGTATTTGGGCGTCATCGATCAATCAATATAACTATATATCGTCTATCGGAATAAGTTATATTTGTATTAAATCATTTAGATGTTGAGAATATCTTTCACCTCATTTATGGCTTTAGCTTTATGTTGTTTTTATTGAACACAAATCAGTAAGGTAGTTGGCGCATGGGTCAATACGAGTCCATCGGCATCTTCCCATTTATAATGGCAAACGGATGTATAGACTTGTATATAAGTAACAAATCTAAAATTCAAACAAAGCTCCCATTTAATGTGTCCATCTCTAAAAACTATTTAGTTTAGGTAAATGAATCACACAAATTAATCACGTCCTCGTCTATAAATTAAATGAAACCATGCATTCATCACTCCCACAATAACCTCTAGTCTCGAAATAAAACTCACAAGTATCAAATGGCAAAGTCAATGATGTATAATTCTCTCGCTCAAATCTCCCTCGTTGTCATGATTCCTCTTTGTGCTTGTTGTGAAACCGACGAAGGCACTAGCACCGCCTCTCTCTCCCATCATTTTTATGACAACTCATGCCCAAAAGCTCAAGAAATCGTTCAATCTTTTGTCGCGAAAGCATACTCCGATGACCCTCGCATGGCTGCCTCGTTGCTTAGGCTTCACTACCATGACTGTTTCGTCAATGTTTGGCTTTATAAAACTTGATATGAAAATATATGGAAAAACGTCAAGTCTTGATATATGGATCTTGCTTGCTTTTTGGATGGTGCAGGGATGTGATGCTTCATTATTATTGGACAATAGCGGAACTTTGGAAAGCGAGAAACGATCAGTCGTAAACATAAACTCTGCTCGAGGGTTCGAAGTCATCGACGATATCAAGTCTGCCTTGGAAGATGAATGTCCTCAAACAGTTTCTTGCGCTGATATTTTGGCTCTTGTTGCCAGAGACTCCACTGTTATTGTAAGTCAACTAATTGCTAGGATTAATAAATATTACAAACCCTCGTTAAATTGATTGAATTATTTATAGACCGGTGGACCGAGTTGGGAAGTATATCTAGGAAGAAGAGACGCAAGAGAAGCAAGTTTGATTGCTTCCGACAATAACATTCCTTTTGCTAACTCCACGTTTAGTAACCTCGTCAACAAGTTTAACGATCAAGGACTCGATCTCACCGATCTTGCTGCTCTCTTAGGTAATATATACACACCCGACCAATTTCGTGATCTTGTAATAATTTTCGAGAATTGATGAACTGCAAAACGATTGTTTCATTAATGTGATTGTTTCAAAGTTAATTTTAAGTCATTGACATTATATAGTCTCTTAAGTTTAATGTTTCAAAATATTAGTAATTTTGTTAAGAACCCCAGTTTTTAACTAAATAGTTTTTTCTTAAGCATGATCTTTCATATCTTTGTTGCACACCCAAAAAAAACTCATATATCGACTCAAAAATATATGCACGAGCCAACACATATTAACAAATATTGTAACGTTTATACTAATAAGTAGCATGATTCGAAATGTACGTAGGAAGTCATACGATAGGAAACTCGAGGTGCAAGAGTTTCCGAACAAGGTTATACAAGAATTTAGGAAACGAAGATCTCGACCGGAATATGGATCAAAACTTCGCTTCAATGTTGCAGCAGGGATGTCCGATTTCCGGTAACGACCAGAACCTCTTTAATCTCGACTATGTGACTCCGACTAAATTTGACAACCACTACTTCAAGAATCTGATGACGTATAAAGGACTCTTGAACACTGATGAGGTTTTGTTCACCAAGAGCAGCAACTCCCAGGAGTTGGTCAAGCTTTACGCGGAGAATGAGGAAGCTTTCTTTGAGCAGTTCGCAAAGTCGATGGTGAAAATGGGTAATATCTCTCCGTTGACGGGGACTAATGGTGAGATCCGGAGGATCTGCCGGAGGGTTAACCATTGAAGACGTCTAATGGAGTTACATCATATTCGATAGTTAAGTAAGTCATATAGGTTTGATTGAACGTTTCTTGATGTGTGTGAACGTTTCTTGTTTGTTCTAATATACACCATGTTTCATATTAAGGAATAAAGTTGTTATATATTTGGGAGATATTTTGTAGTTTTTCTTAGTTTATGTGCATTATATCTATAAAAAAAACTTAAAACAAAGAAAAATGTACATGTCTATGATTATGATTTGTAATCATCCAACAACATTTGCATTATTTGTCGCTAGTGAGTTTGCTGCTGAATTTGGAATTTGGCTATTCCTATTTCCTAACAATGCAAATGTTGACATTGCAACTCCGTTAGTTCCAAAATCGTTCTCGAAGTTATGGATCTAACCTACATTTTAAAGGTATCGTATGAAACAAAAATGCTCTTAATTTTTTTTTAAAAAAGAACATAGAAAATATTAGATCTCTCTTTACTCTTAACCATTATTTTGCAAAGATCACACTCAGTTTCTCTGGTATAAGGCCATAACATTTAAAACGCCACGATTGTTTTACTCTGTTTTGGATAACTTGTTTAAGAAGGAGAGAATCTCATGAGAGACTTGTTCAGACTTTTCCTGATGGATAAAATGATGTCCATCTTCAATAACAATAATCTCAAGATTAGGTACAATGCTCTTGAACACCTCTCCTTTCACATACTCCATCGTTCCATGGGCTCCTTCATTTCCAATATCTTTGTCTCCCGCAATAAACTTGGTCGGAACAAAGATTTTAGAGCCTTGCCACGGCGCCAATATCTCCCAATTCCTGTAATTTCTCACACTTTTTAATACTTTGTTTTTTTATAACAGAAATATAAACAGTGAAAACTAAGACTTACAGATCCATGGCTCTGTAGTAATTCAAAGCCCCTGTGAATCCACTTCTTTGAAACTTCTCTGCATAAACCTCAATCTCTTCTTCTGTTATCCAGCTTGGAAGCGTCGGTGGTATCTCGAGATCATCGATGATCTCTGTATCAGGAGGAGCCACCAAGAAATCTGTTCTTGTCATTAGCAAGAACTTCTTCAGTACCGTCACGCAGTCATGTTTTGCAAACGCAGCCTCGGCTCTTCCGGGTTTCTTGTAAAAAACAAATCCAAGAAACTGAATCAAACGAGGAAAATTATTACTGTAAAATACAGAAATTAAATTGGGGAACTAATTCACCTGAAACTGAGACATGTATACACCATCACCAAAGCTTTTTAAAAATTCTGAAGGTTTGAGATTTGGATCTCTTGGAGAATATGGAACTGAGAGACTTATGAAACCTTTGACTCGGTCTGGTCTAAACAAGCAGAGAGACCAACCTATGATTGCTCCCCAATCATGTCCAGCCACAAAAGCCTATAAACAGTGATCAAAATGTAAACATTTATTTTTTCAAGAAATCTATCGCAATCTTTTAACCGTTGAATTCTCAAGAAGATAAGATCAAGGTTGACCTGAGCAGTGTTGTAGTGATCGAGCAAACCGATGAGATCAGCGACGAGGTGGCTCACAGTGTAAGACTCGTGGTTTGGAGGAGAATCGGAGTCACCGTAGCCTCTTAGATCCGGAGCGACCACGTGGTAACCATGGCTCGACAAGAAATCGATCTGGTGACGCCATGAGAACCATGTCTCAGGGAAGCCATGGAGTAGCACAACCAAAGGCCCTTCTTCGTCTCCTTTCTCGGCAACGTTTAACCAAATCCCGTTGCTCTTGATCTTCTTCTCTCTCACTGAGTTCGTCGTCATGATTCTTGATTGAATAGAAAGAAAGAGAGAAGGGAAAAATCAGCGACCAAGCGAAGACTTTTAGTACAAGAGTTTGAGATTTGGAGCTCACTGAAACAATGGGTACACGTGGAAGAGAAAGAGACAGACTAAGCCTCTAGTTAGGTCACACGTGGCGGTCTCTTGTCTTAATTCAGAGATCTTGTACGTTTCAGTCTCTTGAGCCGCCATGAACAAAAGAATGTTGACATAAGTTCATGAAACAAGAAACACATGACTGATTTATAAAGACGAGAAACGTCAAGTAACTCTTGGGTTCTTCTGACAAAATGGTAGAAGACAAGACGCAAGAAAGAGGACTAATCGTAACACAACAAAAAAGAAAACATGTTTTGTCATTGAGGATTGATTATTCTATGTTTTTGTTTGAATGAAAGCAATTTAAGTAGATACTGATGTCTTCTTCTCTTCTTCGAGTTGCTTAAGCTCAGCGAGTCTTTCAGTCCAAGCTCGGTCCCTTGCGACAGCAGCCATCTTACGTTCCACTTGCTTGATTCTCTTCTTCCTCTTCGCCTCTTGCACCAGCGCCTGCCTCTTCTTCTTCTCAGACTGAAAAGTATTCACGAAGTTACTTCCATCTCATTAGTAACCAAATACCTCTCTCTAATTAGAGAATCTATAACAAGTTACATCTCATATTGTTCTGCCTAGATATGGAATAAAACAGAGAAGCAAGAAAAATATAGACTTTAACACATTTTTCTCTCATTTAAACAATCTATGGATACAACATTTCAAGATCTCTCAGCTAACAATCAGGAGTTATCACAACCAGTATAAAGATATCAGATTTATAAAAAAAAAAACAAACAAGAGAGAAATCAGACAAACCAGAATAAAGGCACGTCGCTGCCCAATGCGCTTCTTGGCATTCCTTCTTGTAACACTGCCCTTGTTGGGATTGTTTGAAGAAATTGGCTTGCCAGGTGTATATTGAACATATGCATATGGCCCTGCATTTTCCATCAAAATCCTGTTAATATTCATCTAAACAATTTCCACCATAGATTCTCTAGCTATATTAAAGTTTCCAGTAAAACCACCCAAAATGAGCCTTTAACACAATCACACTCCACTAAATTCTAACTAAACTGCATAAACAAAAATCAGCAAATTCACAAATAAAGTATCAATTTTTAGCGCCCAGACTAACAAATGAAGCTTAAATGTAAACACGAAAGTGAGGAATAATCGATTTATAAGGTAACAATTAACCATCATAGACGAAATGGCGAACCTGGAGGTTTCAGTTTGTATCGTTTCTTCTTGGGATGAGTCATGGGACGTCTCTTCGGGAGCCGAGTATCAGTCAAGCTTAAGCTATGGAAATGGTTAGCCACTGGCATCCATGGTAACCTCAAATGAGTCGATCCACCCAAGAATGAGCATAACTCGGGTTTCGCGGCCGGAATCGTCGCAGGGAACGGCGCAGGCGAGAAGTTAGCGGCGGCGCGCGAAACAAGGGTTCTCGACAATGGTCGAAGAATCGATCTAATTGCACCGAAACCCATTTCACCAAAGCATCAGCAGAACAGATTTGCGATCCGAAAACTGATGGATTAACCGATTTAGCTTTCTGAAATGTTGCAACTTCGCAGATTCCAAAGAGACTGTGAAACGAAGGACTCTCGTTAAACCCTGAATTTCCCACTCAACACTAATGGGCCTAATCTGGGCTTCTACTGTTTGAGCCTTTAAATTGTGACTAGTGGCCCTATATTGGGACTAATATTAAAATACCCATTTACAAGCGGCACCAAATTATACGAATTCTATAATTCAAAAAGTTGCAGATATCTTGTCTTTAAATGTCATTAAATTTGTCATTGCGAGGATTATGTGTATATTGTCTAAAGATATAGTCTAGTTATGGCTAGAGAGAGAGTCTTGCGTCGTAATTTTCTACCGCTAAAGAATTTTTGGATGAGAGTATGCGACATAAGGAAAGCAAATATTTTACCATTGATGACACTAATCCCAAATTTGGAACCCTTCAAGTAAAATATAGATAGAGTTACCATACAGATATAGATAAAAAATCATAGGATAATATTCTCTAACCCATTATATATACACACCAAGTCTCGCTTCATTTGGAAGAAGAAAAACCAAATCCTTTCTTTTTTTCTTAAAGGTTTAGAACAACCAAACTTGTAGATTGTTTCTTCTCAAAGTTCATAAAGATGACCAGCATGTTTTCGTCAAATCGTCAATCAACTACAAGGCTGGTCCGTTTTCAATCCATCATTATTTTACTCATATTCATATTTCTCATTTTATCTATTGATAATTCGTTAGATATACTTGTTACATATTATTAAGATTCTTCTATCGTTTTCTTGCAGACCTGTGGATTCAAAGTGAACACCAACTCGCCCGAATGGCACAAGAGCATGACCAAAATCCTCAAGAAAATCAAAGGTTTTTTCTTTTATACAACACAAAACTTTTTTTATTTTGTATATTACACCAACTATTTTTTACTTTCTTCTAATAATATTGACTTTTAATGGTTTTAGGTGGAGATTTTTGGATAGACGTGGAGGAAGGAATGGCATATGTTACGGGTGAAGGCAATCCGAACAAGCTATTGAAACTGATGGGTTCGAAGAGAGGCAAAGATGCTGAAATGGCTTTTGTGAAAACCGGAACACATCACCGTGATCCTTCCAATTTTTACAACTGTCAAAACTCATATTTTGGCCAATCAACGCCTTTCTGGCCGGCCAATATGAGCTATCATCCTTCAGCGTCATCGGGGTACTATCCGGCGATGCAACCTTACCAACAACAATATCCATATGCCGGTGGATTTAATAACTATGGTTATTATTAGGCCTTTTTTATTTTATACAACTACGTCGAGATCGAGCGATACCCGTTTATTTTTTTTAAACTAGGGTTTTCTGCTTGAATCCGGTAGAAGGAGACTTGTTTTTTTCTTTTCTTTTTTTACTTTAGCGGATGGATATTCTCTCTGCGGTTTATTACTATGAGCAGAAGAGAATAGAAGAGGATTATAATTCTCTGTTTTTTGTTTTGGGGGTTTCAGTTTATTTGTGTTTTCGTATGAATCCTTTTGTTAAAGATGTTGAAGTCTTTAACATTTTGTATGAATCATACTCGTTGATGTTAGGGTTCCTATAAACTATAACGGAATCAGAATGGAATGTTTCAACTTTCAAATTTGCTTTCATTTTGCATAGAGATTTATGGATATATACTTTGCTCAGCCAATATCTTGTATCATATGATTTTGCGGAGAGTATTGCTCGCTTTCTTTATTTATAATCGGATATATGAGATTAAGTTTCCTGTAAGCGTTCTGATTTACTAGCAATAAATTTTCTTACAAGATCCTAAAACTGATATTTAGTGGAAAAGTAAAGTTGCTGTTATTCTTGTAGATCCTTTGGTAATATATAAATACCATTGAAAAAACAAAATCCACGCTTGATTGATATCTTTTCATGAGAAAGCTTCAATACTCTTTTTTGTTTTGGAAGACCAAAACACTATTTTCAGGATACTAATCATCTCCCTCTCTTTGAACATATTTGCATTCGTATCTAAACACCACTAAATGATCTTTCCCATCCCCATCGCTCAGAGCTATCTTATTTTTCAAAACTAAACCTTCTTTGGCCTTGGCCTCATCATAAGTACCACTGGAGAATCTACTTTTGGTCATATGGAACAAAACACACTCTTTTGTTTTACGTTCATTGCAGAATAACTTTTTGAGGACAAGTGTAGAAAGTAGCTTTCTGAATGTTATTATATTAGTGTACTGTACATATTGAAAGTAGAAAGAAAAAAAAAAAAAAAAAAAAAAGCCAAAAGATCTGTGGCATGATATTTCAAAGAAGTTTCCAGGATACTAATCATCTTTCTCTTTGTACATATTTTCATCCGTATTCAAACACCACGAAATGATATCATTCCCATCTCCATCGCTAAGAGCTAGTCTTATTTTTGAAAACTAAACTTTCTTTACCCCATCATAACCACCGACTGAGGAATCTACAAAACACTTGATCTCTTTTGTATTACGTCCATGCAGAATAACTTTTTTTAGGAGAAGTGTAGAAGGTGGTTCTAAATGATATTAGTATACTGTATTACTGTATATTGAGAGTAGAAAGAAGAAACAAAGCAATAGATCTGTAAAATGATATTTCAAAGAAATATGCAGATTCAAATTGACTAGTCACAAACTCAAAATCTTATCAAACGAGATAAGACCGGGATCATAACAAAGGGGAACAAAGTTATAAAATCTCAATAGTCAAATACTAGAAAATCAAATTTATTATAACCCAACAACATCTTAAGACAGAACAGAATAATTAAGCCAAGTGTTTGGCAATGGTAGACTGAAGCTCATCTTTCTTGGCCCCAACAACTTTGTCCACAATCTTCCCTTCCTTCAAGAACATGAAAGTTGGCATTGACTCAATCGCCCAATCACTTGCCACCGACTGTGTTCCATTAAAACAAGAAAGGAGGATTGAGAGCTTATTCAAACACAAGAAATTAAACAATAAGAAGGGGATCAGATTTTATTGATTTACCTTCAATTCGTCAATATCAACCTTGAGGAACATCACATTGGGGAGTTTCTTAGCCAAATCAGCAAAGAATGGAGCTATGAAACGACATGGTCCACACCATGATGCCGTGAAATCAACCACTACCTGCAATAACCAACCATATAAATAAATCATTTCCATGGAACAAACGTTACAGAGTTACAATTAATTACATCTTACAAAAACAAATCTAGGGTAAGAAAAATCAATATCACTCGCAATCTAGTCATTATGATCTATACCAACCCTAGGATCTACTCTATGGTAGTTCAGATTCATAAAAAAAAGGAAGAGGATTTCAATCGCTATGTACGTACATATGTCATGCATGAATTCAAATCGGAGATAATCAACGTAATTGCATTGCAACGATGTGACAGATCCAAACCAAAGACAGCGACAATCCCATATCTCTAAGAGCAAAACAACATAAAATGGGAGAAGAAAGGAGATTACAAGAGTTTTGGAGTCATTTCCCTTCTGGAGTTGCTCGTTCCATGACTCAACGGTGTGGCACGCGATCACTTGTCCCTCTTCTGCTGCCATCTTTCGCTCTGTTTTCTCTGTCTCTGTCTTTTCGTCTGTGTGTTGTGTTGATCTGTTAGGTTTCTCCTCCTCCTCCTTTGCGTTTCAATTACTTAGCATGCTCTCCTTTTCGAATATAGCCCCTGGAGTCACCTACAAATCACAACTTTGCCACCAATAGTTTTCCTTCTTTGCTTTATTCAACGCGTGATATTTACTTCCCATAATTATACCCACCAGATTCTCTGCCTAAATCATAAATATTCCCACTTTTAACTCTTCAAATTTTTAGTTTCTGACAATTTACACCTTTTTAAGTTTAACACACCAAAAAAAAAAAAAGAGAGGAAGTCATAAAATTGGGCACAAAGGACCTCACCATTAATCCACAGGCAAAACAAGTCAAAATGATGGAACTTTTATATTACAACAATCTTGGTTCGTCCCATTCCGACAAAAAGGTCCCAACCAAATCAAACCATCTTTCACATTGTAATCCCATTTCTTCAACATCATTATTCTTTAACCTTCATAACATAACTAGATCCTTGGACCAAGCCAAAACTACAGCTGGATCAAGTTCTTGAAACAATACGTTCCTATGATGAACCAACCGGTAAGCAAAACCGCTAGGATCGAGCAGGAAGCTATGAAAGTCCAACCACCAAGTAATATTCCTAAAGCGTAGACTATGACTGAAGGCAGCAAGGACTTCACCATCGCCGTTTTGCTCACCCAACGTCCCTTGAGGAACACAAGCGCAGCGAGATTCACCACGTTCCAACCGCCTGACCTTATCGCTAGACGGTTCAGGTTGTTGGCTACAAAGGAGTGACAGTTGCATGTGAAGATGTTGTATGAATGGTGTTGGTACTCTTGTATGCCTTTTCTCAGCGCATCATCCCATGTTGGCTCTTTCTCATGAGAGCCTTCTTCTTGCTCGTATCTGCTGCTCTCACCACTGAACAAACAGGAACCGGAAGACATAGATGACTCCTGATTAAAAATCCAAGGCCAATGTGAATATAAAGTTGTAATTTGGCAGGAATGAGAAAAAAAAAAATGAAAGCAATGAGCTTGCAAATAATGTACCTTTTCCTTGTTGATTTGGATATAGCGAGACACAGCTCCAAATGCAAAATTGTCAACACAGACGAAGTTAGGTCCTGCAAAGTCGAGGATGACACCGTCTTCTCTGCAAATACCCACGTGGCCGATGAAGGGAACGAGCCATGAGATGAAAGGGAGAGGCGTCCACACAATGCAGCATGGGAACCTATCTCTTCTAGGATCGATTTTCATTGGATCTGCAAAGCCAAGCATCATCCGATGTTCTGACTCTGTTGTTGACGTCTCTCCCATTTCCAAGTCCAAGTGTGTTCTTTTACTCGATCCTCTGTTCTCAAAACAACATTTCCAGTGATGCCGGGTAAGTAAAAACTCAATAAAGCAATGAGATTTGGGAACGTACAAGTTCTCAATACTCGAATAGATGATGCGTATCACTTAAATTGTAACCAAAACATAGATTCATCATATTCATCACTAAACTCTATATTTACAGCAAAAGAATGTTTTTTTCAATAGTTTCACAGCATATACCATCAAAACAAGGAGAAATCGAGATAGATATTCATCTTGTGCAAAATCAAACTTGCGTTATCACGTACAAAATCCACAGAGAACGAGAAAAAGACTACCAATTCACTGATTTCTGAATAAATTTGAAACACCTATCAGCACATTTGCTAAACACTGTGACGAAGACCAACGCCAGAGACTAACACCGCAGAGAAGAGCTAAGTAAACATTTTCGTGGTTCTATGATTCGCGAGTCTTAAACACTAAACCATGAACTCCTAAGAAAATGGCGGAAGAGGAATCCAGAAGTTTCCATTATAGATTCACTCATTCACATCCAACTAAGAACAAGTCAACATTTGAAGAATCACAGACCGGATTCTGAAACTAATTCATAGAGAATAGATCAAAGCGTACCAGTTTAAGCGAAAACGAAGACGATAACTCGGATCAGAGAAAACTATACAAAATTTCCTCTTCGTTGAGACGAGAAACTTCGAGCTGTGATTCGATTCGACACTGCCTTCTCTCCTGGGGAATTTTGTGAAATCAACGATAGCGAATGATCGTGTTTGGTCATCAGTTTAAACTAATCCTTTTCGAGAATATCTCTGTGATATTAGACGACAAAACGTTCGGTTCAATATAATGCAAACGGCAGGCTGTTTAACTATGATACACCCAACACTGTGATACGACATCATTTTGGTTTTTACGGATACTGACCGGAGATTCTGGGTCGTCTGCTTCTCGACTATCCATCGCTCCCTCTTTCTCTTTCGCACTGAGGAAATTGCTACCTACTGATGCAAATCTGCCATTGATACGTCTCCTCGAGGTTAATCGAAAATGAGGAAACGCGATTTGGCAATTTTGATGCTCTCTGGGTTCGCTATATTCTTCACCCTTCAGGTGATTTTTACCCACTAATCGTTTCCTTAATTTCTCTAAGTTCAATAATACCATAGAGCTTCTACAACCCTTAATCGATCTGTTACTAGAGCAAGCTTTGATTTTTTTCCTGTATATGTAGAACTCGACTGCCAATTCGATTCATAAGTGGTGACAGTGTTAGCTAGATTGTGATTAAAAAAAAAAAAATCAGATGGAATCTATTGATCTCTATGTATTCATCTTTACCCGTTGTTAGAGCTTGGTTTATAGAGCTTAATCTACTTTATACGTGAATGATTGATTGTTGATTATGCAGCACGAGGGTGATTTTGCGTTCAAAGAAGCATGGTTTCATTTGTACGATGAATATCCTGTCATGCACGAAGCTGATCGTCTGCCACCACCTATTGTAGCTGATCTTAATGGCGATGGAAAGAAGGAAGTCCTCGTTGCTACAAATGATGCCAAAATTCAGGTATCCGATTTTCAAAATTCTAATATCTCATTTCGATCTTTCTCGCCAGAATTATAGAGCCTTGCAGCTAGTGATTTCAGTTTGTTTGAAACGAATGATAGTGCAGCTTAGTTCTTACTCTATATGGTTTTGGTATTGCGTGTTGGGTTTAGGTCCTGGAACCTCATTATAGGCGTGTGGATGAAAGTTTCAGTGAAGCGCGTGTTCTTGCGGAGATCACCCTGTTGCCTGACAAGATCCGTGTTGCGTCAGGGAGACGTGCTGTGGCGATGGCTACAGGTGTGATTGATAGGTATTATAAAGATGGGACACCGCAGAAGCAGGTTTTGGTTGTTGTTACCTCGGGTTGGTCTGTGCTCTGCTTTGATCACAACCTGAAAAAGCTCTGGGAAACGAATCTGCAGGTTTTTTTTTAATCCTCTTCGTCATTTGTTTTAAAGATCCATAAAAGGCTTGCCTTAGTTTTATAGAGTATTTCTCCTTCTACTTTACCCATGTTGGTGGAATGACAGGAGGATTTTCCACATAATGCACACCATAGAGAGATAGCGATTTCGATAAGCAATTACACATTGAAGCACGGTGATACTGGTTTGGTTATTGTTGGTGGACGGATGGAGATGCAGCCATATGTATGTAGGAGTTGAAATTCCCTCTGTTGAATTTCCTGTTTAGCTTGCATGCATTACTAATATAGATCATTTTTGTGGTTTTAGAACCACATGGACCCATTTGAGGAACTTGGCATGACAGAAAAAAATGCTGAGCAACACAGAAGGAGTGCTACTGAGAAGCAGGTACGAAAGATGTGCAGTTGTTATATCATATGATCTCTTCCTTGGAATTATTCTGATAAGAAATGTAGATGTATATCTCTGTTGCTGGTTAGTGGTTACACATTTTGTCTAGAACTCAAAGATAAAGAAAGAGCTCAGACAATTATTCATACCCCACTGTGTGTTTAAACTGTTTAGAAGAACTTTAAGCTTCCTTTCAGGCCCCTGAAGATGCTGGAGCTATAAACTTGCGTCACTTTTCTGTTTATGCATTCGCTGGCCGGACTGGTGTTCCTCGCTGGAGTAAAAAGACGGATGTCAGTTATTTCTCCTTTTCTGCTCATTTTTTCTCCCCATATTGAATAACTATATGCTTACCTTCAACAAATTTGGCGGTCGAATTGATAGAATAGTCTTTTCCTTCTCTTCTAGGATGTTGAAGCTCACACCTCAGATGCATCACAATTAATTCCCCAACACAATTACAAGCTTGACGTGCATGCTATAAATAGCCGTCACCCGGGAGAGGTAAAACTAACCTTTTCTCCATTGATCGTTGAGCGATATAGTTAACCTGTTCTTTGGTGGGCACTACTATCATCATTTGAAAGCTTTAAAAACTGAGATTTGGTGTGCTGAAGTTTGAATGCAGGGAATTTAGAGAATCAATTCTTGGTGTTATGCCCCATCACTGGGTAAGTCTTGTGATTCCTACTACGTGCTTCCTTAGTCTACTATGCTTGAAAACTGTTTTACAGTACGTTGTTGTCCTTGTATCAGGACCGACGTGAAGATACATTGTTGAAGCTTGCTCATTTCAGGCGACACAAGAGGAAGACATTGAAGAAGCAAGCTGGTAAGTCCACAACTTATCCGTTTAACAAACCTGAGGAACACACACCCGCTGGAAAAGACTTGTCGAAAAAGATCCCGAAAATCATTGGCAAGGCTGCACGCTATGCTAACTCCGCAAAACCCAAGAAGGTAAAAGCTCTTACAATACGTAAACTACCAACATGAAAAATACACATTTTGTTTATGATAGCAAAGCAACATTCTGATGCAGGGTATGCAATACATTCCGACTATAACTAATTACACCAAGCTCTGGTGGGTTCCTAATGTTGTTGTGGCTCATCAAAAAGAAGGAATTGAAGCTATTCATTTGCCTACTGGTCGAACTCTTTGCAAGGTAGCTTTTTCTTCAGATCATGAACAAGCTTATTATTTCCCGTACCCAATTTTGAGTATTTTGATTCTTCCTACTCCAGCTTCATCTGCTTGAAGGTGGGCTTCACGCAGACATAAATGGAGATGGTGTACTCGATCACGTCCAGGTTCACGCATTACATATACTAATGCCCTTTTCAGTTCATTGGCTTGGATCTTTATGTCTTACGACCATATATATGGTTTTGTGTCCACTATAGACTGTCGGAGGCAATGTTGGAGAGAGAACTGTAGTGAGCGGATCAATGGAAGTGTTGAAGCCTTGCTGGGCAGTGGCAACCTCAGGCGTTCCAGTCCGTGAACAGCTCTTTAACGTCTCAATCTGCCATCACGCCCCCTTCAACTTCTTGCACTACGGAGGAGAGTTTTCAAGAAACTTTGCACAGACAAGAGACACCTCTTCTTTGGAGATTGCCACTCCCATTCTCATCCCCACAGATGACGGTCATAGACACAGAAGAGGAAGTCACGGCGATGTAATCTTCTTGACAAATCGTGGAGAGGTACTTTCTTCTTTTCTCTATCTGATGATCCAATCTCTAAACTTCTCTCGTTCAATAGCTCATCGAGTTTCCGTACTAGGTGACTTCGTACACGCCTGATGTGCACGGCCACGAGCCGCAGTGGCAATGGCAGCTTCAGACAGAAGCCACGTGGTCGAATCTCCCTTCAGCATCGGGTTTAACCGAGTCAGGGACCGTGGTCCCAACCCTGAAACCGTTCTCGTTGCGCCTTCATGATAACCAGCCGATGATCCTTGCAGGAGGAGATCAAGCGGCCGTAATAATCTCACCAGGAGGAAGTGTTTTGGCTTCCATAGAGTTACCTTCTCAGCCGACTCATGCACTTATCACTGATGACTTCTCAAACGACGGTCTAACGGATGTGATTGTGATGACATCAAATGGGATTTACGGGTTCGTTCAGACCAGACAGCCAGGTGCTCTGTTCTTCAGTTCCTTGGTGGGATGTATCTTAGTAGTAATGGCAGTTATTTTCGTTACTCAGCACTTAAACTCCATTAAAGCTAAGCCTCGACCTTCCTCCAGCTTCTGATTGAAAAACCTCACAGAGATTTCTTCCACTCTGCGGAAGTAGAACCGGTCCACTAGCGGCGCTTCACCCTCACCGGTTTTGGTAAACCGGGCAGGTCGATGTTATTACCCGCGTAGGTTCAGTCTGGTTTCAGTTTTATAATTTTATATACTTTGTAGAATTCAAAGTAAAAAAATCGTAGAGGATGAATGTAGGACTTTATCTTTCTTTCAGTTTTTGATGTTTTAATGGAATTGTTGTTGTGACATTAAATTATAAGAGATGTTGGAAAGAAAAACAAGATGTGTTTTTGAGAAATACGACATCATAGTATAAAGGAGGATACAAAATTTTCATGGGACTTCATAGCA